AAAGCCTTCTTTTCACGTCTTTTTAAGTCCTTTCTCTCCTTAGCATTTGCATGTATGCTTGGAACCTCTTCACTTTCATCTACATTATCCCAAAGGTCTAAAGATGCCAACAAAAGATCCATTTTGACCTTCCAATAGTAGAAATTTTCTCTTCTAAACTTCTCAATGACTCTCAAACCTTCACCTTCACTAGAAGCCATGTCTAAGAAAGGCTCTATCTAAAAATATCAAAAAAAAGAGTCGTCATGAGCTTGAAATCACCTAAATAATTTTACACTAGTAGAATCTTAGAATGCCTTTTTTGTGAATAAATTACTCTTTTTTCACTTAAAACACTCAACTCAAGCTCTGAATCTTTTAATAAGTATGTGTATTCTAATAAACTTACTATCATGAATTCTCACTCTTTAGAATCAATTATTTTACTATACATAGAAGGTAAGTAAAACAACATCAACAAAATAAAAGATACTATCAAGGTCTTTCTATAACATCTTAAATTCTCAATCTTAGGAGATAAGAAACTACAAAGCAATGTTAGAAATTTATAAGGTCAAAGTTAGCACCTCTTCATGCTCAAAATATAAGTTTAAATCTTAGAAACCCTAACATAAGTAAACACCATAAGATGTATAATATGTGGTTAACTTATAAAAAAGTGGTCAACTTCTAAAATAAGTAGTCAATATATTTGATACATGGCCAATTTATTAGCTAAGTTTTTAATCTACGTATCATCCACAAATACTTGTAAAATCAATTTTATGTCTACAAAGCTTCTAAAAAGCTTGTCTATAAGATATTATCAAATTTATTATTTTATTCTTCTACTTAATTCTATTTATCTTCTTTATTATAAATATTAATATTAATATTTATAATTCTTCTACAAATAAGGATCTATTTATTTTAGATATATGATTCATTACTTAATTTAAACTATTTTTAATTATATCACTAAAAAAATCAAGTCTATAAGTTATTAAAAAATATTTAGGATTTTATTTTTTTAGCCACACTAAAAAAATAATAATTAAATTAATGAAATTATAACTTATTTTTATAATTCTTAGTTTGAAACTAAAAAATTCAATTATTACAATTTACATCAAATTTAAGTGTTTGGCTTAATATTTGAAGATTGAATAAGTTCAACATCAATTTTTTTACTTTATATTACAATCCATAGAATTTTTTTTTGATAAGTGCAACATTATCCTACTTAATATCAATTGCTAGTTGTCAAAATTCTAAAGAATGTAATAATACTTAATAATTTATTTGATATAAGATTCAAATCTTATTAGTTGCAACACAAATCATATTATGCTTTTTATATATGGACCAAAATTTTGCTAAAAAATCCTTTAAATTATTTAATATCAGATCATATTGTTAATAAAAGGATAATAATCATAATAAGATAAAATTCAAGAATTTTCTTGAAAATTCTTGAATTTTTGATTTTGTGAAAGTGGTGATAATGTTTTCTAAATGTCCTACATATATAAGAATTGAAGTAGTTCCAACCATCTCTACATCTTTATTTTCAATCAAGCATGATGGTACTCGTGGTAATAAAGTAAATTGATTCATTGAAAGTACTAATTTTCTAATTTGTAATTATATTTATATTACTTCATCTTTCATTTCTACAAACTTGTCCATAATTGTACAACAAAAAATATCTTATATCACTTATGATAAGAAGTAGAAAAAGATCATAAATAAATAAAAATTTCTAAACACAATATTGATTTAGAAGTAGATAATCTATTCTTAATTAACAAAGACAAAGCTTTGATATTATATGTGTACTTTGGTATATTCAGAAAAAACTAAATTAGCCATTTTTTAAAAAAAAATACTAAAGATTCTTTAAATTAGACTAAAAATAAGTAAGAAATTGACAAGAGTAGAAAAGACTTGACTACTGCTTACATATATATTATCTAACTAAAAAACTATGTAGGAATCCTCTATAAGTCACATAATATGCGTTTAATATATATATATATATATATATATATATATATATATATATATATATATATATATGATATAATATATACAACAATAAGATTCATATATTACTCACAACTATATAAACTAATATTATATCTATTCTAATATGCAAGGCATTTCAATTCATTTTAGAACTACGTAAAATCTAAGGCTTTTTTAACTACAAATTATTGATTATTATTTGTTTCAAATGCAAGTAATAGTAATAGATTTATTTTGAAATTTTAGCCATATTATAAAATTTACAATGAAACATATAAAAAACATGATAAATATTTATTAACTTTAATAATTACTACTAATAAAAAATTATATTGATTTATTTTCAAATAATAAGTGGACTATTTCTTTGATAATCTAATTTTTTTAAAGATTAGTTGGTCTTGATTTTTACTAAATAAAATAAAATTAAATTAAATTAAATTAAAATATTTTATTATTAAATAGTGTTAAAAATTATTTTATTTTAGAGATACGTGGATTAATTTTATATTGATCTTAAGTTTTTATTGAAAATAAGTTATTATTTTATAAAAATATAATAAATAAGATTATTTTTAACATCAAATTAATTAGAACCATCATAAAGATTTTTTGTTTATAAAAAGTTAAAATGATATTATTAATTTTTTTATTAAATTTTCAAAATTTTGGTATATAATTGAGATGTATATATTAATAGGGATAGATATCTATATATTTGGAATTAAAAATAATATTAAATTAGATTAAATTAGATTAAATTTTATATAAATTGAGATTAATAATGTATATAAACTTAAATATTTTTATTTCTTAACCATTTAAAAAACTATAATTTTAAAAGTCATGAATATTATATGTAATTAAAAATTAAAATTAAAAAATCTAATTGATCCATTATAATTTATCATGTTCTTATAAAGCCATATTAATGTAGATTTGATTTAGATAGCTTTGATTGAAATCATTTGTATTAATATGTAAAATTTAAATGTCATAAATAGATGAATATTTATCACAATAATTAATCTTATTATTACATAATAATAATATTAATGATATTATCAAGTAGTTTTTTTAAATAGCTTATAAAAACTTATAAGTTTAGTTTAGTATAAATTTAGTTATAATAGAAGATAGAATATGTGATGTCATATCATATTGGTAAAAAATATTATTCTATAATTAGGGATTTTCAATAGTTTTTGTTTAGTTGTTAAGATTTATAAATTGTATTACTAAAACAAGACTAAAAATAGAAATTAAAATTTCTTTTGAAAATGTCATTGTCTTTATTTTCACTAAAAATTTCCTTATAAATTTCAATGATAGCAATCTCCAACAAGACTTGCATTTGCAATGACCATTAATAAATCTCAAAGACAATCACCATAAAATGAAGATATAGACCTTTGAACCACAATATTTTCTTATGGACAAAATAAGTGCCTCTATCTTCATACATATCTCCAAGGTGCATTAAAAATATTTATCTAAATTAGAATAAAAATAAAACATCAGTATTGATATAATTTATCATAAAATCCTTCTAAAGTGTTGTATGCATAAATATAACTTGAAATGAATGAATGGGTTTATTATACATATGCTAAAAAAATCCTTATAAAACCCAAGATTTGTACAAGAAGGGGGAAAAAATAAAATAAAATAAAAGAAAGAAAGAAAAAAGGAGAGAGTTGTCAATTTTTTATTTTATTCTTTTCTTTTCTTTTCAAGAAGCTTTGTTCAAAACCCATGCATCTTATTAGAACTATTTGTGTACGGGTATCCACCAAAATATCTATGAATCTATATATACACACACATGTACACTCATGCTAATATACAGTATCACTAAAATGCATGACGACAAAGACATCTTCCTCTAAGGTCACTCGTACAGAATTAGCGACACTCTCCTGGACGGCGACCGCTGGGTGCGGGGGTTGGATGGACCAGCAGGTAGAGGGGGTAGTCGCCTCGAAACGCGGCTTCGTCGCACCCAGTGCAGCGCCACAGCAGCAGCAGCAGCACTGGATTTGTGCTTGGGCTTCGCTGCGATGCGATATGATGCGATGGTATGCAGGGAGGAAGCAAAGCTTGGGATGACATACAACACAATAGTTCCTGGCAGCGGATCCTCCCGCCTCCGCGTCCCGCATCGGCACCGCTCTTTATCTCTACCTCACTCATCTGTAACCGTATTCATTCATGATTTCCAGCGTCATGATTGACGTGTGCGGTGGCAGTATCTGTGGAGCATTTTTTAGCACTTGCAACCGAGCATTTTGAGATGAGAGGAGCGATCGCGAGTTGTCACATCGAATCTGCAGACTACACGTGGTGAAATAAAGGGGGGTGGTCTTCTGTTTTCGGGGGAGAGTGGTGTTGCGATGGCGGTGGACCTGGAAGAGAGTCTCTCACTTTGCATCAGTCGCTTCTCTGATGCTTCTCTGATGCTTCTCTGATGCCACTCTGTTCATAACCCAATACATCGGACTTCCATTGGTGTGCCGCGCATCCTGGTGTTCTGTCTCTCCAGGGGGGCATATTGGTTGCCTTCGAGCGTGCCGCTGGGCATCGTTTCCTCACCTTGGTTCTGCCCCCCCTCCCCCAAGTCTCCGTGCCTCCGAGATATCAGTCAGTGGCACCGCCCGCCACTTTCTCCATCCGCAGGTAATGGCTGAATATACCGACAACGACTGGAACAGAAAATCCTATCATCCACTGAAACGGTGGAGTTCCGCACGGCTGAAATGGAAATTCACCGTCGGGACAACTCAGACAAAAGGGGGAGTGATAACATCCAGATGTCTGTCTACATCGAGTCTTGGAACGAAAGGATTGACGTTCGTCCACCCCACCGAATGAATACCGGTTTTGATTCACACAACATCCAGGGGACCCATTGCTAGGGATTCCACGTCAGGATGCTTAGAGTGGGGTGGAGGCGGAGAGCAGGGGCATTGACCGAATTCACTTTATATACTGAAATTTCACGCGTCACTTGAAGAGGTATAGAGAGAGAGGCGCAGTGTGCAAGTAATCGTAGCCTTGAGGATAGAAGCTAGGCATTCATCAGAAGGAAAAGTCCAACCTCGCTTCAAGTTGAGCGATGTCTGATAATGATGACGATGAAATCGACGACGACGACGATGATGCTTATTAATAGTGGAAGTGGAACAAGTAATGAATCCCAAAAAACTAATGTTTTTCCACGGATGCTCATTCGGTAGCCACCTTCTAAAGGTCCACCCTGCGGACGAGGGCGGCTCCTTCCGACCCATTGATGACCCAATGATGCCTGTGCTCGCAGGATCCTCGCAGCTCCAGACTTCAGTACTGGCATCGTTCGCAGCGAGCTCTTTTAGATTCTTGCCGATGCTTAGTGGTTGCTCGATGAGGTACCAGTCGTGGCTACAAGGTGGTCGATCTCGTTGTGAGTGTTGTGGAGTGCTCAACCATGTGGAGTGAGAGGAGTTCCTATGTTGGACACAGAACAGGTAGGCGGCAAGCGTGAAGGAATTCTCGAAGTTTACATTGAGGAGATTGCCGAGTCGGTTGCGGGGGCCTGGGGAGAGCCTTGCTGGGAAGCGGAGGATGGTTCGGGCTTCGTCGGGAGATTCTGGTTTGGCCTGGGGCATTTCTTGTGGTAGCAGCGGAGACGAGGTCGCCGTATCAAGAAAGGTGGCGAAGAATATTTTTTCGTTTTAGACATTGCCAGGTGCGTTGGTCTTTTCAGAGGTTTGCGCCAGTGGGTTGAACTTGATCGCCGTCCTGTGCTTGAAATACAGAATAGTTTTTTTCACTCTAGAATTCGGTTGTACACGTGGTAGTCGCACGCAAGTTTAGGACAGGATTGGACTTTCCACAGAGTTCTAAGTTCGTATTCTCCCGTGCGGTTCAAGGTTATATTTGCAGTGTTTGAGGAAATTGAGACCACGAATGAAGTGGGGAGGGAGGTATGCATCTGTTTACTGGACCGTTCGCCGGACCGTGCACGCCAGAGGTTCTGACGATGCTCCGGATAGTTGACGAGTAAATGCTTGTTGGTTACGATCTTGAAACTGATTGAAGCGCCCATGTTTATAACAACAGCCAAGAGCGAGAATACAACTTAATTACTTCTAACTAGCTTGGAGCTTCTTTCTGGGTGGCTGACATTTTCGCGTGGTAGGCATTGCACGGAGGAAGTTTGACTTTCTTTTCATTCCCATGTCCACATCAATGGCATCCCCTAAGCGTTAACGTTTTCAGACTGCTCCTGATTGTGATAGGTTTGACAATGTCTTTCTGACACTTTCTGCTTATCGCATCCTGTTGTGACTATTGCAAGATTCCTACGTATTTACAGAGTATGTTTTAGGTGGAAATAGGGTGAGCATTCCTTGCTCAGTGAACATCTTTTGTGAACTAATACGATGGGTTTCGGTGACACAATGATGAAACGACAGAATGCAGTGCCATGAGCTCAAGCATTCTGGTGACGTGCGGAAGTCTGAAGGATTCAAATTCCATGAAAAGATTCTGGATTAGTTTTAGTGAGTGAAGGCTTGATGCTGAGCATGTGTTCTCCATACAAGTCTTGGTACTGAGCAGTCTGTGCCCTGTAGCGTGTGGTGGAGTTTAGCTGACTGATACGATGTTGCGCAGGTCATAAGAGAATTATTCCCACTTGGAGGATGTTCTGGAACTTAATAAAGGGGTGACGAGGCGGCTTCAGTATTGAGAGTTGTTTTCTGACTGATCAAGTCTGAGAAATGTGTTGAGAGACTAGTTGTTCCTGATTTCCATCAACAATAAAAGTGGATAAGCTGCGTGAAATAAAACAATTGGTCAAGCATGGTTAGCATCAGGAAGCGGCGGCAGGGTGGTCTGTCCCCAGGTACAAATTGCAGGCTACCTTTATTGACTGCTTGGAGTGGAATCTGTAAAGTTTCGCATGTGCCAAACACAAGTAACCAAGAATCGGTCCACAATTTTATTCATCCCTCTCAGACCTGAACATTATATTGACGAAAATTCTCCTCGCAGACAATACAAATCGACCACAAGTTTACAAGGCTTCTTCATATCCTCGGCCAACTGCCGTTTCAGCAAGCTACCCGAACACCAAGAAGGATTTACCACTCAAACAGGTAATCGTGAATCTGTTCAGTTGTTTGTGAAGTTCACAAACACGGAAAGCAAGGTTACAACGATGTGATTTGGTTAAAAACATAACATTTAAGCTCATACGCGTCATTCGGCAGCAAAGCAGACTGCAGTTTGGGAACATCAGAAATAGCCACTTCGGGAATAATAATAAAAAAAGATTTTTTAGCATTTGTGCTCAGTTTCGATGACAAAATTAATGACTACCAAAGGTTTTTAGCAACTTATTTCAAGCCCTAACACAATCTCTGGAGTGGAGAAGAGTATTTTATGTTGGAGATGATGCACTGCAGGAGGTGGGCGTATCAAGGTTTAGATTTGCAACTCCGCCGCCTTTGCCTTCGTTTCAGGACGTGCACCAGTTGCTGAATCCCGCATCTCTCCCGAAAGGTTGTCTCTGTGAGCTACTGCTGTGAAGCTTTCAAAGCGTATTGCACGACTTCTGACGTATCATACCATACTGAAGTTGAATCATGCCATTTTATTTTGGATTTTAAACCTGGCAGCATTGAGCAGCATGCTGCTGTTGAGTTCCCAATTCATGTTGATGTTGCTCTGACTAGTTAACTGCACTGTCTGATCAAACAGAGAGAGAATTGAAAAAGAGGAAATGGCAAAGGCGTAAACACCAGGAGAATCAAGAGGCTTGTGTTATGAGAGGTGTTTACTTTAAGAACATGAAATGGCAAGCTGCCATTAAGGTCGAGAAGAAACAAGTTCACTTAGGCACTGTAAATTCCCAAGAAGAGGCAGCGCGTCTCTATGACCGGTAAGTAATTCCTCTGCTTTATTGACTATCTGGTCCTCATCATATCCTTTCTTTTTCATACAAAACCAGGTGTAAATAAAACAACAATAATAATGATAATAAATATCTCAACGATGTTTTCAGCTTTCTCATTAAATCTCGTCTGACAGTTGAATGCTTGCACATGGCAGAGCTGCTTACTTGCGTGGCAGGGAGCCCAACTTTGAGCTGACTGAAGCAGAGAAGCAAGAGCTCCAACTTCTCCAGTGGGAGGAGTTCTTGGAGCAAACACGGCAAGCAATCTTAAGCAAAAGTAAGAAAAGTAGGATATCTTGAAAAGCACAATATGTAGAAATCATTGGAGGATGTTGATTAATCCTTACGTCCTGTCTGAGCACTAACCTACGGTAGCTGTTGCAGAGAGGAAGCGGGGCACTAGCAATGCGAGCGGGCAGAACACGGAAGCTGTTGTATCTCCCAAGTCCTTCAAATGCTCGTCATAGTGGAGATCACTGCACAAGACCACGTTGTTATTGTTGTTGTTGCTGTTGTTCTTCATGGTGTTTGGGTCCTATCTTGCTTGATTTGGGTACCCATGATTTTACATTCTGGGATCCAATTTGGACAGTTTCCGAAGAAGACAAAGCAGCTATAGGTTTCGGCTCTGTTGTACATAACTCGTGGAGCTTTGTCTGGAATTTACACAGGAATCCCACCCGGACTGTGATCGATCCCTCCACTGAAGGAATCTCTCCCATACTACTAAATATTGCCAGGGTGCTGAGAACATCTTCTACGTAGAGTTGTAAGTAAGAAAAAAAGGTGTTTATTTTATTAGTCCTTTCAGTAATGAACCCAAGTTAAAAAGAAGGATGGGAGTACAGTATGGAAACAATATTTGGTGAACTTTGGACTTTACATGTTGGCCAGTTTTGAACGATTGAGCTGGTCCACTGTTTCCTAAATTGGTTCTGGCTGTTGACCCTCTTCACCATTTCTCATCGCTCTTCTGCTCCACTGCTCCACATGTTCACTGAGATTCTCCAATTTCAGCCAGATTCTTTCATTTTTCTAATTTTTTGAGAATATAATTGCTGAACAAGGATTGAACCAGCAAACCTCTAACAATTATCTAGTTACAGTGTAAAGCAGTGGTTTTTAAGATTTGAGTTTTATTATAGAACTGCAAGTCATTGGTTTAAAAAAGAACCTATAAATTATTAGATTTGTTGAAAAATAGTAATTCCAATTGATACATTCTTTCTAATCTTTAATAGCAAGGCCTTTCAGTCTTCAATGTAATTTTATAGTGAACGAATCAAAGCATGCCAGTAAACAACATAGAAGAATTTCAAATGATTTATTCCTTTTATTTCATTGTTCTTGATAATAAGTTTTTTATTAGCTTTTTATAATTTTCTTGTTTAGTTGGCTATAGAAGTAAAACCTAGATTGGTTTCTAACAATTGATTACAAAATAAATTAAAATACCAAGTAACAAGCTAATTTCTTCTTATATTCTTTATTTAAATTTTACAAACTTTTCACAAACTGTTATTTGTTTTTAATACCATTAAACACCTAAGACTTCACCGAATTGGTTTAAACCAAAAATGTTATATTTATCTAAAATAACTTTATAACATTTTTGATATAGTGTTACTTAAATTTAACCAATAAATTAATAATATTAATAAAATTAATGTTTCCAAATATGACCATTGTAACAACTCTTATTTAATTAATTATATTGTATCAATCTCTAAAAAGAGAAAATTAACATATTAATTTAAAACAATTAATGTGAATAATATTTTAGTTTGAAATAAGATAAATTATTAAAATAATATCATCCAAATTTTGGATATTTATTTATTTTATACATAAATAATGAATTTATGCCTTTGTTAATAATTACTTGTAAATAATTAATAAAAAAAGAGACTATCAAAATATTCCTACTTTAATTAATTCTATAAAATTCTAGGTCTAATACAATTAATTTTTTTTTCTATTAAATATAGAATTTTTATTGGCATGTTAAATGTATTTAATGATCCTAAAATCTTTGCTATTTACTAAAATAACTTGTAACAATTATATATATTTGAACATACATCTGCATTTTCATAAAAAATTATCAATAATAACATAAATAGTTATAATTCAATTTCTTAAAAAAAATTATGGCATAAATGAGAATTAAAAAAATAAGATTCTTAGATGATTTACCAATTTATAAGTATAAATAATAACACAATAGTTTTTATAATTAATTGGAACAACAATTTTCAAATGCTACATTTTCATAAAGAACTAGATGTGTGTGGCTTAACACCAAAGATGTACAAAGATAAAAAAAAAAAATTAAAAATAAAAATAAAAAATAAAATAAAATCAATATTTCAACCATTAACAAAAAAAATTAATACATGTTTATTAAATAAATAACATCAATAAATAACATCATTTTTTTTCTTGATAGTTTAAAAAATTAAATTAGATTTTTTTTAAAAGATATTCAATTTTCATATTATAAATATTTATTTTATGTCAACAATTATTGAATAAAATAAGTAAAAGATTAAAAGAATTACAAACATATGTATTCTAAAGATTAATAAGTTTTTTACTCAAAAATTGTTGCAGTGTTTGATTGTTATTTTTTTCTTGCAAGTAATTAGAGTGTCTATTTAAAATAAAAAATTTAAAAATAATTATTGAAACTATTGTAGATCATTTTTACTAAAAAAAGCTATATTTAATCTTTTTACTTAGAAAACATACAAAGGTAATAAATATTTAATTAAAATTTTAAAAATTATATTTCATTTTACCTTACAAATATAAGAGTTAATGTATATATATATATATATATATATATATATATATATATGTGTGTATACACTAAAAATATATAAACAACTAAATATAAAAAATACTAAATAAATATATCTATTTTAAATGGATAAATTATTTACCTAAATTTAATATATACACAAATTAAATCAAATTATACAAATACTTAAATGCATTATAAGTAATATATTTAATTATATTTAATAACCGTGTTGCTATTATGTACATAATGCATGTGAAGATATAAATGATGTTTTCAAAGATATAACAAACAAAAAAGATTGTATAGAATTTAAAAGTAAATATATTTTTATCTATTATAATTGCCATAATTCAATGTACTAGTATATTTTTGTAATTATTTTCTTAAGACTTATTTGTTTCTGAAACAATATGCTTTAATATAGTTAATTTTTAATACTATTGGTACAGTAAATACAATATTATATAATTGAATAGATTTTTTAAAATTATAATAAATAATCTCGTGGTTTACAAAAAAAAACTATATATATGTGTGAGTATTGGATAACATAAATTAATATCTAAGTTGATTTTTATATTTTAAATTTAGTGACAAATATTCAATAAAAGTTTTAAAATAATAAAATTTTAATTAAGTTTAAATTCTCAATTTAAGGTTAAATATTATAATAACCAAAAATAGCATATCAATAATATTAAATATTATTATATGTATTAATTTTCAATAAAAAATAAAAGTATTTAAAAACATAGTAGTGGTTATTTTTGGCATATATAATTATGTAACACACACACACATATATATATATATATATATATATATATATGTAAGTAGAATACTTTTCTTTCGTCCTCAATTTTTTTTAATATCAAAATTAATTTAAAATGATAATAAAAATTTATTAGTAATAATTTATTTTAAATTATAATTATCTAAAAATTAAATATTTTAATAAGATTATAAAAGTAAAGACATAAATAAATAAAGAAATAAATAAATATTGTATTTTTTAAACCAACACCCTCTCAAATTAAAGAATATTATATCTTATCAAATTTTTAATAATTTTTTATTATTTTAATATAAAATAAAAATTTGTTTTTTAAATAAATACTATGAATTTTTTTCATAAATAATTAAGAATAATAATTTTTAATAATATTTTAAATAATATAATAAAATTAAAAATTCTATGAAATTCAATTTTTATAAAAACCTTATGGTCTTGTATATCTTATCATTATATTTATAGTTTAGGACACCACAAATAGTAGATTTACAAGTTTCACAAAAATAATTAATACACAAAGTGCATAAATGATGGAGACAAATTTTAAATAACCCTAATTACTTGTTAATATTCCAAAAATTATATTATAAGAATATCTATAACTTACAAATAAATTTTAATTTTCTTTCAATTATTTTTTTGTCAAGCACAACTGCTTCTTTTACTGCTATTTTAGGTTCCAAAAAAAAATAGAAAATAATCTATTCAAATTCAACCATGTTGCAATTTATATTTGCCAAACTTAGAATAGCCATGGTGCTATTTCTTAGAAACGATTATTTGTTTTTGTTTTGTTTTCAAGGTTGCCCAAATCGGAAGCGTGCATTGACTGCCCGACATGGTGCCCGGGGAGGGAGGAAAGTGGCATCTAGGTCGCACATGCCCGGGAGGCCCGACGGCGCTGGAGGATCATTGAGAACGCCGTCGGAGGAAGAAGGCGTTCATTTTGAATCGAGGGGACGGTTCCAGCGTGGACAAAAGAGGACCTGAAACGACACCTGGGCCATGTGGCTTGAACTCTTCTTCTTCGTCTACTGGTTCTACTTCAACTTCTTCCTCGTCCTCTTCTCGGAGTTGCTGCTCTGCGTCCTGGCCTCCTTTTTGCTGTGTTCTGCCACAGCCTCTCGCACATGCTACGCCTCCTCGCTTCCCCGCTAAGTCTCTAGCTCAGTTCAGCCCCCTGTCTCTGCCTCTACCTCCTTGTCTGCATCCTACGCGCTGCGCACCGTTTTTTCGGTTCCTTCAATGCCCAGCAGCTTCCCTTCGCGCCCCCTCTAGGTTGGTCTTTGGATCGGTCATGGAAATGCAACGTCATGGATCAACGCGTTATTCGTGTGTTGTGGTTTTCTCGGCGGCTCGGGGTGTCGAGTGACGTAGAGTGGTTAAGATTTTGAATATCACGATGTTTGCTGTTTGGGGGGATGTGATCATTGTGTAAGATTTGGAGGGGGAAGAACGTTGGATTTTGGATTTGAGAGTTGTGGTTGGCCGAGGAATTGTGCTGTTGAGTTGTCAGAGCGCAGAGTCTCGGATGTCGGGTATCTTGTAGTTGCAGTGACGTGATCGAGGTTTGTATTGCATGCGAATTTTGTTGGAAACATTGAGTTTGTTGGCTTGTGGAGTTGATTACTGCATCATGGCTGTCGGCGGTCTGAAGGGCGTTGTAGATTGTTTCAGGATATTTGCGGAGGCGGAGCGGTGTGCGGGGAGTGCAATTTGAGTGGGACTGGATTATTGGATTGATAAGTGAATTATGCTCTTCTTCACCACTGGAAATTGAAGAGTGTTCGATCTTGGGTGGGGTCGCCCCTGGGCCCTTTGGATGCAGGACGTAGACAGTAATGATTAAGTCTGCCTCGCGCAGTAGCCCAGAATTTGAATTGGAGCTGCGATAGTTCGCAAACAGATCAATGCGAGAGGCTGTACAAATTTGTTCAAGATCACGATCTTCAGCTTAATTCGCATGGATCATAACTGATGGTAATCTCACTGTAGACAGCCATGGGGGCGTTGACAGAACTTTGCAACGTTTTGGCAGAGACCAAGTGTGCTCCATCTGCAGAAGCAATTGCTGTGCTACGAGATCAATGCCCGGCCCCTGGCTTCTCGCAACGTACGCCAGTGCAACTTTCAGGACGCCAGTTTAATGGCATATTGCTTCTTGCCCGGTATTTGTCACGCACTAGCGACAGAGATAATATACCCGAGATTTTTTCTCTTGTTCTTGAATTCTTTCAGGGTGTTACCTCAATCGTCAAAGATGATTCGACCTCCAGCCCAGATAATATGGATTTGTATTTTGAGGAGCTTCTCAAGTATGTTGTGGAGGTTACAAAAGTTTGCCCGGCTGTTTCTAGAAACTTGAGTAAGATTATTTCTGGATTCATTGAGAAATTTATACTGGATTCGTTGCAAGAAGGTTCGATTCTTGCTAAAGAGAATCCCTCTCTGACAAAGGCATTGTTTTCAGCATTGGCCAAAGGATGTCCTTCATTGATTGCAGATGATGCAGAACGTATAGCACAAAGACTTTTGGAGCACTGGATTATTCCCGTTGAATCATCTTTAGCACCGTTCCCACCTCCAGAAACTCATAATGGTGAATCTCCAGCAATGTATCATACACCTGAGAATAACGTTACATTGCACACCGAACCTTCTATAGACGATCCATATGAACTTAGCGCAATTGGAAGTAATTCTTTTCACACTCCCAAATCCACTCCCTCCAAACTGAGTCCTAGCATGACAGATGGTTCTCATGGCACTGCTGGTCTCGCTGATAGGGTAAATGGCTTGAGCAAGGGTGGAAGAAAATTGCAGGCTTCCTTCGAAGCAGAGTCGCTGGATACACTAGAAAGGCAGGATCTAGCTATGCAACTTTTCGTGCAAGTTCTGGAACAAGCCAGAGATAGTGATCCCCTTTCGCTTCAATTGAGAGCTGCTTCAACAAGACATCTTAAGGATATAGCTTTACTTCTGAAGGTACGCACCAATACATGTTGCGGGGCTGAAGTGTACATCTTTTGAGAGTTGAGTGATAACGTCTACACAATGAAGGATGTTTTCAGCACCATGGTGTTTTCTTCTGCACTTTCGAGAGCACTCCTCAAGCGTGGAATTGAAGTGGTGGTGTTGATTCACGTTCATCTACCGTAAAGAGTGTGTTGGAGATGGTGGAGTTCAATTGCAGCCACTTTGCTAAATTTCATGTAATTACTTGTGGTACTCAAGAATCTCTTTGTCTTCTTCAGATTCGTAAGCGGGATTGGACTGTAGACGGTGTACCGCTGCTTGCTAAGATGAATTTAAAGCTACAGACTGCTCAAAGAGCTTGTGTGGTACAACAGCGCTTTTTGAAACCAGATCCAAACACAAATCTTTCAAGAAGCTACTCAAATGGCAAGCTGCCCAAGACCATAATTCGAGATACACATTCGTTGTTGATGGACGTGGCAGATGCCTGCATTGTATCACCATGGCGAAGATTGAAATCTTGTGAAGCGCTAGTGGGTTCTCTTGTTTCTGTGGTGGCACAAGCTGGTGCCTTGCACGGTAGTCAGATGTTTAAAATTATTTTACTACGTTTCAAGGGGCTTCTGTTAGCTGCATGTGCTCAAGTGAGTTATTTTGCACTTTGGATCCATCTTGTGTCTTGACTACTACCAGCACCACAAAGTTGTCTCCAGTTGCTGTAATTTAGACCACCTGCTGTAGTTAAGAGGTTATGTTGAGTGCACGTGGGTGTGTTGTGCCTTGCTTCAAACAGGTGACCTCTTGGATGTGACATTTTCCCGATTAGAATCTTTCTTGGATTAACGACTGATTTTTATTGTTCTCTATGGAAGTTTAACCACGTGTTTTACAGGTTGATGTGTCATGCACAAGTCCTTTGCTATCAAGCGTTGTCAAATCCGTCTGTACATTGATCGGTGAAGGCTGGAATTTAGATAGGACTGCCATTGAATCTTTCCTCCTATCATTGGCAGCTTATGTTCGGGAACGACTGGCACAGGTATAGTCTTCTTGTTTTCTTGTTGTATCAATAAAGGAGACCAGCATAGATTCCAATTGCTTCTATTTCTGGTCCAGTGTACTTTTCGTGTGACTCATGGATAGAAAGGTGGGTTGAAACAGGAGAAAAAAGATAAGCAAATGACTGCAGTGACTCAGCTAAACGTCATATCTTCACTCGCTGATATTGCAGTCTCGCTAAAGAAGTCAGATGCAGTTGATTTAATATTGCCTCTCTTCATTGAGAGCCTGGAAGAGGGAGATGCTTCTGTTCCAAGTCTCGTAAGGCTCAAGGTAAATTTAACTTCGTAGTTGGTGATATTTTAAACTTCAAGAAAGTTGTACACTCAAGCGACAGAGATCGTTAGCACATGTAATCAGCAGCGTTAATGGGTTAGGCATGTTGTGCTGCAGGTCCTGAATTCATTGGCGCGCATGGCATGCTTGGGCTGTAACAAATCCTATAGGGAGGTTGCTGTGCAGCTCACGCGCGGTTACATGAGCAGGCTTTTAACATTGGAATCCGCATTCAGTCGGCTTGCTCCTGAGCTAACTACTGAATGTGAGGAGGTAACATATCTTCACCGCTCTATTGATACTACTTAAGTTTTTTGAGGATGAGGTGTTTGTAAGTCATAACCATGTCAGAATTGTTCTGAACCTTGTTGTGTAATTTCAGTTCTTTCGTATCATAGCTGAGATTAGTTTTTAGAATTGCTTCCGAAGCGACTTTGCGACAGTAGTGTTATGTCAAGCCTTTTATGGGTTAAGTCTCAATTTGATAGGAAACTTTGATTTTGTTAACTGTAGATCCTGTAAAGTAAAAATATTTGGAACAAAGATACTTCTCTCATTTATGAAATATGTATCTTTGTTTTTAAATGTTTTTGAGTAAAGAGTTATCATTTTAAGTTCTGTAAAACGCGATGTTCCAATGTAGACTCTTCCAAGCGCATTTCTATATATTTCTCAAAGCTTGAAGGATCCAAACATGCGTACAGACTATCGACAACGGCTTCTGATACTCTGCTCTGATGTCGGTTTAGCTACCGAGTCCAAAGAATACAGGTTTGTGTTCTCAGACCATTAAATCTCTTAGCAGTTTATTTTAACTGTTAGAATGCTACAAGTTAGACCAAGTTTTACGGTATAGGGTTTACGGTTTAGGGTTCAGGGTTTTAGCCCAGTCAGGGTTTTAGCGTGAGAAGACGCTTTGATGATCTTGAACTTGTTTTTATGACCTTGTTTTTAATTTTGTGAACTTGCTCAATGACATACTCGTACCGGGTTTTCTGCCTTCTGCAGGAGTGGTCAAAAACTTCTTGGGCCGCTTCTTCCAGCTGTAGCTGAAATATGCTCTGACTTAGATCCAGCTGAAGAGATGGAGCCACAATTGTTGAAGCTGTTGCGTAATCTCTGGTTCTACATTGCCTTATTTGGTTTGGCCCCACCTATTCAAAAAGTTCCTATGTCATCGAAGTCTGCTTCTTTGAGCAGGAGCCAAGTAACTATGAGTAGAAGTCAGCAAACGATGAATGGGATGTACGCTATCAGCGGGCCCTATCTATTGAGCCCTGACTGGGCTGCAGCTGTGATTCGTCTCACACTAGCCACTCCAGCATTAGTAAGTTATTTTCTACAATCTGCGTGCAATACAATCTTGTATTTTTTAAACTTTTGGTTCTTAGAAAGCGAGATAATCACAACTTCACTCGCGTGTTTTGAACAATGGCATTTTTTTTTTAGATTTGAAAATTGCTTTTTTTCTGTCTAAGTATTCCAATGTGTTACCGATTTTCTACTTGCTATGTCCTGAGCTAGTCGGTAATTTGCAATTGTGTTAGGTCGTGAATCCAATGAAGTGGCTAGAGGATGAGCAGGAGCTGAACGCATTGCATAATGCAGACAGTCGCCGAAGGGTTACTAATGAAAAGACTTCATTGATAATGCTCTCTGCTGCGTTGGGTGGGCAAGTTGATGTTGCTTCCATGTCCACAATAACAGGTAAATGATCATCCTAAAGCTTTGGTGTCGATGTAGCGATTCCAGTGATGGTTCCGTTTCCTGTCCTCAATCTCAGTCAACACCTTTGTTAATTTCGCGTTTGGAAGAAAATTGACAATTGCGAACACAATTCCCAGACGTCACACAGAATCTCGATCATGTTAACCTGTGCCTTCTGCAATTACTTCTCATCAAAATTGCCATGTTGATGACTTTCGAAAGAATTTGAGCACCTTTGGGTTGCATTCAGGCGTGAAGGCAACATACCTTCTAGCAGTTGTCTTCCTTGAGACACTACGCATGAGTCGACGTGGAGGGATATTAAATGACAAGGAAACAACCGGAAATCGTAGAAGTGCTTTGATCTGCCTATTCAAATATCTGGAGACCGCAAGTCCAAATGCTGCAGTTGATCAATGTCTTACCACGATTGTTTATCGTGCCTTTGGTGCTGCTTTAACATGGCTGGTAGGTTTTCAGTCACTCTTTTCTGATCGTAAATCTGCACTTGATTGTGGAAATGTTGCAAAAAGATGAATTTTGTCAAGCATGAAACAATGCATGAGGTCACTTTCTTTGGAAGTTTATCAATTGGATTATACTCTGTTTGTGGCAGGGAGAAGAGCGGTTGTTTAGTGGAGACGAGATAGAAGTAAAGCAGGGAATTCTTACTGCTCATGCGTGCTTTTTGATCAAGCACGCAACTCATCGCGAGGAGTCAGTTCGTGAAATGGCAGACAGTTTGCTAAACCAGCTGAAAAACAAATTCCCACCAGTATGTCCTGTCGTACCGATTCGCATCTAAGTTGGTTGTACCATGTCTTTTTGATGACCTCTCAATATGCTCTTAGTTGGCTTGTTCATTATTTCATTGCATCATCCTTTCTCATGTTCTCATTAGCTTTTTGAAATATTTAGCAAGGTAGGTACAAAATTCTTCATTCTTATATTTGTCTGTTTGTTGTTTTCCGGGGCTTAAAAGTGCGGTGTGAAGTGTAAAATTTGTAACCAACGACAGTTCTTACTTACTTAGATGGGTGCCACTCATTCGTGCACTATAGATCTGACTAGTAATCTGGTTTTACATGAATACAGGTTTTGTGGAATAAGCAGTGTTTGGAAGCAATGTTGCGTTTATTGTCTGAACAACCCCCGCTGCAATCTGTTGTAGATGCTACTGCAGTAAGAGAACTATCACACCAACGAGTACAAGAATGGATTACATATGCCCTTTTATATGCACCATCTACAACGCAAGGTCTTATACAGGTATATTGCAATATTCACATTTATCAGCAAAACACATTTTTAGGGGCCACCATGATTGTATCCCTCCGCCCTTCGGAATAATAGAAGCAGGGTGTTTTCTAATAAATATTGTTGGGTTGTTTTGCTTCTGGGTCATGGTTGGAAACTAACATGTGAGATAATGTAAGTTGGCATATCCATTTTCAGCCCATGAGGTTTGACATTGCATGTGGTGATTATGGGTGAGTAGGAATATTTTCGGCAGGTGACTGCATCCCAGAATGTGGCTCATTCAAGCGACATTATTGCCTTATTATCAGATATCAGGTTGGATCCAAGTGCCTCAATAATGGGTGCTGTTCCTGCCGTTACAGCTGCCACTGCAGCTGCTGCTGGCGGTGATATGAGCCGCATGGATGTCTTGTCTGTTGGAATTACGAGTGCAAATGTTAAATCAAAATATGTTGGAGAGATTGCTGGAATGAAGAGGATGCTTGGTGTTAGCATGAGTACTTTAACGTTAAATGAGATGCAAAGAACGTTGAGAAACGGTGGTACGGAAAACGAAGAGTCTCTACATGTAGAGCTTATTGAGCGCTTCATTCAGCAGCTGCGGCAATTTGAAACAGATTCTCAACGCGGTCTATCTATCGAAAAAGAAAGATACCGTGATGCCTGTTTGCAAGCTGCAGCTCTACTTTTATCCAACACTGTAAGGATCTGACTTCCCATCTTCTGCGAATTTGCATAGCAGTTCATATTTAAGCGAGCAATTTAATTGATCATAATCATCGTTTATCAGATTCTAATCTGTAAAACCTTGTCTGCTCAGAAACCTACTAGTGAAGTGACTTCAAAGGCCACTTTCCAGCTGTTGCGAGTGCTGTGTTGGAGTCCCGCTCGCATTTTCACCACGGAAGTGATGGAGACGGGTGTGTTCGCGTGGACGTGGCTTTTTGCAGCGGCCCCTCATTTCAGTTCCTTGGTGCTAGCTGAGCTCGTAGATGCATGGTTATGGACAGTGGAAAGTAGGCGGGGTCTGTTTGCTGCAGGCGTCTCCAATTCCGGGCCTGCAATGCAGCTTCGTCCTCAACTCTTCCCTGGACAGCCTGGACCTCCTCCTGCTCAAGATCCTGTCGAAGCTATAATTGCTCACAGATTGTGGCTTGGATTTTTCCTTGACAGGTTGGAGGTGAGATAGCTTCTAATGGTTTTCTGGAATGTTTTAATACTTATTAATCATTTTCGGTGTTCAATTAGAATCCTTTGTTTCTTACTCAACGACGTCCTCGAATTTGCAGGTGATAAAACACAGCGGAAGTGACCAGCTGCTATTGATGATGCGCTTCATGGAAGGATCGGTGCAAACACATACTCATTTTTCATCTCACCCAGGAGCTGTTGGCACTTTCTTTACTCTTTTGTTCTTGGGCCTAAAGACATGTGAATGCTTGGTTCAGAGCGGATCTCCTAATGGAAGTCTTGGTGTTCAGTTGTTGCGAGATCGCATTTACAGGTGCATTCAATATCTGTTAATTTTCTTGCAACGTGGCTTTAATAAGTCGAGTTCTTATGTAATTTAAAAAATATCTCATTACCTCATCTGATAGCTGAATTCGAGGTTAAATTCAATAACTAGTGTGATTGATTCATTATGCTAATGCTACTTGTAATTAAATTCTAAGGTGACATGATCCTTTTACTTGGTGATACAATTAACCTGATTATGATGTCATGCTGAATTGTGTACTCTCTGTGCGCATTGTAGAGCTGCATTTCAATGGTTTGCAGTGGAGCCAACCTGGCATGAATCGAAGATTGAAGGAATGGCTGCAGCAGAGGCTCAGGCCGTAGCTACATTTACTCAGCAATTGGTCCTTGATATGCCTGAAACTACCAGTCAATCGGAGTTACAAGGTCGTCCACCTTCTCGTTCAGCACGTCTCACCTCTTCAGCATCTCTGCGTCATTATTCATCACCATCTTCCCGTCCAACTGGAAACTTAATTATGCAAGTGAGAAGCCTTCACTATCTGAAATCGACATTTCTCTTGAAGTTAAAATAGTTTCTTATATATATATATATATATATATATATATATATATATATACTTTAATTTACGTCTTATGAGGTAAATGTTACATTTCGGTCAGATGATGATTTTACGACTTTCTCAGCTTCTTGGTAGCTCTTAGTGAACTTTCTGTTTTGTGCTTAGCGATTTGGAGTAAGGCATTGTAGCCATCTTGGAAACAATTTGTGTTTCATCCTCATGTTTTTTCTTCGTTCAGATGGAGATTGAACACCCAGTTTGGGGCAAGATAGACAATGATTCAAGAGCAAATCAGAAACAATTATTGTGTATGCTATGCCAACATGAATCAGATCGACTGGATACTTGGGCTTACCCACTTAAGTAAGCGGGATTTATCTTTTTTTTTTTCCTTTAAGGATCTCCATTGAGGAATTTCAGTCTTATTCAATGCATGGCATCCAGTTCAATGGCACGAAGACGTGCATTAGCGATTAGTAATTGATTTTGAACGGTATCCATTGATGAAAAACAAATTTACTTGTATTATACTCAGCTGTGAGTTTCTTCTTGTGTTCACTCCTTGCAGGGTTTACGCAGTGCCTCGCTTGCAGAAGATGATACCAGAGCGGTGGGGAAATTTTGTTAAGACTGCTTGGGCTGTTGATCCCCGGATCGCTCTTTCATTGGTTGCTAGATTTCCGGGTTCTGCTGCATTAAAAGCAGAAGTTGGTAATTTGGTTCAGGTGCGCTAGCCTACGAGCTTTGATCATATACTTGGTTTCTCTGCACTTCATTATCCTTGTTGTTTGACTGCAAAATACAAAATCGTGTCGTGAATGCTCATCATCCACATACAGACTCGGGGTTCAGGAAAGATTACCTAGTGCTCATTGCTACTTTGTGCTTGCAGAACAACCTCAAAGACTTGACAAATGTTCCAGGGGCGTTACCATACTTTGTAACTCCAAAATCTGTTGAGGAGGATTCAAGCGTTTTGCAATGGTTACCGCATTGGGCCCCGTGTTCTATCACCAATGCCCTGGCTTTTCTAACACCGGCCTACAAGGGCCACCATCGTGTCATGGCGTATGTGCTTCGGGTCATGGAGTTTTATCCTCCTGAGAAAGTAACATTCTTCATGCCTCAGCTTGTGCAAGCCCTTCGCTACGATCAAGGAGTAAGAGACTTGATGTCCACAATGCTACTATCTCTAACCGCTTCTAAATTGTGGTTGGCTGTTTAGGATATTGCTGTTATCTAAAATTTCTCCAACTGGGTTTGAAAGAAAGTCATGCTTTGTGCAGGAACTTGATGTAAAATCTTCTGTACATTTACGCTACTGAAGTAGACGGTTAGGCTTGTCTAAATGACTGAGCTCACTTTTGCAGGGACTGGTGGAAGGATACTTGATGGTTGCAGCTAGAAGAAGCAATTTGTTTTCTCACATATTGATATGGCAGCTTCAGGTTGATTGAGCTCTTCCTTGTTGTATGTCGTTGAGTCGCTCGATTATGTAATGTTTGCTACTGTCATGGTCACATTTTCATATAGCCGTGCATGAACAGGGGGAAGAGGCGCCTGCAGATGATGACATTAAAGAAGATAATGCAGTCGAGGTATGTATCAAACCGTTATTATAATTAAAAAATTGTTTGGAGTGCCAGTGAGAGTGACCAAAACCCTGGGTACAAAATAATTTACCTTTCCGTTCATTTACGAAATATCCTTCTGGTATTCCATGTGCTTTGGTGAAATTTTTTTGTTTCATGACAATAAGTTACCTAATACAATTAAAATGCGTACGACAGGATAGTATATTGTACGAAATTGTACCGAAGATTAAGCAGCGTATTATTCGCAGTTTTTCTCCTGAAGCTCATGATATCTTTCTTCGGGAATTCCGATTTTTCGACAAAGTAACCTCTATCTCTGGAGTTCTCTTTCCCCTGGCTAAGGAGGAGCGACGAGCTGGTATACGCAGGTAAACCTCGTACCTGAAAATCATGATGTAATATCTGCTTCCCCTTTTTTGGTCTGAGATACGACATAGAAAATTCTTGTTTTCTGCGTTTTTAAACTTTGATGAATGTAATATGTGATGACCAACGACAACATATTAAGTATTTTTCTTGTCTTTGGGCTATTAATTGCACTTGTGAGTTTAGAAAGGTGCATAAGCTTTCCCTCGTTTTAGACTCGCATCTGACCGATACTAATGTCTCTGTTCCTGGGTCACACATGATCAGAGAATTGGAGAAGATAGAAGTGGAAGGTGATAATATTTATCTGCCTACAGCACCACATATGTTAGTCAGGAGCATCAAAATGGACAGTGGTATTCCACTGCAGTCGGCTGCGAAGGTGCCAATAATGATCACCTTTAATGTGGTGGAAAAAGATGGTGATCCCGACGATTTCAAACCGCAAGCCTGCATTTTTAAGGTTATTTTTGCAGCCATATCGAGTACATCCCACAATGATTCTGATTGTGTCGCTATCTCATGTTAAATCATAACACAGCTTGCAATGTGCGAGAGCATGTCCCTAAAAGTTACTAAGTCTACTAGCAAACTTTACGTTACCTGATGCACTCGAAAGAGTTCCTAGAACGATAACCTTCGGTGTAATGTTGGCAATCTGGTTGAATATGACACGCTGAAGTTCTGAAACTTTCCAAAGAACAACCTAGATTTGGATTGTCGCTTCTGCTTATATCTTTTTAGGTAGCAGGTAGTTTTTATACGTTTGAAATCGTGATCAGCAGTATGTGTTGAAAAATTGATCTTTAAATTATAACCCGTTGTAGGTGGGAGACGATTGTCGGCAAGATGTACTGGCCCTGCAGGTGATCGCACTTTTGAGGGACATATGGAGAGCAATAGGCGTGAACTTGTATGTATTTCCGTATGGAGTGCTTCCCACGGGTTATGGAAGGGGCATAATTGAGGTATGGTCATTTCTCTTGTCAACTTCCCAGCTGTAACATGCGGAATAAATGATATGGCCTTACTCTGAAGATTTCATGCTTTTCAAAGCGTCTACGTAGGATAGTGAGTTCTGTATCTGTTTTGGGTTTGGCTGGAATAAGAGGATATTCATTTGTTTCTCCGCTTCCTCATGGACTAGTTCATGAAAAGAGTGCCCTGTTTGCTAAGTACACTGCATGTAATCAATTGTTAACTTCATTTATTTGTGCGAAAGTCAAAACTATGTTTCTAATCAGATCTTAGTTTTTGTGGAACTTCCCTCAGGTTGTACCTAATGCGCGAAGTAGAAGTCAAATGGGGGAGGTTACAGACGGAGGGCTGTTTGAGATTTTCCAACAAGAATACGGCCCCGTTGGTTCTGCCCGTTTCGAAGAAGCTCGTAACAAGTTTATTGTTAGTAGCGCTGGCTATGCTGTTGCAAGCCTTCTGCTCCAACCAAAGGACCGACACAATGGAAATCTTTTATTTGACAAGTACGACTTTTCTTCTAGCCTACTCGTGTCTTCTCTTCTGCAATAGTGTTCTTGGTCGTAAAAGTTTCGTGATCATTCTAAATGCCTACTACTCACACTGGCATTGTGTATGAACAGCGAGGGAAGGCTGGTGCATATCGATTTTGGCTTCATACTTGAAACTTCCCCTGGAGGCAACATGCGATTTGAGAGTGCAGACTTCAAATTGAGTCATGAGATGACTCAACTTTTAGATCCCTCTGGAGTGATGAAAAGCGACACCTGGAATTACTTCGTCAGGTATTCTGCTACTCATCTTTTTTCCCTTCGTTGTAGATATCATATGGTAATTTTTTAAATATCTTTCTTGACCTTCTCTATTCTCTAGACTTTCAAATTGTCGTGAGACCTGTACTGGATGGTACACATTTTCTTTTTCATTCTGAGATAAAGTTGAGTACTTACCTATTAAGCAATACTTGCTTGGCAGCTTGTGTGTGAAGGGTTATCTGGCGGCAAGACTCCACATGGACGGGATCTTGAACACTGTCAATTTGATGATTGACAGCGGTCTTCCATGTTTCAGTCGAGGGGACCCTATCGGCAATCTTCGCAAGCGCTTACACCCTGAGCTGAGTGAGCGTGAAGCTGCAACTTTCATGATAAAGACATGCGCTGATGCTTATAACAAGTGGAGCACAGCTGGGTATGATTTGATCCAGTACTTGCAGCAAGGCATTGAGAGATAGGACCATATACTGGCATATCCACCATATATCTAGTTTAGAAGTACAGCATTAGGATCTTATTCATTAAGTCGTATGGTTGTCATACTTACAAAATTTGAAGGATGGTTGCGAGATTAGGAAGGATATCCGTACTTCATTCATTCCCTTCCGTGTATCATATTAATGTTGAGCTCAGAATATCATACAATTGAATGGAACGCAATTTTGTCGCGGGAAAGTTCTCTGTCGATATGTTAATTTCTGTGTACATGCCTGTCAACATCTGGAGGGTGTTTGCAGAACAATCATCTTCTAATTTTCTCATTTACCAATTTATAAATTAAACATTGTACGAAAAACTAGCAGTTGTGCGATTCCTTTTGATTCACTCATTAGATTTTATCAAAGATTTCGTGACTTATATCAATGTCAGTTACTACGATCCGATCATCTAATTTTTATTTATTACATAATGTAAATTGCAATTTTTTTGACGGTATTTTTATGTAGATAATTTTATAACATTACTTCCAAAACTTATACAGAATACCTTTGGACTATTCAAAGTCAACATGTGCCACCACAAAAGATTACATTTCGTTTTAATAAAAAGTAGATGGTTTGTAATTTTTAAGGAACATAGAAATTATCGTTATAGAATATCTATGATGATTCAAAATTTTTAAAATTTCTCATATACATCTTTGTAAAAACAAAAGAAATGTTATTAAATGTTTGTATTTTAATTTTACTTCAATAAATACTGGAAAAGCCCTAAAGAGTCATAAAGCAATACATTATATTAAGATTTTTTTTAGTAACTTACATATGTTGTGAAGAAGTAAAATAGTTGTGCTCATTTATATTAACTTTTAACTGATAACAATTCTATTACAATTTTATATATGTCTCTCTCTCTCTCTCTCTCTCTCTCTCTCTATATATATATATATATATATATATATGTAATACTTCTAAATTATGTTTAATCTTTAAGTCAAAGCATGAAGTCATAGAATTATTATGGATGATAAATAATAAATTGGTAATATTGCCATATGCTTTTGTGCTATGTAATAAGACAATGTCATCTTCAAACCTTAAACATTTATAAAAGTTTTGCAACAAGTCTTAAGTATGATATCAAATAATGCTCAAATGTTAGTGTTTGATCATTTGTAAAAAAAATAAAAATAAAAATAAAAATAGGTGACCTAATAATAAACTACAAATATGATATCTATACAAGGATAATAATATTTTATAATTATTAAGTTTTTACATATATGAAAAAAATCAAAAAAAATCTAACCATGATAGTAAAAAATAATAATGATTTAAGTTAATATGATTTCTACTAAAAGCCTAAAGATTGTAATATAGAAATTTTAAAACAAATTATAAATCCTAATTGTATTATTTCTAAAAACGATTGTACATCTTTAAATTGGCAAATAAACTAATTTCATACAATTTTTGCAATAGAAAAAATGCAAACTTATTTTATTTAGGCTCTTAGGAAAAATAAAAACAAAGTATTCATTAAAAAAATTACAAACAGTAGTTGTCAAAAGTCGAGTGATAATTTTTGCAGTTAAACAATTTCAATATAAAACTTTAATCCACTAAATTAAAAAAGAAATTTCAATATAAATAAAATAAGATGAAATTTTTGTTTTACTTTTATTTTGATAAAGCTTTGTACATCAAATAAGAGAATTTTCAAAACATTTACTCACACGTCTCTCAATTTTTTTTTTAAATAGTTTGGTTAAGAATTTGTTTCTCCCAATCTCAGTATCAATACAACAATGAAGACCACACATCACCCTTCAAACCACATGCATCACACAATTGGGTCAACGTAATTTCCAACCCACCCAAATCCAAACCACAAACAAGATCCAAAGACACACTAAAACGAGCCAATTAGGAAGGAAAAGGAGGAGAAGAAATGGCTAATGCACGGGATAAGAGTGAGACGAATGCGACCACAAGATTACGGCGACTAGAATGGCAGAACGGGCTTCCTTTCTGGCCCCTTCCTTCCTTCAACTCAAGCAAGCCACACTGGCAGTCACAAACGAAGGAAGGAAGAGAGAAGCCACAATGGCAATGAATGACTTCAAGGGAAAGCCAACAAACCAACATTCGTACAGACAACGTAAAGACAAACCAACCCACTCCATTTGGGGAGACTTTTTCCCTGCTTAGCGACGAATGGCAGGTGTGCGGGTATTCCGAATTTCCCCGTTTTGAAGACGCTGGTAGACTGCTGAACGCGCTTGAGAAGTTTGGTGTTGTTTTTCTTTTTATTCTCCAGGGGGGCTGCAAGTCATGTCGGCTACAATCCCTGGAGTTTGACTGATAGAAAGGAGAAAACTCGGGCTGGGGTGGAGTTGGCTTGAGGGGAAGTGCATGATCCACATAAAGTGAGTGGTAGTGTGTACTTTCAGTGATTTGAAATTGAGGAGAATCGAGGTGGTGGTGGAGGGGGAGAAGGTTGGTCCTCCGCAGATCGACGTCCACGTTGCGGCTTCGGGGGGAGGGGACACGGACAGCATCAGCCTTGCACCCACGTGGAGTTTTCGTTTCATGTGGGAATCAATCCCAGCTTCGTCGTCTTGGATTCCTGACTCCCTTGCGACACCTTTGACGAGGTGCGTCTGATTTGTTTGTAGATGGTCGTCATGAAGTTTTTTGGTTGTTTTTTTATTGTGTGGTCGCCCTTTGAAACGAGCTTTCCCACAAGTATACCGTTTTATTTAAATACCTGCACAGCGTTTAGGGAACGTGCCCATTGTGATCCATTTCTGATACGCGAGTCGGACTTGTAGGTCGGAAGACGGTGTTCGGAGAGCATTTCCTGCTTTTGCTGTTGGCCACTGAGGGTGTCCCGGTGTCGAGTTGTGAGTAGGGGCAATGTCTATAACGGAAGCAGAGGGAGTGAAGATGCTTAGCGGGCATGTGGTGCTGTTCCCCTTCCCCGCTGCAGGGCACATCGCGCCTTTCATTCCTTTCGCTAAGAGCTTAGCTCGCTATGGTGTGGCCATTACGTTCATGTGTCCCAAAAACGAGATCTCCAAGTTGAAGCGGTCCATCACCGAGGACGAAAGCTTTGACGCCCGTGAGAACGTTATCCTGGTGCCATTTGAGATTCCTACAGAAGACGGATTGGACCTGGTGACTTTTGACGTGCTGAAGCATTTCATGTACAAAAATGTCGAGAAATTCGACGAGATTATTGCCCATTACATTGAGGAGTCGCGGTCCATCAAGTATCCCAGCCGCTCCTCTAGCGGACCTCCAGTTTGCATCGTGTCCGACATGTTCATGGGATTCACCCAGGTCAGTTCTGTCACCTGCACACACACTGCGGACCAATCCGTCGCAGTCTCTAGCGGTTACGAACTTCTAGGATTGTAACTGGCCACTTCAAACTGAAGCTAACAGATACTGGCATGAACTGACATTGAGATTCTAGTACACACATTGATAATGCAGAGCATTACATTTCCATGTGGCAAGCATGTACAGAATTAGAGAAAGCCCGGTTATAACCTAACCCACACTCTATACTTATATGGTGCTCTCGATAAATCGGTACCCAATCCTACTGACAATGTAATTTGATAGCGGTAACCGCTAATCGACAGATGTAACACTAGTGCTGAGCAGGGTTCAATTCAAACCATCTTACCGAATAATTAACCTAATACCAGATATCAGATGTCGAGTAGAGCGCAGGAAGGACCCCCTCACATCTTGCCGGAGGATGAGCATAAATCTATTGGTCGCTTCAGCATTCTGCTATCAGCTCCTTGTCGATTAGTTTTAAGCTTTCGCATGTTGGATGGGAATTTGCGCAATGGGCTTTCGGAGCTGACTGTGAGTGGGTGTTGGGCACAATGTACAGGGAACTGCGGAGAAATTCAGCATTGTGAGGTACTGCCTCTTCGCTTCTCCGGTGCATTTTCTATCGCTACTTTTCCACCTTCCCAAGTTCAATGACGAGAATTTAATTCCCGTAAAGAAAGGAGACGAGCCCTTGATGATCCCGAACTTCCCCCCAATCCCTGCTGGCGATTTGCCGCCTTCTCAGCAGGCCGACAATGGGAACCCTGGGTCTCATTTCTTCCTTCTTAACGAAACGAAGCAGATGTGGAAAGCAGCTGGAGTTCTCGTCAACAGCGTGGAAGAGATAGAGCGCCCTGTCCTTGAAGGACTCCAACGCTACATCGACGAGACCATGTCCGGTGATCAGGTACATCCTTTTTATTCAGCTCATTCGCTGTAGAATTTAGCGGTACTACATTATGCTTCTAGAACTCGGCATGAACACCAGTGGATGCGGTGATTAGCCTTAGAAGAATTTACGTTTTGTTGGTGCTGGTTTTACAGGGGCCGAAAATAAGCACGTTTGGCCCACTGGTGGATGGTTGCGGAGAAGGAAAATTGTCTCTACGAGACAAGCTCCGAGAAATGAAGGAGGGAGGCGACTGGTACGACTGGTTATCCCAGCAACCAGACTCTTCGGTGCTCTACATGTGCTTCGGAACGGTAGCCATGTTAAGTGACGAGCAAATCCGGCAGATGGCCATCGCCCTGGAAAACAGCGGGCAGCGCTTCTTTTGGGCATTGCGCCTACGGAGAAATGAGACCGGCGCCCCACAAGACGTCTCTCGGGTGTTTCCTGAGGGGTTTCTGCAGAGGACTAAATCGAAAGGTCTGGTGTACTTCGATTGGGCCCCACAGCTGCACATCCTGGCGCACCGTGCTATCAAGGGATTCGTCACCCACTGCGGGTGGAACTCCACCATGGAGAGCATCCTCATGGGCGTGCCCACGATCGGGTGGCCTATGCAAGCGGAGCAGATGCTGAACGCCATCTTTCTGGACAAGGTGCTGGGCATCTCAATCCGCATCAACAAAACCGCCGGGTGGAAAGACATGATCTCCAGCGACACCTTCGAGAGGGCCATCCACACCTTGATGGTGGATCCCTCGGGCGAGACGATGAAAGCCAAAGTGTTGCAAATCAGCGACACGGTAGAGAAAGCTGCCAGGCCAGGTGGGTCTTCCAGAATCAACCTGGAAAGCTTCGTGCAGGATGTGCGTAGAATGGCATCAGGCGGGGTGAACTCGTAGTGCTGACGGAAACCGATTAGGACAAAAACCCCGTGACGAAACTCAGATTTTAAAAAAAAAGAAAAAAAGAAAAAAACCCCACGTTTTTCTGACCCCCCCCCCATGGCCTCTCCCATCAGATCAACGTGGATCTTCCCCCTTTTTTATGCCTGATTCTCAGTCTGTGGTTATAAATAGCGCTACGTCGATGCCTTCCCTCCTACGACACACTCTCACTCGGTCATCAATTGTAGCAGCACAACGCCGCACCCTACCATCACCAGACTGGCTCTGAGCCCATCTGAGCCAATTCATCTCCGAATCACAAGATGTGCAGAGAAAGTGAAGCATGCGTGGGTCGGAGATTGTTCATTTCATTCATCGTTCTTCTTCTAGATTGGGAATGATCGATCCTCCTTGCGATCGATCAATCGATCTCAATTGATCAGAAGCAATTCCTCTATTGAGATTGTGTGTGTGCTACTCCTCCTCCTCATGAGCAATGCACGTCGCTTCCACGGAGCCGGCCAATGCTGGATGAATGAAACCCGTGGATGAATTAGATGTGGATGTAAGGTGGGTAGATGATAGTTGTAGATGGATGAAACGTCGATTATATATGCGTAGATGAACTTCAAACTACAGGATTTTTTTGTAAAGATATTTTTAGAGGCAATAAATTAAGTGGGTGTTTTTATTCATTAAATGAAAAACTCATTTGTAGGGTTGGAGAGAATAGCGTATTTTCTCGACCAGAATTAAATGTAACCGTTTGTGTGGCAAAAGTGGTGTAGATTTGTTTTTGATAATTCTACTGTAGTGGATGGTTTTTTATTTTATTTTTTTATTTTTTTATTTTTTTTCCTTCTCCTTCTTGTGAAAATATATTTGTTTGTACATTAAAACAGAGATGTTCTGACGAGTTGAGATGTTTCCTTTCATTAGTTTATATTTGAAAGTGAAATGCTTTTGAGGATTATTAAATACTATTGAGAAGTGTGTGATGAGGGGAAGAGTTGAAGAATCTCTGTATATTATATTTGTTTATTTATTAACGCAGTTTGAATAGTTCAGGTGGACAATTTCTAAAGCATGACAATAAAATTAGGTATAATCTGATAGACTACATAGTATTTATTATGTTAAATCATTGAGAATCCAATGTGATAACACCTAATGATTTTTTATTACTTTAGGATGATTCTGTTTTATTTTATCTGTACAAAGTTATAAGACCATGTTCCGACCTGTAAAATAACTTTACACTATTTTGCAAGATGACCACTCTATAGATATTAATTTTTTGTTTACATTACACAGGGTCCTCCAAAAGAATATGTATCAATTTTTGTACTTACAAAATAACATTCTTTTTAGGTTTATAAAACTACAAAAGTTTCATTGAAATTCAGTGGATCTACTAGTGACCATGTTTTTGCAACTAGTTTTGCCTTGTAAATTAAAATATCATACTCTACATTTTTTTAGGTGCACAATACCCACTTGCAATCAAAAATAATGTGATCAAAGATGTTCCATCTTCCATGAGAGATTGATGATTTTCTTCTAATTTTTTATTTCACTTGCTTTTATCCAAGGATTTGCATAGTTTTATGCAAAATCAACAGATCATAAATATAAAGAACTATTTTTTCATTTTTTTTTTCTAACTTAAATAAAATGTGATTCCTCAATTGATTTCTTGGTAGTTTTTCTTTTTTCTTTTTTCAGTCTCTCTTTTGACAGATTTTTAGTAGGTTTTCTTCTTTTTACACATCTTCAATATTTTTAATATTTTTGTCACAAAATTTGTTTCTTATCTTCGATAAAGATGAAAATGAACACTTCGTGAGGTAATGCTCATAATCAACTATCTTTACATCAACATTTTTATCTTCATCAATGCTTAAAATAAGTAGAGATTTATCCATAACATCTCAGTACTTTCAGTTGGATGTATTTTCAAGAATTTATTGTGATGAAATATTCTTTTAAAATGCCACCAAATTTTGTAAATATAAAATTAATTCCGTTAGTAATTTGATCTTCTGTTCCAATTTCTTTTAGATAACACCTTAAATTTCTTAAATAGAAAGGTTTTATAAGTATTGTACACAGTCTTTCTATAGATCATGTGTTTTGCAACACCTAAATTAAATATGTATTTGTATATGATACTCGTTTTATTCTACTTTTTTTCTATAAGTACATAATCATCTCATCCATGTTCATTATTTGCATAATTTGCATAATTTACAAATTTTCTTTGCATATTACTTAAATTGAAAGAAATTTTGAGCAATGAAAATATATATTTCAAAACGGTCTGTTCTCAAATTAGAATACTGTAAAAATAACTTCTGGTAGCACAATTAAAGTGGGAACTTTTATGGATATGGATCTTAGAACTCATATATAAATTTTACTGATTTATAAGTAAGGTCATTATTACATTTGCATCTTTAATTGGAAAATCTATTATGATAATTTGAGTATTAAGTATTTTTTTTCTTATTGTTGTAAGCTTAACCTGACTCCAACTTTTTCTATCATAAGATTAAGAATGCGTGTCAAATTAAAATGGCATTAAAAATATTTCTTTGAGACCATGATAGTTAAGTAATGTTTTAAAAGTTGTATTGTAATTTTTTTAAAACATAATCAGTTAAGTGAAATCTTTGAATGTTAATATGTTTGCAATATTTACATCAATAGAATTAGAAAGAATCAAGAATTTATTTTATGAGAAATTGTAAATAGATCGACGTAGTAGTTGTGAGAATATTTGAAGATAAATTGTACAATTATATTATTAGTGCCAAGCCAAGATGTCTTTAATTTTTCTTGATACATTTTGAACTAGTTTATGTTCATTAATGTTTGTAAATGAAAAGTATAGTCTAAGTTATTAGATTATCATAAATCATTTCTTTAAAATTACTTTTTTATAACTTGAAATGAATGAGTTTTTTTTTTTTTTTTTTTTTTTTTTTTTAAGATTTCAAAAATGTTTTTATGACTGCAATTGTTTTTTAAGTAATCGTGACATCTCGTGGAATATTTTAAGAACTTATACAGAGAAGGTCATATTTTTTTAAAATACAAAAAAAATATGCAAGATACAAAAGAACAAAGACTAACATTTATCAACTTATGCTCGAAATAACACGCCCTCACAATCCAAAACTTAAGTTTTAAAATATTGATTACATGGATAGGAGAAAATCATGAATTGATGAATTAATTTTTGGTCGGCAATTTTTTGCAACAAGCCACTTGTTTGCTATAAAGAAGACTCCGTCATAATCATGGTTGACAACTAAGCCATGTTTTATTTAACTCCACCGTAATCTACTCAAGAAAAATAAAGAAAATTGATAGTAGCATGGTATCGCCTTTACATGACATACATTTGTGTGTAAGTGATGATAACAGTGCCGATTGCAACAACAATCTAACCACCTGACCATTTGTTTGCATCCATTCACTCAAAATACATTGATGAAGTAGTAAGCGCACACTATCAACTTATGCTCATAACTATTTTCAAAACACCACTAGGATTTTATCTGTACCAATGTACAATAGCTACAGCTGAAGGGTAGTGTAAGAATACTACCACAGAACCACTTCTCCAACACGATCACCATCATTTCCTCTAATGCTGAAAAAGACGGCGGTATTTCGTGTTGAGCGGGTCATCTTTTAGGCTGCCTCGGCAAATCCTAAGCGGGTGTTTCCAAAATCGAAAACTGTGTGATATACTCCCATGAAAACGTCTCCCAAAATCCTGAAAAAAACATTTCCAACCATCGTCAGATGAAAATAGATAGCAAGCGATCTCATAAATGCTGGTTAAATCTCGAAGTATGTGCACCATGAAACCGGGACGAAGAATTCATACCACAGAGGCCCTGCTGGAGGAGGGACATCAAGTCCTAGGAAACCACTGATGCACTGCGCCTCTGCTCCTTCCCCAATTTTGAGAATGTACTGTAACAACCACACCAGAATTAAATTTGGATGAACACATTACAAAAACAAATAGTCGGTAGACACATGCCATGAAAACAGTGCAATTCATGCATTAAAGCACAACAAAGATCAAAGAGTACATATTACGCAAGATCAGATATGCAAGTAGGATATCTAGACAGATGTAGCATATACTAACCTCCTCTGGTTTAAGCTCGAAGGTTTTGTTAGAAATAGTGAAGGCCACATTTGGCATTGAGGAAAGCGAATTGCAATCTACCGCAGACTCGCCATTCGGACTTGGCAATCGCTCACAAAGCTGAACGACGAAGTATGGCATTAGTAACATACGATTACAAACACATGAATTGAGCTCAAAAAGAGGGAACGAACACCAAGTACTTACAACCAAGGCTAAAAATAGAACAAGTATCCATGCAAATATCAACACCCTCCAAATGATGTTGCACTAATTTTAACTACCTGGTTCAAGTAAGCGTCGATCTGCTCTTTTGTTCTGTTCTGACTGAGCTGGTTCTGGGCCCACACAACAGCCATTTCACATACTGTGCACAATGGATCTTCGCGCAGAGAATGAGACTGGTCCTTCTCCACAACGCTGGCAATCCCTGGCTCACCAGCTCCGAAGTTGCATAAACCAAGAGTAGTGCATACTTTCCCGGGGTTCATCTGTAGTAAAAGATATCAGCCAAGGCATGACTTTCCACTTTTTTCAACGTGAATGTAGGCAGGACAAACTCACTTATATTATTGTACTAGAGAAATAGGGAGAAGAGTTCGTTCTTGCACTCGTGCACCTTTCACCTAAGAAAATTCAATACTCCAAGGCAGTACATGAACATAATCCATATCAATAACGTAAAAGCAATATTTTTTAAGTTACCTGAGCTAAGAGCATCTCAACAATCTGGTCACCATACTGCTGAACAACCATCTTGCACTGCTGGCTAACAACACCAGTAGCACCAATGGCCTGGTTGATTTCTGCAACGATTCCCTACAGAAATAAGCATTCATCAACAAAATCAATACCTGACATGCAACTGGAATGTTTCAAAAAATAACAAGCTGATACATTATGAAGCCTCAAAGATTTAACCAATCCACAACAACAAGATAAACAAATAAAAATAAGAAGAAACAGGACTTAAACAAATAAACAAGTTCTCACCGATGGTCCAGCAAGCAGCGACGTGCCGGAATCAGCAATGGCAGTGCAACCATTCGCACAGAAACCTGTGGTGCGTCCATTGATGGTTACATCACCAAGATCAAACTGCACAAACGAATAAAAACACAAGTTAAGCGTTGTTTGGCTGAATTTACAAATTGATAGAGCCTACAATAACGGAACGAAAAGAACAGCAATAAATACATCAACCGAAACTCTCCACTATGGAATGACTTACCTGCCAGTATCCCTTGCGCGTCACAGGAGTATAAACGTGTTCACCCTTGAAGTGCTTAGGGTCAACACCACCTAAAACCAACTCACCGCCAGAAGATTCATCTGGATTTCGGTTCAACCAGAAAGAGAAAACAGGCTCCTTCACAAGCCCCTGATCCAACATGTTGTACCTGAAGAAGCAAAAAGGAAAACATCAATTTCAAAAATCTGAGGTAGTAAACAAACCAGTTGATCATTTTAGAAACATCGACTGAGGGAGGAACGCTGGTACACAAGCCACGGAAAATATACTTACCATGGAGGAGTCACCCTGTTTACAGAAATCTCCTTAAATCCAAGACCAAGAATGCCGTCAAACTTGGCTACGACAAAAGTGAGACCAGGCTCCTTCGTAGCTTCAGCAAACACCTACGGAAAATGCAATATTAGATGGGCCCGACCTGTTTGCTCAACGATACAAGCCCCTAGTTGAGCTTCTCTGGATTACACACCTGTACAAGTTGTAACTTTAAGGATAAAATCTAAAATTTGAGCCTATTCCGAGGCCCAATTCGAAAGACTGTGAATCCACAGTGTGAGTAAAATAGGTGCAACTAAAATTCTCCACTACGAACGTGTTCGATTGTACTCACCTGGCCTTTCACCGTGAGATCACCAAGTGTGACATCGTCTTGACTCAAGAAACCTTCCATAGACCCAGTGCCGTATTGGATAGCAAACGACGTTCCTACAACACATGCATTTAAAGAGCTACATAAAAGTCCTAGAACACATAATAAAATACTCGATGACGTTTAAATGCTACACAACAAAAACATGACGCTAATTGTGCGAAATTGAACTAAAGGGTAAGCTGCGTACCATCTTCCTTGTATGTGCTCGACTTGCCTGATTTGTACCTATGATGAAAGTAGCAAGCCAGCTGCAAACCAAGAGAAATCACCTAGTCAGGGCAAACTGCCATACCTTTTACCAAGCCAACAGTCACACACGCGAGTTCACACATACCTACGCTTAAGCACTACATAGAGCTAACTCTAAAAATGAGCACAGGCACTACAGAGCATAGGCTTGCACATTTCCAATTGTGACAAATGTGTACCCAACGACAACCAACACCGAAACCAAACCCATTCCACGCCAATGACACATGATCAGCTACGGTTTCTGACCACAAACAGCGGCATGAATGATGCGCCACCAACTGAACCCAGGAATTAATAACCATCCCAAGGAGAAACGCACCGACAAGTAGCACTTGGCAGACGGGACCCAGAGATTGGAGCTCCCGGTGTCGAAGATGACAGCGAAGGGCTGGGGAGGCGACCCTATTCCGATCTCTCCGAAGTACTGCGCGTCCAAATAGTTATTCAACGCCACGATGTCCTCGCCATCCCTCAGCTCATCCTCACTTCTCGTAAACGTCTTCGCCCTCTGAATCGTCCTGGATGCAGCGTTCCTCACCGATTGCAAGGTGACGGGCTTCTTCTTCAGCGCGATCCTGCGAGGGCTTGCCTCAGCTAAGGCTGCTAATACTACCAAAACAACCAAGAAGAAAGCCAATCGAACACTCCTCGATGCCCCCATCGTCACTCCAGACCCAGTGGCCACAATTCACTACAAATCAGCGGAAACCCAACTGGTGAATCCGTCTCTACAACGATCTCCAGAAGGCAGTTGAACGCAAACCCTGGCTCAAGAGGAAATGAGAGAAATAGAAACTCCTATGTAGCACACCACCTCTTCTCGGTAGAGCGCGGTGACCCACTTACTAGTAATGTATAACCACGTCGTGAGCTACAAAAGGTCACATAGCAGGGGAAGTACCGGCGCGCGTCAGTTCTCGTACCGGAAAGGCCCCTTCAGAAACGGTCCAATTTCCACCCTCGGTCCCCGAAGCTTCACGTAAACAACACCGAAAATCAGGCCACCTCTGCTGGCTTAATTCTCATCATCGTCATCGAACCACGGACTCGTCGCTCTCTCTCTCTCTATCTCTCTCTCTCTTGTTTCAGTGATGTACATACAAGTTTGCGGCACAATACACATCTGTTGTTGTATGAGTGCTCTCTGAGTTGCTGGCAAAAACGCTCTACTTAACGGAGAAACACGCTAAGCTGCCGAGGTTTCGTCAAATCGAAGCGATTGTGTCTTACAAAGTAACCCGAGGGATTTGTTTTTGTGGCTTGAAGCAATGTTGTCCAGCCATGTTGGCTGTAACAAGTTGTTGTATCAATTTTTCCCCTTTTTCTTCAACATGACCGATGGTTGTTTACATCACAGTTGCTGATTCAAAATGCAAAAAGATGTGTTCATGAAAGAGCTTTAAACTAAACTGATGCAACCACGCTAAATGCCATGATAAAAATATATTATTAAGATGAGTGAAAGTGAGCTACAGCACTGAGAGTTTGCTGCTTGAAGAGACAATCACAAATTTAATAAGAGAAACAAACAACACAAACAAACAAACGTAAAGGCCAAGTAACCAGAGTGAATGAATCGTTTTTACGATTTTCCAATCAGTCTTCCAACACCGCTTCTCATTTTATATTTATATTTTTTTTTCAAGATTCCATTCACTTCTTCTTCATCTTCTTCCTTTTCAACTTTCTGCTCTTGATCGACGCCGTTAATCATTCACCCAGCCACTCAACCCTGCTTTTGTTTTAGGGTAGGCTTTTTGGATTCTTCCTTCCCCGCGTGGCATTGCACCAAAAGAAAGCCACAACAACATCAATATCAACAACATCAACAAGTCACCGCTATATATGTAAATACACCCACACACACAAGCACAGATAAGCTATTCCTATCCATCCATCTATCTATGCAATCTTTCTAACTTCGGAGAGAATGGGTTTGCTTGTTTGCTTGCTGCTCAAGGGAGCCCCATCCCATGCGGGGATACTTTTTCAAATTACGAGAGTAGGGAAGTGAATAACAAAGGAATGAAGCTCCCTTTTGTCGTTTGTTGCTCAAAGGCGGTGGAGAGGGATATGCACATTTATTTAAGCGAATGTGTGGACAGAAAGGAAAAAAACGTGTGCCTCTCTTTCAATGTAGTGTATTGCTAACTATGTACCATGTAAGGCATGAAAACCACACTAACTTTACTTTCTTTTTATTATAAATGTTTGTGTCAAAACACATGTCACAAATTTTCTTAGAAATATTGATTTTCAAAGCCTTGGATTTTGATGTACCAATCCTATTAAGTATATTTCTTTGAAAAACATTACTCGATGATTTATTGCAAAGTAGTTCAAGTTTACTTTTCTGAGTTAGCAAAATCAATTATTATCCTTAGTAATTAAATGAAATATACAAATTATTATCACAGTTTAGTCTTTATTGAAGTGCATAAAAACAAATTCTTCTATTCTCAAAGTATAGAAAACTTTAGGGGTGTTAAACTACTTATGTTAATCTTTTATTTTTTGTGTTGTTTTAAAAAAATTTAAATCATGGTATAGACCAGGTAGAAATGATAAATAACAACGTTATAACTCACACATATTAATAAATAAACAAACTAAAATCTTAATAAATAAACTAAACATACTAACAAACAAACAAAAGGGGGGGGGGTGTAAAACCTTATCTCAACATTGCAATTCACAATCAACATAATTCTTACAAAAGGTGATAAAAATCTCTTGAACATCTATGCATTATGCAACAAGTAATGTCCATGCAAGTGCAAGTGGATGGATGAAATTAATGGGCATAGATGGATGTTGTGGTTCATCCATCCTTCCAACAAACATTAATAATTGATGAACGTCTCCAAAAATGTTTCCAAAAAATATTCCAAAGAAATTTGGTCTAATATTTATAAGTAATAGAAAATGACATGTTGAAGTTTTTAGCATTTCTAATTAATTATCACATCATGTTGGTCATTATCCTTTGGTCTTACTTGAATTATGTAATTACAACAACATTTTTTTATTTATTTATTGTTAAAGTTTCATTGTATTTATTTAATCCTTAGTTGGTATTAGGAGTAGGTTTGGTAGAATGTATTTAAGTTATGATGAAGAACTGGTTGTGATTAAATGTTGTTGATGTCATCTTTGTGGTTTTAAGTCTAATTTAGTGGAAAGGGACATACTAGGAAGAGAATTATCAATACAAAGATTGTCAAACACAGTAACATCAAATAAAAAAAGTCTTTAATGTGTATTTACAACAGTCCGTTTTGCTTGAGTAAGACAAAGAATAAAGGTTTTAATTTGAAAAAATATTATTGTTATTGATAGGACAGACGATGTTTCAATTTCAATTTCGATTTTTTTGTTATGTTGTTGTGGTGTAAAACTTAATAAAAAATCACAACGAATATTACAAATGTTTCAAGGCATTCTCATAGATATTAGCTGTATTGGTGTTTATTTCATAAGTTATTAATCTTTTGCTTGTGCTGGGTTGTAAAGAAGCATTAATGGTAGTCTATTGGCACTCTATTTGCTGCATGGATTCTCTTTAGTTTAATTGTACCACTAATTCTCCTATTGTAGCCTATAATTAAACTTACATGAGTTTTATTTCTTTGATTGAAAAAGAAGAAGAAGGTCTATTCCTTACTTGTGATTGATATTCAGTAAAACCTCAAAACTTTGAATATATGAAAAATATATAAAATACTTAAAAAGCTATCATTTTTATCTCTTTTAATTTTTTGTAATTTGTAATTTGAGATAATCTATAGATTAGAACGGGTTAGAAAAAGAGATTATATATATATATATATATATATATATATATATATATTGGTATATTTATTTATTTATTTTTAACTAAGTTTTAAATTTTTGAATATTAATTAGTGCATACATATGTAAATGTATATACACACCTGCATTGCTTATTCTTTTGTACGATGTGCAACTGTTATTTTATCTGGTCATACAACATCTGAGAGTACTTTTTCTTGATCCAATGCCTCGTATCTTTTTATGTAAATATGTATAATAATTTAAAGTAATTATTTCAAGAATTTTTTATTTTATAGAGGCAAGATTGATGTGATTTCTATAAATTAACAAAATACACTTCATTGCACATCAATTTCTTTCATTGATATTTTTTACTTTTAGAATTCTTGTCAAAAAATTAGACTGATTATATAAAGTGCAATGAAATGATCAATATATTAATATCAAAAATAATTGTTTATATTAGCAGATTACCTTTCTACTTCTGCCAACATTCTTTTATGAAACTGTGTCTCAACATCTTGTAATACTTGTGCATGTTTTGAACAACAAAACAACACTATTCAAGTTAGAGTTGGAATGATAATTTATAACACAGAGTACATGGCTGGAGAAACTCACATACACAAATGAATTTTCCAAAATTGTGAATGAAGAAATTTAAATCTAATGTGTGCTTATTAGTATATAATTGAGTTTTTTTCTCCAACTCACCTTTATTTTCTCCAAAAATTTTGTGTATTTATTTACCTTCTTTAATAGATAAGAATGTTGGACATAGCATAAAACTTCCAATTATTTGTGACATCCTATACAAAAGACAAAACTGATTGTTGCTTGAATGTTACTTGGGTTAGGTATAAGCTCAATTCATGTTAAAATTTACATTGAAACAAATCTATGAGATGAACAAAAAATGCAGTAAAAATATATCATGTTTTATATAACACTAAGACTATGTTTACCTATAAGTTATCTAAGAACTTGAATTTTGTTTGATTTCACCCTTTCAAAATTAGAAACAAAATGAATTGAAGTTACAACATGAATTGATCATACCTTAGGATAGAACTTTGCGTGGCAAGAATACAAATCATCTACTACAACATCTACAACATCTAAGCAATGCAATGCACCAAATTAGAGTCTAACTAGCAAGAAAAAGACAAAAGACAAAAAACAAAAACAAAAACAAACACTGATGCAAAATGCCGCCAATTATTGTCACCTTTATATTCTTTGATTTAAAAGATCCACTACAAAAACTCCAAGCAAGTCCAAACTCTACAAAATTGTCTCATGATAGCCATAAACATCAAATAATGACACTTCATCTCTATTGCTCAAAATCTCTACCACTACCAAATATAACTCGTATATACATGAGTTTTATAGAATGCTTTGCAATGCTTCAAAATACTAAAGTTTCATCCCAACACATTGGTGTTATGTGTTGAGGCATTTGAGATTTAATGTATAGTTTAGATTGCTCATAAGTTTTATAAGGCTTATAGAAAAAAACATGGACTTAGTTGGCAAATGAGAATATGAAGGCTCAAAAAATGAAACAAAATTAGTTTTTCTAAGCTACTACTTTGTGCAAATCCAACTTGTGCAAGATGTGATTAATTGCAATGGTTGCAGAGCCTACATTCTTGTCTTTACTCAAACAAAAAATGTCACCTTAGAGCTCGTAGGTGCTTTATAAAGTCATGTTGAATTAACTTTATTAGAATAATCCTCAAAATCAGCCAAAAAAAACTTGTCAATCCAACTCATTGTTTCCTAGTCCAATCAAACAAGCTTCTAGAATCTAAAAACAACAAGCTTTCATTGTGTCATATAATGAGTTGTCTCACTTGAGAATACATGAGGCACTTGACTATGGAAGAAAAATTAGAATTTGCAACAATAAAGATCTTAATAACTCTAAAGTAATTCTAAATAAATCCTAATTAAATCTTAATTATCTTAATCAATTTTTAATTAATTCTAAAAAAAAATTTAAAACTCTAAATGTATATTAAAAAATACTAAAATAATCTAAAAAATAAATAAATGAATCCTAAAGTAATACTAAAAAAATAATAAAGATCCTTAAAATATTAAAAAAAGAAATCTTAAGTAAATCTTAACCAAATCCCAATAGAAGTCATAAAATTCAAATAATTATTAGTTGAATAGTTGAATAGTTGTTTAGTAAAACAATTTACACATTTCAATCTTCAACCAAACAAAAAACACAAAAAAATTGAAAAAATCAAACTTACCAATTAGAAAAAAAATCTCTTAATTTTCTTAAGTATTGGCCTTCTTCTTTCTTCAACCTTGATATTGCTCTTTTAGTAGTAATTACTGCTAGTTGAACTCTTCATTTGCTTTTCAAATTGACAAAATTGAAAAAATAAAATAAAATAAAATAAAAATGAAACTAATGCTTAAACAAAAAAATTTGTATAGGTTGAGATAATTCAAAAAAAATTGTATAGGTTTTATTTTTTTTAAATTGACAAAATCGAAAAAAAAAAAAAAAAAAAAAAAAAAAAAAAAATTGAAACTTATGCTTAAACAAACCTTTCAAAGGCTACTTTCTAACCTTACTCTTAGGTCATCAAAAAAATCGTGGAATTGCCATAGATATGCATTTTTTAGCTTTAGAGTTTAATTTCAATCTTGGCTCAGTATTGGTCCTCTCCAAGTATTAATTCATAGTTTTTTAAGATAATTTTTGTTTCAAACTACTCTTAACTCTCTCCTAAAGATGCTTATATCATTTATTTTTCCAATGCACTTTGTTTTGTCTTGTTTATGGTTGTACAAAGTAAGTAGAAGATTTATTTACAAAAAGGTAGCATTAACACTAAAAGTTTTTATTACCTTCCTATCTTTTACCTATATTTTGCTACTATATTTTTCAATTAGGCTATTTTATAATAGAATCCAAATTTTTATCTTTCACCATATAATTGTGTTACAATACAACAACATGGTACAATAATATAATTGTTGTTTTGATGTATGAAACATTTTCAATTACCAATAGCTCTAGTTTTTAGTTTTTAGTAATTACAGCATAATTTTAATGATTTTATTAGAAACTCAAAATTTTATTATATTATAAATACATATTAACACTAGAAATAATATGCTAATGCAATGGGGTTTTAAATGCTTATGAAAGATGTAAAAATTAATTTTTATGAAATTATTCATTTATTTATGTTAAATATTAATCTTATATAAAATTTAAAATAATATAATATTTTATATTAATTGCAAAGTAGAAAACACACAATATAGATAAATACCATAGAGTATGGCTCTTGGTATGTACTTTAAGTGATGTGTCTTTCTTTAAAAAAAATGATTTTATTAAGACACTTAATTAAAAAAAGAAATTGCTAGAAATTTTAGATAAATTCCTAGATGGATTGACAAATAAAGAGATGTAAAGTCTTTTGGATGGATGTATATAAATAGACACCATTGTCTTTAATATACAAAATACATTATATTGTAAATTAATAAGGCATCTTTCACAATACTTTTGTAAAAGATGTCTTATGCATGGACATTTTTTTCAAGTCTTCCATCTATATTGGACAATATCCATGCTATATTTTTATCCAAATTATACAAAAATATATAAATAGTAGGCAACAAAAAAATACATATATTCAAATTGACAATATGCATACATACACACATACATATACACACACACATATATATACATATATATATATATATATATATATATAAACTTTTTTATATATCTGTTTAGAAATTAGAAATATGTTTTGATGATTTTGACACATCAATACGATTAGGATTTTAAATGAGATCATTGATATCTATTATTGTTGAAACTAAATAAATATTTGCTACCTTAAAAGTGCTATAAGGTGCCACTGCATACCTTGCATGCTCCAAACATAGCTCCCTTCTTAGGCTGCCCAATGGAAGATCAAATACAGTGAATAGCGTGTAGCTTCAACCGAGGCCTTGGCGTGAGACATTACATAGCTAAGTAGCCTAAGATTAACTGAACTAAAGCAGCTTAGAATGCCTTTAGAGAATTAAAGGAAGGTGAAGGAAGAAGTAAAACAATTTTAACAAAAAGAAAGAAAGAAAAACAAAGAACAAAAAAGGAAAACTGCAATCAGGTGACCCAGGGATGACCCCATAAGACATATATTCATATTGAGATACGATTCATCAAATGAGTGGTCGATACATTGCTTAATTTTGCAGTATCAAGTACTTACAGATCTCATCTCCAAGCCTTGCCAATACTGCTTTCTTGAGGAAAGCTACAGCATGCACTCGACTAGAGAGAATGGAATCCATAAAAAAAACACAGTGAAGATGCTGCATCGAACATGAGATTTAAATCAACTATCCCACAGCTGCGAATATATATATAATCGTCATTCAGGGTCGAAATTGTGTTAAGACTCATTCTGCACGTATTCCTCCTCAGCAATGGCAATCAGCTGCTCCAATCTCTTGTCGAATTCAAGTGCACTTTCATCACGCTTGTCTAATTCGGATCCTTCTTCGTTTAACCACTTCTCACGCAAGTCATCAAGCACGTTTTCTCCGGCTTGAGGGCCATCTTCAACCCCAGGAGCCTTCGGAGCAGTTGTCCGCTCAGCCAAGTCTCCAGAAGGGGGTGGAAGGCACAAGAGCATTTGCCTAAATTCCGGGATCCCGGAAAAAAATTCGAAGTTTGCTGCCATGGCGTCTAAACAGTGTTCCCGAAGTTTCCATACACCATACCTGCCATCGATAACAAAAGTATCAGTGGGTTTACCTCTAGTTCAGTGATTGACGAAATTCCCTTAGCACAATGAAATAGGCAGCACAACGCGGAACAGGCAGATGTATACACTTACTTGTCAGCCAAAAGGAGCCAGCCACATAAATCAGCTGGAGAGGCCGTTTCCAGTTGCGGCAATAATGCATCCGTAACCGCACGCTTCAGAGGGAATAGAAGGTATCTCGAGGCAGCATCGAACAACTCTTCTGCCTACAATCACAACCCCAACCCATGTGCAGTGTTACAAACAAAACTGAGACAGTCATCTTCGATATGTTAAGAAAAGCTTAAAAAAAAAGGCTATTAGATACGGTTGAAACATCAAAAACTATGTGCGAGGCTCCATGACTGATTCCAAGTAGCAACTAGTCTTATCATAATGAACAATATTATCTTGCCCTTCACACTCTCTGTATCGTAACTTTCTTTCCTCATCGTTTGTCGAACATACCTCATCGAGATCCACCGTTTTAACTGAATCCGTGTAACTGCAATATAAAGCAACAACCGAACTTTAAGACATCAGTTATTTGACAGATTGCGCATAACCTGCTTAATATTCATATTATTAACCAACATCGGTGAATAGCTTACATGTACTCCAAGACCTTCTCAAAGGCTGAGGCGCTCAAATCATTTTCTTGCAAGATAAGCAATGAGTCTGCCCCTGAATTGGTCGCCAAGCCTGCCACTCCTTCTCTAAATCCAGTTGTTCTCGAGAATCTAGCCTTGAAGTATTCAGATCGAGCACCCAATACAAAACGATGACACCTGAACTTCTCGTTTCCCACTAAAAAACACACATCTGCGTGATCTTCTTCACAATGCTCATCTTGCTTACTGATAGAGCATTCATTCATTTCTACTTCCAGCTTCTCAATGTCACCTCCTTCGCTAGTGTCCTGTTGACGGCATCAGACGTCAGCCTCTGTGAACGACCAATCACAAATAATCACACCTTCACGACCAATAATCGAACAAATACCCTCATGATAAATGATAAATGTAAACAAATACATGATAAAACAGCTCAACATGAGTTCAAATCAGCTGAAGTGTTCTTAGACAATCTAAGAATCTCAATTCCAATGGATTGTGATGTCTACTAACATGGAGTACAAAGAATTTTGAAGAAACGAATTGATCCAGACTGATCTCTCTGTCTCAAAATAAATCCACTGTCACCGAAAATAATACGGCAAGAGGAACAATTTACCTTTCTGTCAACAATTATGTCTCTGTTATTTGCGCTGAAAGACTTAGATGAATCAACTGACGTCCTCGAAGGCTTTGATCTGTCCTCATCACCTTTACTATCAGATTTCTTTCTCTGGGCCGAGTTTGAAAGTGACAAAGTGAACAGGCTGTACAATGCTGACGACAAACGCTCAGATTCAGGCAACGATGATCCTTGAAAAATAAACCTCTTTTGAGAGTCATCTACCCTTTTGATAGACTTGTAGTCAGCATATTTCTGGTGTGCCAACTCATTCTCCAAAACTTTCTGTAATGCCAAGCACTTACAGTTTTTGCAAATAAGCACCAGGTCCTCCATATCCTCGACAGCCACATCCAATCTATCCGTGTAGAAAAAATGAACCAAGCTAAAAAGTGCGGCAAAAGTAAGTCTGGGCCTCGCCAAACGAACTACTTGCCGGTGCTTCCACTTTCCTTGGAATTGCTCTTTGAAAAACGGACTCCGAGCTGCCAGTAGAGCGCGATGAGCTCCAAATGGTCTTCCACTAATATAAAAAATGACATCTGGTCCAAGACAATCCTCAGCGTCTCTTAAGATCTTCTCGTGAGCTGCGGTCTCCGTATGTGACCTCCCATCCTGCTTCATTCCATAAATGCTGTTGTCGTTGTAATTCACAGGTGCACCCTCCAGATACCTGTTCAAAATTCAAAGATTGTTTATGTGTCGCGTTCCAATTGTATGCATTTCCAACCAAACTTACTATTTATGCACATGCTTACAAAACCTGTAACTTGCAAAAATGAAAAAGATTTAGGAACCGATTAAATAAACAAATCTTAAACGAACCAGAACAAAAACAAAGATCAAATTCAAACAAAAATTGTTGCTAGAGTCACTTTCAAAATATTTAACTAAAACAAAAACAAATAACAAAAAATTAATTATTTTTTTTTAAAAAAAGTATCAAAAGCAGCATAGCACCTGCAATTGGCCTCAAAGCTGACGAAGAGCTCCCGAAAAGTTCGCGGAAGAGGATCAAGAGGGGGAGGCCGTGCCTCAAATGCCTTCAAGAGCCTACGCACTTGCAGATTTAAAGAGGCATAGTGACATCTATCGCCATCAAATGTGTTTTCACTGCAAATTGCCCCTTTCTCCAGCAAAATACGGGCTGCGTCAAGGTGCCCTGCCAAACATGCGTAATAAAGTGCAACAGAGTCCCAGTTATCACGAGCATTCACATTCACTCCCTCATCAAGTAGAAGCTTCAAACGATCAACATCACCCGCCCTAGATGCCTCGTATATGTCTCCCATAGGAACCTGCAAATGCAAAACTATGTGAATAACAAAGCAATCAATGGATGTCCTGCCTTCAATCAAATGTAATAGGACCACAACCAAACAATCAAGAAAACAGTGGAAGGCATGAATCTTGACCAGAATGAGCCCAAGGTAAGCTAAGCAAGAAGAATCACAACCCAACTACTAACTCAAATTGAAAATATGAGATCCTCCACAAATGAAGTGCGCATTGACAACAGCACTGAAAAATTGTACCATTCCTTTCTATAAAAACTATGCGTCTCACAACCAGGGGCCGAAGGTTTGAGAGAGTGCCTTTAGGGAGTAGAACCCTCTCTGAAACTATGTGTTATTGAACCCACACCCACGAGCTGGAAGTGAAATCTCTCCTGCGCCTTGAGATTTCAGTCACAGTTTCCCATAATGGAAAACATTTCATACGATTGGTACAAATTGCTCCGAAAAACTAATACCCAATGTGAACAATTCGCCCCAACTAGTAACCTTTATTATTATAACTTCAGCACCACATATGAAAAGTGTAAAGAGAATAACGAATCAAGTTCAGAACATAACGTATTGAACACTCGCTGAAAGAAGCAGCAGAAGTCAAGCATAAACAGACATGAGAAAAACAAATCAACTGAAGTATCTGACACAAATTGACAATGATCCACACTCCTATGATAGCCGAGTGTAGACCAGAATAAGATTATATCTGTTCCAAATTCGACATCATAATTGCAACGAATTGCTTCAGTATGTATGCTCTTGAATCGAAAAGCAAAATAATAAATAAATAAATGACTCTGAGCTACAGGAGGAAGATAAAAACCGTGCTTTGCACTAGAACTTCGCACAAAACGAAACTAAGCTTCAGAAGTAAAGAAGCTCAATACACGAACACTCTACATTCGCAGCACACCGTTGTAAATTACAGATCATAGTTTCCCTTGAACTAAGACATGAAGAGGAATGATCGCAACACGAGCATTATCGAATATCAGTGTGAATTCGTGCGTAGAGATGAATTACACGCAAAAACTCAAACCCTAAACCTTGCAACTCTCCGCCACAAGTTACTTATTTGATTCAGCTTAGTTGCTCTGTCCATTGATACATCAGCAGCAATTATTAAACTGCTATTGAAGAGGATTAGTCAAATAAATATTGATTAATTGCAGCGTTCCTCTTCTCTAAACTATGCTCAAATGCAGAGTGGGATTAACTTTGCAAGGTACACAGAGACAATTGACGATCGATAGAATCCCCACAACCCAAATGCCAAAGCAAATTCGCAGGCATATTGTGACCAGATTCTACTCAGAGTGAATGTCACACAAAATGCAAAAAAATGCAAAAAAAAATACATCAACAAATGTTCGAAATTTCATTGTCAAAAGGAAATCCTAAAACAAACAAAAGAAACTCCACACCAAATCACCTTTTTGCGTGGAAGGGCCGGCTCCTCAGGCTCGTCCCCATAGAGACCAATGTCCATATCCTCTTCAACCAAAGGACTTATCACCATGTTGACACTCCGCCCAGCCTTATTCCTCTCTGTACACCACTTCAAAACTATCCCACAGCTGTTCACACCATCTAGTAATCCGCCGCACCTTTCACTAAAAATCTAAAGAAAAAAAACTCCCAATTCCACTCGACGCCGCCTTCCCAACACAGAATTCAGCCCACAATTCAAGCCGGCGGCATCAACCTCACACCCTCTCTCTCTCTCATCCCATCAACTCTGCGCCTCCAAATGACCTGAAAACGTGAGAGTCGCAGCAGCAGCAGCGGAAAGAAACATGCATACGCGCCGCCAGCTCGCAGTGCACCGAAGGCTTCTTCGACGGCTTTCTTGCTCGTCGATGCTAGGAATCGACACCGACAATGGAGTCGGTCAATGGGGAATTCAAAACTGGGGAGATCGGCCTCGGATGTTGCTCTCTCAGCTGCTGCAGCTGCGGTTGCGCCCTCGTGTCGCCCCGCTCACCGCTTCACGTGGCGAGCGGGTTGCGCGTCGTGACCCCGGTGAGGTTCGAACCCGTGACTGGTTGCGGGGTTGGATGGGAAATGGGTGGATGGATGAATTAATGGATGGATGAAAGTACTGGGTGGTATTACGGGAGAGGATGCTGTTTCATTGTTTCGTTTGTCCTCCATAACAAAAATCGTGCATGTATTTATTGCTTACGTCTTTGATAGTTGTTGTGATCTCTTCACATAAAAGTAAACAAAGCAAAACAAAAAATCACAAAGAATGGGTTGAATGACGGAAACCATTTAATAGTTCTTGAATGCTTTTCACATGGGAATCAAAACCAAAACATTCTATTGATTCTTACTACAATAATCACTAAAAAAAATTATTCTGTTAATCCATAAATTTAGAATTATAATTTTATTTTTAAAAAAATATTAAAAAACACATAAATTAACACTAGTTTATTTAGTCATTTATTTTGACTGCTAGAATTGATACATCAAAACATATATATATATATATATATATATATATAGATAAGGTGATGAGTTTTTGTTCAGAAAAGTAAATTTTATGCGTGATTTTTAGAACGTATAAAAGTAACCAGTTTAGCACAAAAGACTGATATATTAGTGTTATCTTGTATTATTGTGAATTAGTAGTAAATAAATTATACATGTGAGTTCTATTGTTATTCTGAAAAAAATGCACGAAATGTGATTGGAATATATTGTTATCATTTGTATTTAAATGATATCAGTTTTCCACAATACATGAACAATAATCACTTCGAAAATTGAATTGATTCTATACAACCTCTATTTCACACACTTGTACTACTACACTGACAAGATCCAACCAAACCAACCAACTAGTGTGCAAACATCAAGCCTTACCTGGAGTTATAAAACTCAATAATAAATGTGGTGTGATTCTACAATGAAGTATGAAACTACCCATCTCACGAAATTGGAAGCTTGCCTTGCGTGTCATTGAGCTGCACACTTTCTAAACCCCAAAACCCACAACCCTCACATGCGTATTGCTATTTATTTATTTATATATCTATCTATATATATATATGTCTTATTATTTGTGTGTGTGTATGTGTGCACATAAAGAATAGGGCAACAGAAAGAGACTATCTACAATGCAGCAAATCTAGATGAAGCATGGATCAGATACAGTTCGTTGCTCAGCTTTCCATCACAAGCAGTAACGTTGTCGATCGCGAATTGGGGCAGACTTTGCTGATGAGGAGGAGATCAACAATCTGGTGGGTTCACTTGAGAGTCTTCGAGTTTCGATGTGGTAGGCGAGGTTTGAGGGTCGCCGCTGCAGGGTTGTTGTTCTTGTTGTTGTTGACGAGGATGGTTAAGATTGAAGACTTCTCCATCCTGGTTTTCACGGGACGGCACAGGATTTTGTGGGGTTTGTGAGGATGGGTTTGTGGCAGGATGAGGGATAGAATGAGATGAGGGCCCAGGGATTCGGTTTTGTGGTGAGGTGGGCAAGTAGCACCAGGCAATCATGTTCTCCATGGAGCCATACTGGTCGAATTCACACCTTGTTGGGATGCGTCGTTGCTCTCGTCGTCGTTGCAGCTGGATTAGGAAGGAAGTGTTGTTGAATGGTGTGGCAGGTGGCGTGACATTTGCTTTCCTCTTTCTTTTGAACCGTGTCGTCAAAGTGACTCCAGCACTGGTCGTTTTCAAAGCCATTTTGTCTGGATCAGTAAGATATCTGCACAATGCCGCACACTTAGGGTTAATTTCATCAGATTGAAGTTGTTTATGGAATCGATCAGACCCTAATTGTGTGCGTGCACATCGAAAGCGCCAGGTTGAGGATTTACTTAAGGTTTTTGGTGATTTGGAGAATGCCCGTCTCAACTTGGATGGACTTCTCGAATTGCCTGGATCGTCCTGTTGCAAAATATCCAGTTCACAACGAAGTAAAGAATTGCATTTCGTAAAAGAAGATGAATGGAAACGAGGCCTAATCACCCTCCAATACCTCATTCACAACAAAATCATGGGGTTGTAGACCAGATGATCGTCACTGGACAAAGGAAACTTATGAGATACTGCAGGGGTCACGAGAAAGTGCATGTACCCTACGTCTCACAACAGCAACATATTAAGCGAAAACTCAATTATCAAGCAAGCCGTGCCAATGTGGCAGCTACGAGATCATACTTCATCTTATACTGCACTGTAGACAATCGGTGGAGTGAGTCTTTAAGGTGACGCTTCCTGACGATTGCAAGGTTGCGCCCGCCTCCGAAGGCATTCCCGTGGAAATGAGGTTTTTCATTTACCGACTAAACTGTACATAACGTGATTCTGCTTCTTACGAGAAGGTTACCAATCTGTACCGATCAACATCTACCACGTATCATTGGCAGGTTTTAGGGTGTAGTGTCTGCACAGATTTCTAAGAATTTGGTTCATTTTCGTCATGATGTTCTCAATTACACATTCGACTTTACTAGGATTACAAGCCATGGACTGAAGCATCTGGTCAGCTTCAGCATGCAAGAGTCTCCCCAGTCTCACAATCAGATAAAGTTTTTACTAGAACTGTCTCGGTGTCAACAACACAAGAATATCGTACTACATTTCGGAAAATCGTGTGCAGAAACAACATATACACAGTTCACTCACAAACACAAAGGTTTGCCACAGCCTCGCAGTCAAAGACACGCTCGAGATAACGATCGACACTACTACCATCGACTCGACCATCATACCTTTCGATGACCACCTGATCGAGTTTGTTGTCGGAGTCGGCCCGTCAAAAAGATGTTTCAATCGCGTGGCAATCTTCAGACCAGAGACTTGTAGTGGGTTGACACAATTCATGATCACAAAACAGTAGAAGACACGGGAAAAAACACACACACACACACACACACACACACAAACAACAAGAAACAAGAAGTATGCTTGCTAAACACTGAATGGTGCTGGGTATCCTACAGCGCAAGCGAACGAACTCCTACAAAATCAATTCTCGTGTGTGCACATCAATAGGTTTGGCAGTTCATTGTGTCCACATGAGCTTACCCATCCGTCCATCTCTAAACCAATGCTCGTAAACAAGTTTTGAGAGAGGCGAACATCAGGAGACGAAATCAGAACCTACCACCAGGTGAGCATTCTGAGAGTTTGAGCCGATGTGAAGGCGCTTGGAGTAGAACGAAATGGAGAAGTGGTAGCGGCAAATGCGAATCTTAGCGATCAGGAGTGGCGTGGGGGAGGAGAAATTACACTCGTTTGGACGTCAAACTAGTCAATTGCCGACGGTTTCGGGGTTCGCATTCCTGCCACGCCTCGTGAAGCCTCGTGTACATACTTTTCCCCTCTTTCCAGGTGGGGAAATTAGGGCTTGGCTTGGTTCATACTCAACTCACAGACACGGAGCTGGATTCGGGTCCGCGATAGATTCTTTAACCTGCGATCAAAAATTTCCTGTAATTTCTCAGACATTTTGAATGAAGAACAATTCAATGTTAAGTCCATTCTTCTCATCAGTAAAAAAACGGAAGTTGCAGCCTGTCCCTAGTCTTCTACACCAAAACTTTACGTCAGACCCCGTAATTTAAATTAATCTAAATGCACCATGTTATATATTGTTTTGCAACGTAAGCGAGTTAATTGACACAGCCACAATACTGAGAAATTAAGCCATTTTCTCTCAACCGACACTCAAGATTGCCACCATCTTTGAAGCTGTGCTGTAGTTGACTCTCATTGTCCTCAACCATTCTTGTTTATTTGGCCATTGATACCGGAAGTTTCCAGAGGATTCATCATCACCTTGTGTACAGACAATTTTGTATAGGAATAAAGACTGCGACGACAAATTTAGCTTTCACGAGAACAATTAGTACATTACGGTGAGCCAGGAGAATGTGTATGTTTGACCTCTGCACAACAGAAGAACTGTGCACAGGGACGATTGAAGCTAAACCGCGGTACGAATGACATCACCTTTGCTTCACAGCATTAGCTGTACCTGAAAATCGAAACGCAACGCAACATTCAGTCGTTCGTGGGAGAGCAAGATGGTTAGCAGTAAAATAGGAGATGAAGCAGATATTGCTCCTCACCAATTCCACAACCCAACACAGGAAGTTGAGTTAAGAATATTCTGCACAGATGTTTGATACTTTCAGAATGGAATACTTTTACCTAGAGGCCAAGCCGCTGCAGAGTGTTGAAATATGTGAACTGAACGATTCGCCATAAAGTGTGAAATGGCTATCACACGACACGTCCAACTGTCCGGTGTACGGACTCGAGGGGAAAGTGAGAAGTCTAAATAAGTTGGTGTCACAGTGATCAGGAAGGGTGGGAGCGACGCGCCGCAGACTGAAGCGAAGGAATGAGTGGTACCAGTGATTCTCACCCAATTTTTCCCTCATGGTGTGGAATTTAGATAGGACAAGTGGTGCCAATATAGTCGACACGTTGCTAACCTCGTGCTGGGAAAGGGAATCGGTTGTGGGCGAGAGAGAGAGAGAGAGAGAGAGAGAGAGAGCCAAAGCAACCAGTCCGTCATGCTGGCTTTGTTTGCAGCAAACCCTGATCTGAACCTCATTGTTAGCCTTGCCCCTCCCCCAACCCCGTAGCGCCGCTTCTGCAATTTCATTATCAGAGGGTAGGGCATTCATTTAGCGATGGAGACATCACTTCGCTACAGCAAGGAGGAAAAGCAGCTGCTCCTGCACGCCAAGGAAAACTTCCTCCTCGACAAAGCCTTCTTCTTGGAGGTGGGCACTGATGCATAGCTCACCGTGCTCACGAGAACCCTTGTGGCTTAATTCTCGTTATCAGTAGTTTTTTTTTTTTTTTTTTTTTTTTTGTTTTTTCTGCTTTTTCTGTTTATTTATGTTCGTTTGGCCTTTGGTGTTTAGTGTTGGTTGACTGTAAGCGTCTCTGTTGTGGGTACTCGTTTTCTGTTTCTGGGAGCATGCAAGATTTCAAACTCCTGTTTGCGGTTCTCTTCCTTTTCTCGCTTTGGATTGGATGTTCGATTCTGCCAAGGTGTGGCTACTTCGTGAGAGGTTTCTGTGTGCATTGTCGCAGAGAGGTGTTTGTGGATGGGGAGGATGGATGTTTTGCGTGTAAGTCGTAGCTGGCCATCTTTACGGTAGCGAAGATGTGGTGCGTTTGTTAACTTCAAACTGTGGTTGATTTATTGTTGTTGTTAGTTTTGTAGACAATTACGTACTGGTGGACGATTGAAAACAGGATTTACAATGTCGTAGAAGATTGCCAATTTGTGTTTTATTCTGCTAATGAAGAGGGGAATCTCTCGATGTCTCCAAATCGTTAGCACTCCGTTTGTTGGTGGTCGTTGTGTGCTGATCATTACTCGGAATGTGGACATCGCCACTAGTGCAATGAATTAAGCATTACGGAGCGTTAAATTTATGAAGGGCATTGGCTTTTCCGTTATTGGGTTGTATCTTCAATTCTCAGATGAAGGAGCTCACTTGTGATGTTCAAGGGAAGAAGACTCTGCCAGTTACAGACAATGGGTTATTAAGTGTGGATTTGAAAGGTGGCTACAATTTCAACCCGAGGAGTAGAAAGGTAGGTGATCTACTTGTCAATCTCTGCGCTTGTTACTTTCTCCAAGACTTGAAGTCTTTTCTGGGATTATTGCTTTGATCAGAGCAATGCTTTCCAGGCCTACAGCTTTGTTGATCATCAAATCAATGGCCATCCAGAACATTTAAATTGAGTAGTTGAACTTGAACTCTCACAAAGCAACATATTCTAGAGCACATTTTAGTCGGAACGTGGTGAAGATGAGGAAATGGCTAAGGTGCTTGTCACGTGAAACTCAAAAATCTGATATGCACTTGTATTTTGGATATGTCGTCTTCTTCCTCCTAACTAGATATTCTAGAATCGACATGGTTGAGTTGAACTTGTTTTGCGAGTTGTGCCCCTGCGAATCTCTGATCTGACGGAATGTAAAACTGATGAGGGAGTTGTGTGTTAGCAAGCAGGGAAAACCAAGGGGTGTAGTGGAACTCAGCTACAAGGTGTTTAATTTCACAGAGGATCAGGATCTAAAGTTTAAGATTGGTTGCAATGTTTTCAAGCAGGTTAGTGTTCCAACAGGCAGTGATTATTGTATACCTCAGCTGTTCTGTTCTGTTCTGTGGATGATTATTCTTCTCATGTAGAGTCCATCTTTGGAAGGAAATACCATGCTTATTGTTCTAGTTTGATTTGATAGTTGCAGTAGTGAGCGCAAATGAGATTACAAATATTCGTTCTACAGTTTCAACGTTATCTTGTAAGAATGCTGTCCCAGCGCTTCACAAATCTGCTGAAAGGTCTTCGCTGTATGGTAACTAAAATCCAAGTGTTACTCAATTTTGTTAACCTTACAAAGTAGGGATAAATTAGAAGACTAGCATAGGAGTTGTGCGTTTGAGACGTTTTTTAGTTGAGTTGTATGTTAATGCTTGGATTACAACCCTTTGAACAGACACCTTACTTCCAGTTAAGGGAAAACAACTGGACGTTAAACCATGAACTCAACGTTGGCTGGAACGTAATTTACGATTTGTGATTCGCAAGGGTCACACATTATATCACTTGCAAGGGTTACTTTGTGAATGGATTGAATCCTCACTTTGATTACTGAACCTCTTTGGGGTAGCCTAGGATAATGAGACTGCTGCCAGTTATAGGCTGCAAGCCAAGGGTCATGTCCTCCGGCAGCTATGCTTAGAATATTTAGTAACAGACAACTCAACCTTGAGTGTTCTGAAGACGGTGGATGGGTGATATCAAGAATGTTCCCTTTTTCGAAGCAGGATGTGTTACATCTGCTTGCAGTTCAATTATTTACTCACATGCTTGGACAAATGTAGGGTTGTACGAGTGTACTTTCTGTTGTTTTGAGCATTACTACAAGTTGCAGCTGTTGCAATCACACTTAACGTCGGCAGAAATTTTTATATTCATGGAATGTATTAGAGACACAGAAAAATAGCGAGTGATTAAACCCAGTTTGCGCACCTAACATTGGTGGATCAATAAACTCCTTGTCAAGACTTGAAACCCCTATTCTTGCACCTCAAACGATCCTTCGAGCATTCATTATTACAAACAATGAGGTTTTTTTCATATGATTTTGGATTCGGGATTTTAAATATTAACTCTGAGAATTCCCGGAAGTCTTCTGGTTTAAATGGCGGTTGGCTCAATTTCTCGAAGTGCTGGAGAAATGTGACTGATTCCGAAGATGGTGTCTCAATCAACGTACATTGCCTTTCTGCAAAGCAGAATTCAGTCCAGGATCACAGAGATTCCCAAACCACTCGCACTTCTCTCCTTCCAATCGTTCGTCGCGAGGACAGTTTCTAAATTAGGACAGCAACAATGGGAGCGATGTTGTCAAACGCCGACAAAAGAGAATACGATGTGTTGTGTGGGGTCGTGGGTGCCCCGTTAGAACCTCATTGACCACGAGCCCCCATGCGTGCTGTTGCTTTGTCTCCTTGCGAGCCACTTGGGGGATGTTATTGACTCGTTTGTAACACGAGCAACCTTAGGCAGGAATCAAGCTGTCACACGTCGAAGTTTGTGACGCGACAACTCCGGTGAGGAGGAACATATACAACCATCCCGTCCTTCGGCAGCACATTACACGTCGAGGTTTGGTGAAAGAATAGACTTTTACTAGGCTTCCACTGACCATGAGGGCTTTCATGCCGAGAAGATGAGATGTGAGAACTTAGATCCAGGTTGGCCTCCTTGTGTTGACCGACCACATGACCGTCGATTATTCCGCGGAATGCTGGACCCCTACTGTTCTAGACCACTGAGACTGTTCTATGCGATCCAATCTCCATCGATCTCGGCTTTACGGGCCGGCCGTTGGTTCGTCACCCACCATATTTAGCTAATCAGAGGCAATTTTCGTTTACCGCATTTGGATGCGCCGGGGAGCATGTACTCGCCGCGACCTCGCGAAGCTTTTATTTGGGGACAAAACTTTGCAGCTGTCATCAATCCGTTACGTATCCTCTTGTGAGTCGAACCTAATCTTTTGACGTTTAGGGGGCAGTGTCTTTCACAAAGCTTGGGCACTTAGCAATCTGTCGGTGTGTGTGGTGGTAATGTACAGCTTTCGTGTGAATAGTTCGCGAATCCCTGAATTGTTGTACTCGTTTATTGGATCTTTGGATCGGGACGCGGTGTGCGTGAGGTGATATAGCTCAGTGGGTGGCTTCTACCCATAGCGAGGAGGGATTGACTGTTAGGAGTAGGAGTCTTGGGGGTCTTTGTGTGGATTGTTGTTGAGTGTTAGAACAGGGGCAACGAGAAGCATTCGAGATGGCAGATGCGAAGGAGGAACTGGCGCTGCGCACGGAAATGCACTGGGCTGTGAGGAGTAACGACGTGGGGCTGTTAAGGACCATTCTGAAGAAAGACAAGCAGCTCGTGAATGCTGCGGACTATGACAAGCGCACGCCCTTGCACATCGCCGCGTCCCTGGATTGTGTCCCTGTTGCTAAAGTCCTGCTTGCGGAAGGAGCAGAGTTGAATGCAAAAGACAGGTGGGGGAAATCTCCGAGAGGCGAGGCGGAGAGTGCAGGATACATGGAGATGGTAAAGCTGTTGAAGGATTACGGGGCTGAGTCACACGCAGGTGCCCCGAGGGGCCACGTTGAGAGTCTGATTCAGGTTGCCCCTCCGTTGCCTTCTAACCGCGACTGGGAGATCGCTCCGTCGGAGATTGAACTTGATACCAGCGAGCTCATCGGCAAAGGCTCCTTTGGAGAGATTCGGAAGGCGCTTTGGCGCGGCACACCCGTCGCTGTGAAGACAATCAGACCTTCTCTGTCCAACGACAGAATGGTCATCAAGGACTTCCAGCACGAGGTGCAATTGCTCGTAAAGGTTCGGCACCCAAACATTGTGCAGTTCCTCGGGGCTGTTACCCGTCAAAGACCTCTCATGTTAGTCACCGAGTTTCTGGCAGGGGGCGATTTGCATCAGTTGCTGAGGAGCAACCCTAATTTGGCTCCTGACCGCATCGTGAAGTATGCCCTCGACATAGCTCGCGGCATGTCTTACCTTCACAATCGGAGCAAGCCCATCATCCACCGCGATCTCAAACCCCGAAACATCATAGTGGACGAAGAGCATGAGCTGAAGGTCGGCGACTTCGGACTGAGCAAGCTGATCGACGTAAAGCTTATGCATGATGTGTACAAGATGACGGGGGAGACTGGGAGTTACAGATACATGGCGCCTGAGGTCTTCGAACATCAACCCTACGACAAATCCGTCGACGTGTTTTCCTTTGGAATGATATTATATGAGATGTTTGAAGGTGTCGCTCCGTTTGAGGACAAGGATGCATACGACGCTGCCACACTAGTTGCTAGAGACGATAAGCGGCCAGAGATGAGAGCCCAAACGTATCCCCCACAAATGAAGGCATTGATCGAGGATTGCTGGTCACCGTATACCCCGAAGCGACCACCTTTCGTCGAAATCGTCAAAAAACTCGAGGTAATGTATGAGGATTGCTTATTGAGATTGCCCAAAGACCGTCGTCATCTCCGCGACATCTTGCATCTTCGACGCAATCCTGCAGACTCGTGATTGATCGGGCCAACCTTCGAGCTGATCAATCTAAGTAGTCAATGCCTTACTGTGTCAAATTCAGCCTCCGCCGACAGATTGGCTATGGTTCAAGTGATTGGATTCTCTGCTTCTCCAGAGCCAGAAACGACCCCCGTGCAATTTCTTCTCCGACGACCACATTGCGACATGAAGCACCAGACTTTGGATGTAGAAGGCATGGTCTACATGCTTTGCTGTGAGCCTTGCACGTCTCGCAGGTTGATCTCTTTAACCAGCTTCTAGCCTTTCGCAATGGCTGCATCACTTAAGAAATCACCGAGTATCGTGATGCTCAATTTCCAAGTCCTAGGTTCACTGGGTGCAGGAATTAGATTTCTGTCCAACCCTGAGCGTAGCAAATATTAACCGCAGAGCAGTCATGTTATTTTCATTCTCGAACCATATGGAGCGTTCCTGAATACACACACAAGCCTCTGCTTGAGATAACTGAAGTAACGCGCTGATGTAAGTATTTTGCTTTCCGAGGAGAAAGTCAATGAGAACGGCTTTTGTTTACTTCTGCCCCAAATCTTGTGGGGGTCTTCATTTGGTTTTAAGATTTTTATCCCACGTTTTGTAGCTCTGAGGGGGTCTGCACTTGCTACCCCAAATATCTGCTACTGCATTTTTTTTGTGACCCACAAGTTGGACAGGTAGTAGTGTTATGCTTACGACCTCTTGCAATACGGATTCCCTACGTCGTCTTCGGATGCTCCTTCGTCATCTCTGGCGGCAGTTTCTCATTGGTTCCTTCACTCCACCGACAGTTTAGATTCACAGGGGTTCGAGCTCGGACATCAAGTTGCAACTGCAGTTGAGCAAGAATATCGATTCTCCTTGCATTCATCTCCTGGATCCTGTGAACATTCATAGGCTTGAGCTGTTTCAGTTTTTGTGTTCCACTTCAGTGCACAGTAGAAGGTGATGAGAATTCTGAATATAATATAGCCGCAGGTTCCGAATACACAGGTTCCGAATACACACAAGGTCTCATAAATTGCAGAGGAACGTGTGAATTACAGAAGTATCTCTTCTCTGCTTTGATCCTTCATGTTTGAAATTGATGGTGAGGTGCACGTCTTGTTGACATGACATCTGTACAAAAAGTGAATAATTGCGAAAAGTGAGATTTTTGAAACTATACATCTATTCGTTAAATTACCTTGTGGCAATAGTTGGTTTACAGTGTAAAAATAAATAAATAAACTACTCTTTTGGAACTGAATAGAAACATCAGATGCACCTTGTAGACTGAAATTTTTTTTAGCTTACAACAACCAGACCAAGAGTGCAGCAAAAATGGTTCTAAACAAATAGTGGATGAACCCAACTGTGTTACACTCTACAGTGCTGTTGCCCATCCCTACATGAAAGATATTGATATTTTAGATGAAGTTGAGTGGAGAATGTTACAATGTGTAGAGGAATCTTCTCATGTCTGACACCCTTCCCATACCAGAACATGCTAATCAATATAAGTAGCATGCAAAGTTGACCATGTTCACACAAAAGCCTGATTTAGACACTTTATATAATATAAAACGAGATGTACAAATGCATACAATAGAAATATATTGAATATATATATATATATATATATACCTAATTTTACTTATAATAGGTCAAAAAATAAAAACATAGATAAGGGTAAGATTACTCATAAGAATTATAGCTTTTTTATTAGTTTCGTGAACGTGTAACAAACTGAACTTTCTAGTAGCTTTTAGAACTTTTTGGAATATTTTAGATATTTGTTCAACTTTCAATGAGTACTTAAAAGTACCTATAATTTTTTAGTATTTTTCAATATTTTTTTTAAAAGCTTTTAAGAACCTTCATTGTCATCTTAAATCTTTTAAAATATTTGAGGCTTTCTATGGTCTTGTTGAAGAAATTTCTACAAGACTATAAAAAAAATTAAACAATTATTTAAAACTATGGCATCTTAGAACTTTTTAAAAACTTTGTAAGATTTTTAAAATGTACCTTTTATACTAATTATGGCACAAAAATCAACAAATAAATATTTAACCTCGATATATATAATTATAACATACAATGAAGTTTTGAAATCTTAAGCATTACGTGGTTCAAACTAATTTACCAAACTACTGATACTATCACTAACAAGTAAAATAATGAGCAACAACTACCCGAAAATTTCTCAAAAATGCACTAAAAATATTTTAAAAATTCAAACGTTCAAATGCTAAAAAAATAATTCTTAACATTCTCAATTGATGCACCCACTCAATTCAACAGACTTATGCACAATAACACCAAAGGCAAAAAGTAAAATAAATAAAATAAAAATAATTGGCATTTAAATAATTGTGTACAAGTGCACACACGCATATCATTACGAAACCGAACAACATTAATTCTGAAGAGCTTACACTAATCACCAAATAAAACAACAACGAAAGAATTAACCACACTATTTTCACTAACAACCTCGATTCAACTTGAAGTTAGAGATCGAAGGCAGCTCAGGCCTACACGAGAGTCACAATCGATCGCAGGATCGAATCTCAGCAAACGAAGACCCTCTACGCACGCGTAATCGAATCTACAGCCGCATAGTGAACGACGACGTGTTCGCCTGCGGCGCTGAAATGAAGGACATGACATCCTAAAGTGACCACTTAATGGAAGTACGCGCTCACGGAAGCTGCAAATCTAGATTTCTGCGTCGGAGTCTGATTCATGGAGTCTACATTGGCTGAGTCTTTGAGGATATTGCAGATAAGTGAAGATGGCGAGTGCAGAAATGGATGAGGGATGAAGCAGCAGCTGCAGAAACAACCGGAGATGGAGTCGGAGAAGGGGGAGAACAGTTCCGGGTGGAGGCAGGAAATGGATCCGGAGATGAAGCTTGCCAAAGAGGAGGAGATGGAGCATGCACTGGCTCAACCAGATTTGTTGCCGAGTTCTGCCTGCGGTGTTTCGTATCACAGGCTCCCGACCGTGTCGATCATGGAGAGTATGAGTTCGAGAAACGTGTTGCGATTCAAGCTTGAGAACACTGACGTGAGCATGGCCAACTCGCTGCGCCGCTGCATGATGGTTGAAGTGCCCACATTGGCTTTCGACTTGGTGGAGATTGAGATGAATTCCTCCGTCCTGACTGATGAGTTTATCGCTCATCGTCTTGGACTTATTCCGCTCACCAGCGACCGGGCCATGGAGATGGTGTTTCCCAGCGAATGTGACTCATGTCCGGGTGACCGCAGGTTTGCGAAATCGTCGGTTTCGGACTTTCTAAGTTTAAGAAAATTGCAATGAAAATGTTGTACTCTAGCTTTCATATTCATAATATTTTTGTTTTTATTTTCTCTGGTGAGTGATATTTTGGAGGATTATCCTAATGATCAGAAGCGAATTCATGTCGCTTGCGTCACTCGTGCGTTCTGCAGTTGTCAGAATTGCACTGTTGAGTTCTTGTTAAGCGTCAAGGCGACCGAAGATCGCATCAAGGATGTCACCCAGCGCGACTTGAAATCTTCGAACGATGCCGTGGTACCTGTTGAAATTGACGTGGACAAGCAAGGTGTATTGGAAGAATGCAAGATGGACATATGCATTGCGAAGCTGTACAAGGGTCAGGAGATCACCCTCCGTGCTTTGGCGAAAAAAGGGATGGGAAGTCTCCACGCCAAGTGGTCGCCAGTTGCCACTGTAACTTTTCATCACGAACCAGAAATTTACATCAATGAAGAGAAGATGGAAGCTTTGACACTTGCCGAGAAACAGAATTGGGTTGAAAGTAGCCTCGATCTCCCACAAAACCAGAGTTTTCCTGTCCCTGCTACTCTTGTTAAAGTCTTCAAACTCGACCCAGCCACTAGCAAGGTTTGCTGAGAACTATCCCATGTCGTTTCATTGATCGCAATCGGTGCTCAATTGCAGGCTTTTCTAAGATATCTCAGGATTATAATATCCTGTGCAGGTGATGGTGGTCAGTCCGGGCGCCTATACCAGCCAAGAGCTCCAAAGGAACGTAGAAGCGGCTGGGATGGCAGAGCTTGTCGAAATCGCCTGGCGAGATGACAGTTTCATATTTTCAGTGGAATCAACCGGAGCCATTGCCCCAGCAAAGATATGTGTGGATGCTGTCAACATACTGAAGAAGAAGCTGCTTGCATTGAGGATTGCAGAGGATGGATCTCCATTGCCAGTTGATGATAACGAGCGTGTCTTGCAGGAAATTTCGTTTCAAGCAACGGATCAGAGCAGACAACAAGCGCAGCTTGAATCAGATAACTTCGCAGATGGCTTCGCTAATCTGGAGATGAATGAGAAAGCTCCGAATGAGCCAGACTGGGATTAACTGAAATTCGATCAAAAGCAATTCTGTGAACCCAAGTTAATGTCTTTGAGATGAAAGCATTAATCACAACCATTAGCAAGCAGCCATCTTAAGAATATAGACTCGGGGTATAATTGAAATGAACACGGTCTTAGTTGTTGAGGCCAGATTTTGCCGAGGAATTGAAGTTTTGAAGAAGGCAGTGCTCTTGAAACTGTGCCACGCAAACAGTTGAAGGATTTGAATCTTGTGCGAAATGTGCTGTAGTTCGTTTGGGTGAATTTCAAGCACGGGCTTGGGGCATCGCTTGACAAGAAACCTTGTTTCTATGTGCCCTAGTTCTTACCACAGAGCAAGATTCCAAACTCGCTTGTTTTCCTCGTTCCTTTGGAAGTTGTGTGCACCAGGACGAGCAACTCTCACAACCGAGAATCTGAAGAACGATAATTTTGAGATTAGTCTCAAAGTGACATGTGAATATACACACAAAACATGGATTTTTTTTGTAAAAAAATGTATGAATTCAAACCGTGCTTCTTAGAGAACGGAAAAGAGAGGTTGCTCTGTAAGATTTTCAAAGGCGTTGCTTGCTTGCTTCCTTCGTGGGTCTAAGTCAGTTTTAAGAATATTGCGGAATACGGTGTGAACGGTGATCTAAAACCGGAAGCTTTCCTATTGGCCCACTTCAGCGCTCTTTTATCCCTTGGGACTCCGTCTGCGTTCCTGGCAATCGAGGTGTTGGCACAATCGTATTCCCCTGAGACGGGCCTGGAATTTCTTCACAAGCCCTATTCGTCCACCTCCGATTATCCTTATAATCTTAGTTCCAAGCTGAAGAGGTTCGTTGTGTGTCAGTGCAATTGTCAAGCCATGGCAACGATGGCGGGTGCTTGCTGCTTGCCCTCCGCCGCTTTCTCGCGCACCCTGGATGAGTCGTGTAGCAGCAGCTCCGGCTCCGTGTTCGCTACCTTTCAAACCCCGCAGGCGGTAACTGGGATGTGCCGGAGTTTGAAGCAACTCGGCCTTGTTGGTCGTGGAAGGGGGTGGTTGGGTGGGTCGTCGGCTTTGAAAGCCAGCTCGGTGTTCAATTCGGCCTCTTCGTCGTTTCAAGGCCGGATTTGTCTGTTTCTCACATGTCCCGTGGGTGGGTTTCTCAATCCTACTCAGAATGAGCAACTCTGGAATCTGAAGTTCACATTCGATTGGTGCTACTGGAAATTCTTGCTAATAGGCCAGAGTTAGGATTTGCTGAACCACCTCAACCAGTTACAGCGCTTGTAGTTTTTTGTGCCCGAAACCTGGATTTTCAGCATGATGAGGTTGCAGGTGCAGGTGTTGCTCTGTCATTTGAAATTTCTTTACGCAGGGAATTGAAATAGTTGTGCTTAGGTTTTGCATCAGGTGAGGCGAGAGAGGGTAGAAGGGTAGGAGTTCAAGCGTCTTTGCTTGGGGTAGGCGCCCCGGAAGCTTTGGTGATAGGCGTGGTGGCACTGCTCGTGTTCGGTCCGAAAGGTCTTGCCGAGGTATTGGAGCAACCTACGATCTCTCTTTCTCACCCTTCCTCCCTCCCTCCTCTTCAATCGTAACGGTATGAGCACTGTAGCTTGAATGTGGAAGCGCAAAATCTATGAGCATGGTCTCCGTAATTAGATTTAGTCATTCGATCGCTCACATGCGAACTCTAACCACGTCATGCATTATGCTGGTGATGATGGTTAGACCTTCTAGTCGTAGTCTTTTCTGGGAGTTCATTGGTCGTTGGATTTGAAAGAAACTTCAAACAGCATAATTAGAATTTCAGTTCATGACACTGAAGATACAAACATATATCAGATGAATATTTCTTGAATTTTCCTCAGCTATTTTTATGCAGGTTTCTTCTGTCAGGGTGGCCTTGTTGACCTGAGAAATGATCTGGAATTTTTAATACGCATGAATTGTTTTAACTTCACTGAATGTGGAAATTGAGCAAATAAAAGTGGAGAGCCACACGTACAATCAAATTAAAATTCGATTCTCAAACTGTCTTGTTACCCGATCTTAAGTATGCACTGTATGCCATTGTGTTGCAGGTTGCCCGTACCTTGGGCAAGTCGCTGCGGGCATTTCAACCGACGATTAAGGAGCTCCAGGTATTAACATAATGTATTTAGATATGTGAGGCCATTTATGTGGATCTTCATTTGTTCGCAGCTTAATTCCACGAGAGGATTCTGTGATTGTCCTGTAGCGTTTGTCTGATTTTGCTAAGCATGTAGTACCTCTGCGTAGGCTGCAGATGGTTGTTAGCAAAGATATAAGGAAATGTTGACAGTTCTCATCTGCGTCATGTTAAAGTTCTTCATCTGAGAAGCTTGGTTGGTTTTACAGCAAGTATCTAATGAGTTCAAGGCCACCTTGGAGCAAGAAATAGGTCTAGATGAGATGCGGAATCCCTCTTCTTATGATTATCCACCTACTTCAACTCCATCTCGTCCCTCCTCCGACTCGTCGATTCGAATCTCCATCCCGCCCACCCTCTCCGCAACCGAAGCGCCCAAGTCTGGTAGGCCACAAATTTATTTAAATTTTAACACCTTGACTTGTTTATTCAAGCATTTCCCATTGGTTAAGGTTGTTACAACTGCTATGGATTATTTATTTGAGAGTTCTCTCTGGACTGTGTTTTTCAGAAGAGGCGTCTGTTCAGGCTCAGCCTTATGTCGCAGATGACTATGTCAGGATTAAGGAGGACCAAGCCAACACCCTTGTTACAGAAGAACAGCGTAAAGGTACACATTTAGTCCCTCGAAAGTATTTTGTGGGTTCAAGGGATTCAAAAAATTCATTACATTCTGTCTACTTTTGGTTCTTGTTGAATTAGTACAAGCCACTTCATGTACGAGTTTACGTGGTTGATTTTTCACTTGGGTCTTACCTGGCAGCCTCTGAGGCTGCTGCTTGGGGAGGCTCTCGTCCTGTGAAGCCCGCGGCCGAGGACTCCACTGGAGATCAAGTTCAAACGCCAGCAAAATCTTTTTTCAATGACAATGGACCAGTGCAAGCGGGAAGCACACCGTCCAAACCATTAGAAAGACCCATTGATAATGACAGTCAAAAGTCTTAGAACTGCAAATATTAGTGCGATTTTTTTACAAAGTGTAGTGCTTTTAGCAGTTGAATGTAGAGTTGTGTGTCATTTTGGTTTTACTTCAACAATGTTCCACAATGACTTAAACATGAGCAGTTACGTGTAGAAGGCTTAAGTGAAGGGTAATATCCAGTATTTCATAGCAACCTACTCGGGAAGATTGTTGTACTACCAAATCTTACAAGTTGCATGTTTGTGTTGGAATGTCTCCAAGCAAAATCCGCGAAAAGCGATCCAGAAATCCACATATTGACCAACTCAGGTGCTTCTGCCCTTCAGCCTTGAAGAACGATGTTGAGAGCTTCGTTTAGTAGCTATAATTTCGCAGTTTCCCATAAAAACGGTCCTTATATTTTCAAGTTTCCTCAAAAAGCTTCGCGGATCACAGCAGAGGTCAACTCTAGATGTGAAGGAAAAATCCTACTAAATGATATCAGCTGCTCCGCTTTCGGGATCACTGCACTATTTCTCTGTGAGTACCATTGAAACAGTAAATCTGTTAGCAATCCTTGTAGACCCTAGCTGACCGACACCTACGAAGGCCAAAATGCGAGCCTGCAGTAATTTGCAAAGTGAAGATATTGGTCACAAAGCAAAACATTAATTGGACAAGGAGGTGACTCTGCAAAGACCCACTTTCAGGTATCCACGATCCAACGCAACACAAGCGGTGGCACACAAGGACCCCCGTGGCCGTGGTTAGGGCTTACTCATGGTCGACTAATTCAGCTTAGACCGCATTTGCAAAGCACTAATTAATATTTTGCAACTGCCTTTGAGGTGGTTTTCGGGATTTGTTAGTAGGTAGTATTGAGTTTGGGATACCAGTCATAATTGAGATTAGAGATTGAAGTTAGGTCAGGGAGTTTACTTAACGAGACAACTAAGATAAGTAGCAAAGGATTGCAAGCTGAGAAGCTTCGAGGCTTCGTAGACAAACATTTACACTCAATATATAAAGATGAATACCATTAAGCAGATTATTATTGGCAATTTGAATCCAAGGCAAATGATCCCACAAGTTTTGTCTATTGTCAAGTTGCTACCTGGGTAGTGGATAAGGAGACAAAATCCTTCTTCTCATAAATGGTTATATGTTTTGAATAGTAAACATAGACTCAAGAGGTTGTGTGATATGGTGTGTATTCATTATCATCTCAAAGGTTATTAGTGTAATTTTTAGCAATAATATTGTGGTTTAATATTGTTATATTTTTTAAAAATAAAACAAGCATGCTAAATCATAAAAAATTTGAAGCTTTTAAAAGAAATATTAATGTAATTTTAAAAATATATTATTGTGGTTTAGCATCGTTATACCACAAAGTAAAAAGAATTAAAAGGAAGGCATAACTTAAAACATTTAATGTTAGAAAAAAGAATGGTATCAATCTATTTGAGGAGTCTTTAGTTGAAGAACTATATATTAGTTTCTTACAAGCTTTTGGAGGTTTAGTGCTTTGAAATTCTAATTGTATTTTTGAAATAGACATGAAGATTGTCAAACAAGAGATGCATTGCCTTAAGCAATTTATAGTTACTATAAATTCTATGGAGGATAAATCTTTTTATTATGTATTTTAACAATCATTTTGAAATTTACAAAGAAAAATGGGTTGTTTATTAAAATGTGGCACTTTTTAGAAAAAACTTATCTTATGGTAAAAACCAACATTTTAAACATGGATGTAAATTTTAGTTATTAAATCTTCATTAAACCACTACTAATATCTACTTAATACAATTCTATTGCCAGTAGTGGTTTAATGAAGATTTAATAACTAACCCTATAGTACAAATTCTATACAAATTCTTGCATGTATTATAATAAAAAGTCACCTTTAGACACATTTAAGAAGAATTAAAGTTGTAAGTAAACATTTGGCAAAGCAATTAGAAATACTAGTAGATAAAGATAATAATAATGGTATCAAAAGCAATTCTTGTTTTTGCATTGTTCTAGATTTGAAAAGAAGATCTAAACCTTTATTTGGAATTATTAATTTTATTACCAAAAAGAAAAAAACTATTTTGGTGGATTATAGTTTCATATTCTATAGGTGCAAATATTGCCTCAATATAATTCATGATATAAGAAATTGACAAAATTTATTAGAGCTAAAAAATAAATAGGGTAAAAATTACCTCAAAATGTGACTTCTAACCATAACAATATAACAAATATTTTTTTGGGCCTACAAACAAATGTTTAAGATGGCTTTACTACTATAATACATAATAATAGAAACAATAGATGCATCATTTGACAAGTTACAAACATATCAATTTCATCTATCTAAACAAAGATATTATTGAAACAAAGATATTATTGATTAAATATGCTTGAGTATAAAAATTTAAATTTAATATCAATTATTTATTTCTTTTTGCAAATAGGAGACACAAAAAAAGTACTTCATAAATTTTGAAGATGACTTACAATCTAAAGAGTTAGAAACTAAAATATTATAATTTTTTATATTTTTAAATAAACAAGAACCAAAAATGGAAAAAAAAAATGTGTGTTTGCACTTCCACGAGTTGTTGTTAGAAAAAAAAATACAAATATAAAAAAATATAAAATTTTCATGGTCTTTAATTGTTTATGCCTACTTCTAGACTACATAGGAGTAATGTTAGAACATGATTTTTAAACATAAGAAATGGAAAACAAAAGAAAATAAGTCAAAATATCTCAAATGTTTTTGATAAGACATGGATTAAAGAGAGATATATATATATAATAATAATAATAATAATAAACAACCATCTATCTTTGATACATGCAAATTCCCTACTATGGAACTACATTCCAGTTCTAAAGTAAGAATTGGTCATCTACTACCAAGGTCTTAAAGGCCATATCTAGTGCTTCATATTCTATCCATCACCAACAAAAGGGTCCACTTCCTCATGTTCAAAATAAAAATAAAAATGAAAAAACAAAACATTAATCCTAATGTCCGATTGGAAAGCTGTAGAATCAGTATCAACACCACGCATGTATCAAATCGGTATCGACCGGATATCAACTGCAGTAAATGTACGGATAGTTCCGGGTATGTTGTAATAGTAGTTGTTACAGTGAAGCCACTGGTGGTTGAGAGTTTGTGTGGTTCGCCAAAACGGCGGCAAAAGCAAATTTTCTAACAGTGGGGCCGCATTTCAGCAACTCTTAAGCCCATTGTAATGCAGAGGTCGTGATTTCTACTTCCCCCCAATTCCCCCGTAACATTGTGTACACGTGAGAGCTTACACACATTAACATGAATTAGGGTTCGGAGCTCTAAAGCACATTAGGGCTTTCACCACGGCATGGATGTGTGCTGGACTGGAGCTGTGAATTCTGTGTATGATGCTGGTCGCAGATTGACATTGGCGCGCCTGTGTCCCGTTGGGTTGGATTGACAACGAATTGGCTATGGAGTCCGATCTGAAGCAGCAGCTGCGACTCGTGGATCAAGAGCTTCACCAAGTGCAAGGTGTGTTTTTACGTGTTGAGTGGTGAATTCTTGTGAAATTTTACAGTTTAGATGATTTGAGGTTTTATTGTTATTACAACGCATTTTGTCTGACTTGAAAGTGAAATTAGCGGTAGTGGAGATGGTGATCGTTTTGTTCAGCTGCGAGAGCCCTTGGGCATGTTGGTGGAGAATTGGAGTTGGACTGAGGGCATTGTTGAATTTATGAGAGATGGGCTTTTCAATTGTGCTTGTTTGGGGCAAATTCTTTGACCGTTCATGGCAGGCTTCGCCAGTGGAATCCTAGTCACTACTGTCTCCTCAATGTAGGATGTAGCTGTGTTGTTGCAACTACTTTGGAGTCGTGTTGAGCTTTTGGAATGGCGTGTTATGCAGATCAAATACAGTCGCTATTACAGCATCAGGAGAGCTTGCTTGAACAACAAGCTGAACTTCAACAACTTATCGCGTCATGCAGGTATTTCGCATGCCCGAGTTGGGGTTTATGAAATTGGTGTAGCTGTTGTCGTATTCTAATGGTATTCGCGCATTGATGGTTATGCAGCAAGGTCAGCTTCATTTCTCTCGATTTATCTAGAATAGTTTCTCCGTGGAAACTGCAGAAACAACATATTCTTCCATCTTGCAAACAGGTTCAAGTTCTCATGGTTCTCACTTCACAGGGATGTTGCTGCTCATGATGAAAATGGCAACGGCCCCGGAGCATCTAAATCAGGTGGAGTGAATTGGTCGGGTTCTTTTGAGTGGGATAATCGTGCTGCTGATATTCGTTTGAACCTCTTTGGTATCAAATCCTACCGCCAAAATCAGCACGAGGTGTGTTCCTTGGTCTTTGGCTCTCAGATTACTAAGTACTTTTCGAGTTCTTATTTGAAATTCGTATAGACTACCGCTTCATATCCTATTTTTGAGCTGCATAATTGTAAATCAAGTGATAGCTATCACGGTACTTGATATTTGTGTACTTGGTTTCCGCTTTTAAATTAAACTTAACCGTGGTATATTTTTTGGCTGTGCCAGATCATAAATGCAGTAATGAGTGGAAGGGATGTAATCGTAATAATGGCAGCAGGTGGTGGGAAGAGTCTTTGCTACCAGCTCCCAGCTATGTTACGTACTGGAACGGCACTTGTCATCAGCCCTCTACTATCCCTCATCCAAGACCAGGTATGCTCTCATGTTCCATCTAAACACAGCTTATTGTTAAAGTTCAATAGTATTCTAGGCCAGCGCTTTCGTTGTTGCCGTAATTTAGCATTGTAACTACCCTCTATGTTTGTGTCCTCCAAACATTCTTAGTTAAGTTTATGTATGTAGGTCATGGGCTTGACTGCCTTAGGAATTTCAGCGAGTATGCTCACATCAACAACAACCAAAGACGAGGAGAAATCCATCTATAAGTCACTTGAAAAAGGGGAAGGAGATCTTAAGATTTTGTATGTTACTCCTGAGAAGGTTGCAAAAAGCAAACGGTTTGTATCAAAGCTGGAAAAGTGCAATCACGGCGGCCGTCTCTCTCTAATAGCTATTGATGTGAGTTGCGCCTATCTATTTCATGTTCACATCACCTTACTCTTGTTAGATTAGGCTTCAGGGTTATTATTTTTTAACGAATTACGTTTACTGTAATATCAAAGCACTGATTTCGAAATTTTCCTCCTTGTTGCAGGAAGCACATTGTTGCAGCCAGTGGGGGCATGACTTCCGTCCTGACTATAAGCAATTAGGTATTCTGAAGAAGCAGTTCCCAAGGGTGCCTATGATAGCATTGACTGTAAGTATCCTCTTTGGCGCAGTTTTGACACCAACCTGTGCCAGAATTGGCCTTTGCGTTGCTCATTAACAAACTACTCTAATTGAGTTTGTTTTGATCAACTTTAGCTATTGCACTTGCAATGCAATTGGATGTATTCTCATAAGTATTAAAGGATAGGATGACTTTGCCTTTAGAGCTTAGGGGGAAGGGGTTGTTATATGCAAGGCTACGGCTACAGAGCGTGTTCAAACGGACCTGAGGGAGATGCTTCAAATTACTCGCTGTGAGAAATTTGTCAGCACTGTCAACCGCCCCAACTTATTTTATGAGGTATATGAGCCTGAAAATTATCATGTTTGCAGCTTAAATGGCATCCTTGTTAGTTGTGCTTTGATGAGAAGTTCTTGCAAAAATCTAATTAGTTGGTCAAGAATCTTTACGTCTTGTGTATTTGCTTGCTATTAAGTATTGTTCTCTCTCGATTTTCAGAAATAATTCACCTAATTCACGTTTCTTTTACTACACAATTTCATAGGGTGAATTTGTGGTTACATAGGTACGCGAAAAGAAGGCCAACGGAAGCGCAGCTATCGATGACATTGCATCATTCATCTTGGACAAATATTCAAAGAAGGAATCTGGAATCGTATATTGCTTTTCACGGAAAGAGTGTGAGCAGGTATACTCTGGTTTACGGATTCTATGTTTTTTATTACGTACAAAATCTACATCTGAAGCGTGCCACTGAACGAATTCCTATTCAGATGCTCGTTGGTGTCTGGTGCTTTATTTTGGCAGTGACAATAAAGTTTGTAAGACATTTAATGTTTTCATCTGAATGATTTTGTAAGTTCAGGTAGCAGCAGAGCTTAGAAAGCGGGGAATTTCAGCTGCTCATTACCACGCTGATATGAAGCCTGAAACAAGATCTTCTGTTCATATGCGGTGCAAAATCCAGCATACTTAATGATTTTGTGAAGCTGATAATTTTTGTTCCAAACCTTGAACAGGTCATTGAAAAGTGACCTTTGGCGAGTTCCTGTTCTAACGTAAGCAACACTTGATGCTCAAGGTTAGAGTTGCATTCTGGGAACTAAATAGAGGTTCTTCTTGTACATGGTTCTTTGTAGGTGGAGCACCAATAAACTGCAAGTCATTGTTGGCACGGTGTGTTCCTCCTCACAACTGAAGTTTCTCTGGAAACATTTTAAGTGTTCTTCTATTGCTTTGTTCTGAATTTCATGACTTTGCGGTTCGGTTGAAATATAGGAGTTATGATTTTAGTCATTATTTGAAATATACCTCCACGATTTCTGTTTTAAAGTCGGTTTAGTTTCTTGATGGAAATCCGCCGTGTCTCTCCACTGAACAAAAAAATAAAAATTCTTCTGTTATATTTGGCAATTATTCAAGCTCTAATTCTTTTGTGATGCTGTTTTGCTTTTAAGCATGTAGGTAGCTTTTGGAATGGGTATCAACAAACCTGACGGTAAATTTCTTGTGAACTTTTGCGTTGTTGTCTAGTTCATACTTGTCTCTTCTTTTTTTGGAATATAATTGTTGATATTCTAAGGACATCAGTGAGGTTAGTCTCTTTATTCTTATAATTATTGATCCTAGTCCCTGTTCTAAATTATTACCCACTGTTTTCTTTCTTTTTTACAGTGCGGTTTGTTATTCATCACAGTCTCAGCAAATCGTTGGAGACCTATTATCAGGTAGAGTCTCAAAGCTATTGTCTACATCAAGATTTAGAAAAGTTTTACCTGAGTAACTAATTCCTGAGGGCTTGCAACTTGACAGGAGAGTGGGCGTGCAGGTAGAGACGGGCTTCCCGCGCATTGCCTCTTGTACTTCAGACCCGCAGACCTTCCTCGACAGGTGCGTTTCCATCAGATATTCGCTTTTTCACTGCCAGATATTCTTCACAATGTGTGTTACATTTCTTTGCCGTCTTTTGCGCGTGTGTGTAAATATATTCATACGAGCTACTTATTTGCATTATGAACATCACTATATCTCAGTTACGTTTAACTTGTCAAGTTGCGTGGTACGCCTAAACATAATATTCTGGGTTTGTTACTGTTATCGAATTGTGCAGAGTTCTATGGTTTTCGCGGAGATGGCAGGTCTGCACAATTTATACGCTATATGCCGCTTCTGCCAGGTGAGGTATCATTACTATTCTATGGCTTTCCTGTAGGAGCGAAATTTTAATCATTTGCGTGTCAAAAAGCTCTCATGACCCTGAAGGTTAGGATGTACTTTTAGATTTTAGTATCTTAAATAAATTTAAACACTTGGGAATTATAGCGGTGTATTTTTTACGTAGGATTTCGAGGTGTTCAACTCAAATGACTTTTTCGTGGAAATTTTACAGTCCAAGCAAGCATGCCGTCGTGCAGCCTTCTTTCGACATTTTGGGGAGAAAATCCAGAAGTGTAATGGTAATAACTCGTCTATTCCATGTAGCGTATTCATGATCCTATCGCAAGTAATGCGAGCATGATTTTTTGATGAAATTTCTGGTGATTATTTTTAGAATTTGTAGTATTGTGGCACTAAATACGAAGTCATTCAACTGGCTTTGAATGGTAGCTTAGTATAGCTCACATTGCCGAGAGTATTCAGTAAATATTATTTATCCAGATTTCTTTCATGTGCAACTGACCTTCACTCAACTTGTGTTCAGGCATGTGTGACAACTGCGCTTTTACGAAGGAGGTTGTGGATACGGATGTTACTGGTGTGTCTTTGTCCCTATTTCATGCAATGCAGTGTTGGCAAGGAGTGTTAACTTTCTGTCCAAAGAAGTTTACAAAATGTTTGTTTGTGCACAACTATTTTCCGTGGATCTTGTCGAATACTCGTCTGAGAGCGCATAGTATTCTGCAGAACACGCCAGGTCACTGGTGTCAATGGTGAAGGAATCGAATGATGTTGAACAGAAATTAACGATTCTCCAGCTTGTGGAGCAATGGAGAAGTCAGACTAAAAAATCTGGTAATCCTGTTTATACTCTCTCAGATTTCGTTGCATGTTGTGCATCCCTATCACCATGGATCATTCTCTCAAGGTGTTGATCATCTTCTGCTAATGACATGTTCTCCTTTCGCTTTACTTGTTCCGTGATAAAAACTGGCATAGAATGCTATGAAAACAGACACAGACGCTCAACTTGCGAAGGATCTAAGTAAAGATGACGTGGAACGTGTGATCGTTCAGCTGATCTTGGATGGAATCTTGGTACCATGCTTCATCTCTGGATTCTATCTTCGTACATTTACAATGACCTTGTTATATAGATGTAAACATATGTTGGTTTAATATGTGGAAATTACATGATATTCCTGGGTTTTCTTCGCATATTGATTAAGCTAATATTCTAAGCATGCGTTGTGTTCCATGCACGTTGATGCATTCATATGTTGCTAACGATTCTGGATCTGCATTGTCATGTTACAGAAAGAGGAATTTGCACACACGGCTTATGCTACTAATGCTTATGTGGCATTGGGGACTGGTTGGAGAGGTCTCCTGCAAGGTGATTCTTTTGTTTCCACTTGTTGTGATGATGACCTAGCGATTTTTTTTTCTCATACATAGTTGCTTCTATGAAGCTTACCCCTATGAAACAGAGAGTATGTTCTGAGTACCGCAGATCATAGAGTTACAAGCCAGATGCATATTTATATTTGTTCCATAGGTCTTAATGGAATTTCGTTGGTAAAATAGAAGGCAGCAGACTTCCACGAGATGGTGCACTGATCTTGATCTGAATTCCCCGAGATTGCAGGTACAGGTAATAGAAAAGTGAAACTGGAGATAGTTAAAGGAGCGCAGAGTGCAAAGAAAAAATCCAAGGCAAATACAGCACCAATTAGCGAGGAAGGAATGACATTCTCTGGACTGGGATCAGCGCTCGATGATTTGCGGCAGAATCTTGCAGCCAGTCATGGAGGCATTTTTCCACATTCAGTGCTTACGTCTCAGCACATATCCTTGCTCGCGTCTCAGAAGCCTGTTACAATGGAGGAGGTACAGAAGTGCTCAGTACATTTGTTTTTTCTTCAGAAGCTGCGACCTGTAGAGAGTTGCCAACAATCGTGTATGATTTTTTGAAGCCTTAACTCTGCATCTCGTACTTTTTGCAGCTAGAGGAGGTGATTGGAAAAAGGATAGCAGAGCAATACGGAAATGAAATTTTAGTATCGATAACAGATTATCTTGAGGAACACCCAGCGGATACTGAAAACGGAGGCGCTTGGATTGCTCCTAAAGGGAAACGTGCTGCCGAAGGTCCATCAACTGGACAAGCCAAAAGAGTTGCTAAAGCTCCCTCAGACAAACCAACTAAGGCTCCAGCAACTAGGCAAAGTAAACGCGTTGCTGAAGGCCCCGCGCACGATGCTACTAAAACTCGATCGATCAAAAACTTTTTACAGAAAAGTACCAAGGCTGATACGGATGTCGGTCCTAGCAACACTGCTAGATCTAACCAGACTCCTGAAAGCTTCGGACCTAGCACTACTAAAACCCCTACTAAGAGACTTTCTCTACCGAGACCATCAGCTATTAGTACACCAGCGCCCACAACACCCAAGGAAGAGGACGTCAAGCAGGAGGCAGGTAAGGTTCCTCAGAGTGAATGCATAGACCTTGATAGCGACAGTGAGGGTGAAGAGGATCAGCCTGCATTGAACGGGACTGTATTTAAAAGAGAGAATGAAGAGGAAGATGTGATAGAAGAAACTAGTTCTGAAGAGGATGAGTTTTCTTTATTCAAGCGATTGAAAAGACAATAATATATGTCAACTACACTCTAGAGGTTGTATGTTTAGGGTTATTTATCTTGTTATCTCTCATCATTTGAATTATTTTTTATTTTTTATTTTTTTGGTGGGGATAGGCCGTTATGTTGGTTATCGGCAAACTGAAACCTCTTTGCATGTTCGATTTGCAAAATTGTTTTTGTGCTGCATATGAAGTTGAATGCAATGCTCCACCCTTCACTTTTTGAGTTTCACCTGGTTCAAGACATTATCTCTGCTCCATCGTGCTTGCTGTAAGTTCTGGGTTCTTACAATGCTGATTTGGATATCTGGATCTTACCTGCTCATTTTAGCAACCTGTCTTGTCTAGTTCATTCTCTGATCTAATTCTAGTTCTGTTGTCTAGAATACATCAAGATGGTTGCACACAAACGCCCGCAGTGGTTGTGGTGTTTCCATAGCACAATACTAAACATTTCTCTTTTCATTTAACCACCTCCGTTCATCTAATCTGTACTCCGATTCACTACCTTACAAAAAGTGTAAAAGATTGCATAATAATTGTACTCACTTCTTCCAAACCAGACCTGCAAGTTTATTATTTTGGTAGGATATTATATTCACTCTAGTATTTTACTGTTTATTGTAATAAACACTCAGGTTTAAGGATTTTTATCCTTATTTCATAACAATTGCGTATGAAATTAATTATTATTCTTTGAATATGCTAATTTCAGTACATATTGTTGTTTTCATTTTTTTAATAAAACTTGTTGAGTTATTGATAGTACTCTGAAAAAATTCAATTGTCCCTTGCTGTTTTGTGTTAGCAATCTTGTGTGTCTACATATAAAAATCTGGCTAAAACTCTTGTTAACTTTAACCTTTCTAAGAATTGAGGAATAAATTTTGCATTCTATTGACCCCTATTGATAACATGAAAATCTTGATAAGAGGTTTGGAATCAATATAATTTTTGTTGGTAAGAAATGTACACATTGCAAGATGAATTCATACAACATGACAATACAAGACCAAATTCTTCGTTAGCTTGTTGAATGCATAAACTTATCGTCCAGAACTTCACTGAACTCACGATGTGAGTACAATATTGCTGAGGATCAGCAGTACTGACTAGTGATAAGGCAACTAATCTATACACTGGCATATCAATTCAGAATCTTCTGTGTAGCGGTATCTTCCATGAGGAAATAATGTTTTAACCACACCATGTAGAAAGAGCCTCATATTAACTCTAAAAAAGACCCTCCAAATACCTTTGTACACAAAGTAAGCAGAATGAATTTTGAGTTACTGTTTATACAAAGGAGAATAACCAATATTAGCAAGCTATAAGAATAAATGGACACTGTGGAATTGTGGTGTTTGAAGGACACCAGCAATCCATCCCAATGCCTAATGTAATCAAGTGAATCCTATTTCATTGTAAGAAACGAATTGAACAGATAAAGCCTGTCTGTTCCCACTTCATCAACAGACATCATTTCCAAGATCTCATGTAGGGTCACATACCTCCATAGAACAGGCGAAACGCCTCTACCATTTTACTGAGATATACACTGCTCTAAGTTTTCCATACCTCCTTTACTTGTTACATACTCTAAGAACCTTGTACCTTGTGCTTCAAAATTACTCGCTTCTTTCATTCGAACGTTGAAAACAACGTACGATATTTCAGCTGGTCTTGAACCTTCAAGTAATCTTCAGAATAAACTGGAAAATTTGGTTAGCCTTGTTACCACTTTCCAACCCTCTTTTTTCGTTTCATGTACAGCTGGGCATTGATACAATCCATACAAGCCTGAGAACCAAGGCGTGTAAGGTTTCGCCCCTCATCCATAATAACCAAAGGGAGTTTGAACAAGCTCTGGGCTTACAAAGAGATAAATGCAGGACTTCAGAGATACAGCTGTATAAGCTCATCACTCACAGCTGACGGAGTCAAAACTCCTAGATCTGAAAATATAAGGGTGAGATATTGAGGTGGGGTGTAATCCCTTGCGGAATTTTCCACATTCACCACTTGAGGTAGTGGGACTAGGAAGTCGACGTGGCGAGGGGCCGGAGACATGTCCCTCTGATCGAGAGGAAAAAGTCGAGCGAACTGCACAACCAAAGTACAAGAAATAACGTACCAAGATTTAGCACATCTTAGCACAAGCATGCGTACCGCAAAAACCCAAATCACCAATCGACCGCAGTGATTTTCCAAGGCAACACTAGCATATAACGTAAACCTTCAAATCTTAATGTCATCCACACGAAATCCAATACGAGCTGCCGTTTAAACTGAGATCATGCAGCTTAGCAGCAGAGCAAACCAAATGATTACCAGATATCACATGGGAAATGTTAGCATTACCTTATAGCTCTCGGCTGCAACATATACAGGTTTCTTCAAACTATAAGCAACCAGTGCGGTCTGGTAAGTGCCAAGCATACTGATGATTCCACCACTTTCAACGACTCCCTCCGCCCCCATCAAAACCATGTCAACCGTCTCCATCACGTATGCTACACCTGAATCCAGGACTAATGTAACAGGTATCCCCGCCGGAACAAGCTCCTTTGCCATCTCCGCTCCAGTGTTGTCGGGTCTGCCTTCTGCAAAGGGCATCATAACGGAATTTAACTCTGTTAAATACAACATAAGCTCTGCGACGCTTAGAATTGTAGATATCCCAGAATTATTTTATTCAAGGATATGGAACATCAATTATGGGTACTAAAAACGCATTAAATGATATCTAATTATTCAAAGTCGAATTAAAGAATAATAATAATAATAATAATAATAGAGGAACTGTCCTAAAATCGGCGACTAAGTGATACCTGTGCAGATAACATTAAAATCTTTACCCTCAGAAGCTGCAAGCTTGAGCAAAGCTAAAACAACTCTTGAGTAGCCATGGGTCAATATAGTGATTCCGTCTGCTATGAAATCCTTTCCTAATTTCGCAATTGTTCGTCGCGCCTATCATGATAATAAGAAATGCTCCCATGAGTATTTAGTTACACAATTTATAAGATATGAAATCAATTTGCAGAGAAATAAACTCGTCCACGTTCTGGAACACGCCAATGTTACTGCAAAACATTAAACTCAGAACGCTACCTTCTGGGAGATTTCACCAAATTTCTCCCCTCGTTCAATTAAGCGGGCCTTGCCAGCTTCAATGTCTTCGTATTCAATTGCTGAAGTGCGAGTAACATAACGCATAAATAGATCACAGCCTGCAGACAATGATATAGAGCTCTCATCTGATTCCTGACAAGCCAATGCACCCCACCCATACATGCTACCCCTTATGAGCGTTGTCGCTTTGTTTCATAGACGTCGTAATATGCTTCCTAAAACCATGATGAAGTGCAATCATATCACGAAGTTTAGAACCAACAAGATAGGGTACGTGCTGTGGTCCTTCTTACAGTGGAGAACTTCAGCCATGACCTAGGTAAGCAACACATTCTATTCCATCAAATTTGAAAAGAGCGGTTCATTTCTGAACTCATACTCTATTTCCTCGAAATCGAACACCTATCATACGTTCAAATTAAGACAAAGGAAACCAATCATAAGGTGGACTTGCAGAACATCGTGATAAAATAAGCAGCATTTAGACACAAAAGATTAAAAATATTACAAATGAAAGAAGAAGTGCATTAAAAAACACGCACCATATAACAAGCGCGTTGTGCAATTACAAAGCACATATTGATGTGATGGTCCTACCTTAAGAGTGTCTGATGCATTCTTCAGTTCAACTTCCAGGCCCATCATAGTCGTCGCCTCGCTCCGCTTGATAACAGCAGTCAATGCTTTAATAGCTGCGACTGCCTCCGCGAGATCTGGACTCTTGCGCCATGAGTCAAACTCGTGAATAACATTAAATGGTTTCTCTCTAACGACCTCTCGACCCCATGATCTCACGGAATGCGAAACTGATATTGTGTGGTCTTTCAATCCTGCATACAGACTTGCACTCTCCGCCTGTAATTCACCGCATACAAGAGCACACATACAAATAGTTCAGAACGTGATATGGCAACCACGATCTCAGCTGTCCTCCTATATGACAAATGAGACAACTGTAGCAGAAGCGATCACTTTAGATTTAAAACAGAATCTGCTGCCAACTTTCACACATGTATAGATGCGGACAGGCAATACCAAGCTATCACTTGTGCAATGCCGCAGAGATCAGTAAAATAACGCAAAATGGCCAGCGTGCCTGTAGTATACAGAATAGACCACGAACATTCATCATACCTGTCTTAACCATTCAAAGGTAACACTATTCGGAGTAGAGTCCCGCCTTTCTTGCAACACCTTTTTCCGATCTTCGTGAAATGGATGACAAAATCCCCTTTTTGAGCCACTGACTTCGAACCCTGAAACAAGCAAGCCGCAACATTAGCTTTTGCACAAAAGTTGTCATTAACATGCTCAATTATGTTAGGATACTTCTAATGATAAGGTCTCAACTTCTCACCTATTATTTGAGCTAATGGCACAACTGAATCATCAACCCCTAAAGTCGCCAGTCTTGACACCCAGTTCTCTGACTAGACATAAGATTGGGTCTAAGCAAACCGTAAGTCAAAGTTTGTCGTGACTTGTAACTGTCGAACTTCGCAGTGAAAGGTGCCTCTAACTTGCGAATCGACGGCACTTCTAATCCCGATCACACGTTCTTGAGACTTGTAGAATCAGTTGCTCAACAAATAGTTCAAAGACATTCAATAATGTAAATAATATATTTCCTCGCCTACCAAACAACTGTGCTTCAAGTTCCATGGGCGCAAAATTGGGCGGGCTCGACTAACGCAAGACTCATTCTTTACATATAGTGATTTGATAACTATACATTCCTCCTCGTCAAGTGGACAAGAAGGCATAACGTTGGAATGAAATGAACGTCAAACATAACGTGAAAAAGATCCAGAACATATCTTTATACACCAATGTTTCGCATACCACAAACAAGGATGCCCTTGCATCGACATTGCTAGATAGGTTTCCTGTAAACTGATGTGCACAGAAGTATAGAGACATTCGACCATCAGAAAGTCAATCAGGAGTCGGCCAAGGGTCTAAAAATGAAGCTTCCCGCATTGATCCCACGAGTAGAAAATCTCGTCAAGGCGAATGTGCTACTAACTTACAGTCTAAATGAAACTTACAACAGGAGGACATTGGCTGGCACAATGTTCAAGTGAGAGAGGACATGATCGTGGCGAAATTCAGGATTACCGAATGAGAAGAACCTCAAGCTCCAATCACGTAGCACACAGGCTCCAATGCTTCGAAAACCAGAAGGATTGGGTCATTGTAGCATGTTACACTCCCAACGTGGAAAATAATTGTCTGATGTAATTCGGTGGGTACCTGGTGACGGCTTACACCATCCGCGGTCGTCTTCCAAAGAAATGTCCAAGTAGTCTTCATCGCTTTCTCCCCTCAAGCTGAAATCGCGGTGAGAGGACTCGTATCGAAGGGACGAAGACCTATACATCTTTGCAACCACTACAAGCCGTCCATGAACACGAACCCGAGCGCTTCCCGGCTGACAACCCAATTTTGAAGAAAAAACATAAAACCAGAATAAAATAAAATAAAATAAAACCAAGAGATTTAATGATGCAGCAACCAAATCTTCATGAGGATCTGAGCTACACACCCATCCCCAATGGAAAAACTAACAATCCCACTTCCCCTTTCTCACTCCCCTTGAATCCCTCCCCCCTCTCTCTCTCTCACTGTAATTCTCTCTCTCCACTCGTAATCCGCAACTCTCCTGTAGATAGGTACACGCTCGGTATAGCTCACAAGTACAGTGCTACTAGAAGCATAAATAAAATAAAATAAGATAAGGCACTCCTCGAAAGGACGCCCCAGTACACCCTGCGTGACAACTCAGTCCCCAACCACGCAATTCCACAAACTCTACAAAATTTTCCCCCAAGGAAGTGGTCAAATTGCCGCGACACCCCCGAAAATTAAAACTACGTCAGAATCTGTACGAGGTGGTGAGTAGCAAAATCATCTACCACCCCCCACAAGCCGCTATGTCCACTCACCCGCCACACACACACACCCATCCCACGGAACCCCTCCGAATTACTTATCCCTCGTTCCCAAACCACTCAACCGAACCACGCCCATGACCATAACCATGCCTGTCACGTCAAAATCAACACCACCACACTTACTCTCCAATTCCCACTCCTTCTCCTTCTCCTCCTCCTCACAACCCAGCACTCGCACTATTACACCAACCAACCAGCACCAACTCTCTAACTCCCACTCCCACTACCACTCACAATCTCCTCTTACCCTTCCTCCTCCTCCTCCGCAAAAAAATCACTAACTAATCCACCACTGTAAAAAACGAAAACACTCACTGAGCTTCACACACAATCGTCAATGCTGCAACAACACCACCACCACCAGAAGAAGCAAAACCCACAAAAGCTCCCTCCATCACTCTCGCTCGCTCTCTTTCCTCTCTTTCTCTAGCTCTTCTTATTCTTGCAGGTGATGAAATTGAAAAATTCGAGAAGGAAGTGAAGAAGAGGAGAGTGCGATGATGCTGATGATGGAAGGAAGGAAGGAAGCATTGTGATTGTGGTGGTGGTGGGCTACGACGGAGCTGGGCCCGCGAGCTCCCACAATTCCCTGGCTATGGCTTCTGTCGGAGCCCCCCTTGGCTTCTTCTGCTTCACCTCCTCCTCCTCCTCCGAAACCCACAGACACGTTCCCCTTGTTCCCTCCTTGTGAACCTCACAGGATCCCTTCAGGGTACACACTCTTGGGGAACGCATCCTTGTATAAAACCCCCACTTTTCCCTTTAATACATTTTCAGTTAGTGTGAGATTGTGGGGGAAGAAGGGGGATTATTATCTGGGCCCCATTTGTGGGGGAGTTTTGGGCCCCTCCCCCCCCACACTCACGTGATTTACCCTTTTGCAACTCCCTCTTCCTTGTCCTCCTCTTCACAAAGATATTGATACTATAATTAGGTTTGAGAATCACAAGGTGGGGTTTTTAATGAGGTTCCTCTTGTAATACAAAAATAAAAAACAAAACAAAACAAAACTATTAAAACATATAAAAATGTTCTTCCTTGATTGATGCAACAAGACTAGTCTAATTCTATGCCACATGACATAGATCTCAGAATCCTTGAGGGTAGTGCAAGTTTTTTGAGTAGTGTGGGGGCTCCTTGCTTATGGCCATCCATCCATGTTGGAATGTTTCATGCACAATATGTTGCAAAGAATTTGAGCGACCTCAGCGGGGTTTGATTCCCATACACAGCTATTGTTTGTAGTAGGAAGGGGTGTTAATGTAGATTACACTCCACCCCTTTGTTCTATTAATATTAAGTTTTGATGTGTGTGTGGCACATGGAGAAAGTAGATTTTTTGTGTGTGTGGAAATCATAAGGGCCTTTAAAGTTGATCCTTGTCAGCCTGGTTTAACAACATAATATTTTTTTATGCATAGAGGGGTCGTTTTATTATAATATTATGGACTAGGTGGGGTGGGGTGGGGTGGGGTTGGGGGGGATCTTACAGCTGGGCATGGGGCTCAACATGGGAGTGCTCCCATTGGAGAATAGAGCTAGAATAACAATGAAAAATGAAATAAAATAATGAATAAGAGCCCTAATTTTCTATTGATTTCTCTTTCTCTTTTCTATTCCCCTGCCATTGTACTGCTTGCCCTGACTAGGACTGGGCTTGTGGACCCCATGACTCTGCTGCCTAGCCAATCGCCCTAACCCTAACCCTAACTTTTCTTCCTCCCAGCCCTAATCCTAATTGTTCCCCCCCTTAACCCAAACCTCTGAGTTTCAATTTAATTGCCCTGAGTGTGCATTACTTCACCTGACTCTTTTAACTCATGTGCTGACTATGTGTAGCAAAATTAATGTGCTTGTAGTTAAGGTTGAACTAATGTGGGGTCATATGCTGCAAAAAGAAAGAGAATGACTTCAAACTAAAGGACTGACTAGTTGATCATTCACATGGAGCAGTGTTGCGAAGAAGAGAGTTTGTTTTATTGACGATTATCAGTAACATTATCATTATTGTTGTTGTTATTGTTATTATAATGCAAGCATTACAGCACCACATGTATTGCTAAGTCCAAACTCAATTTTTAGTTTCATTTTTATTTTAAGATTGTGAGCATGTGTTAGTAGTTTATGCTATATATATCTTTATATATGTATATACGTACATATATCAATGTAGTGGGCACCTGCAAGAAGAGGTAAAAAGCATGGTCAAAGGAGTATTATGCATACAAACACATTAAATAAAATTTGGAAGCATTATTTTTTTTTCTTCTTCTTTTAAGCACATATTAAACACTCAATACTGTCTAACCTTTTATTTTTTGCTTCAATAGTTCTTTGTTTTAATACAATCACATTAAATGTATAGTACTGCAGATTTATTTATTTATTTCCCAACAAAACCATGTGATTCTGCAAACTACAACTTTATTAAAATTGAACCAACTCTGAAAATACTTAACTATGAGGGTGGCCATAATAATCCTTATATATCCAAGTTTGATCTGAACAGTCATGAAATATGACTGTCTTCAATTGGGGGGTTTTTGATTATATATATATATATATATATATATATATATATCAAGGATCATACACACTAATTACACAATACATATGAATATTGTCACAGAATGCACAAGAATATATCAAGGCAAAGAGAGAATACACTAAGTTAAGTTAATGATTTTTGAGTAAAAAAAATCAAAATGGATACATCATTTAGTATCAAATTAAAAAGTAAAATATCTTTATTATCTACATATATAAAAGAACGTATCATATGTTGTCATACACTATCTTGTTGTTTCTTCAACCTTTATGTGATTACTTTGGTTCACTCATACACAAAACAATCAACTACAGATGTAGCCTCTTTTATTATTATTATTATTATTATTGTTGTTGTTATTCTGACTTTGAATAGCTCAAATGAACAAATCCATCAAAAGTATAACAAATCCAAGTAGAAGCAAACAGGTAGCAAATAAAGCACTATAATCTAATGTATATGAAGAGTTTTGATTCCCTTTCTAATGAAACAAGTAATTATATGTGGTTGGAATTAATTCATAAACAGGGATGATGCTCCAATGGTCTAAAATGAACACTTTTCTCCAGAAGTATTAAAAATGGTATTGTTGTTGTTAATCATATTAAAAAAATATGATTAATTTTTTAAAGATTAATCCCAGCTCAACATGGCTCACACAAAGGCATTTATCAACACATTTTTTTAAAATTATTTATTTATTTATTTATTTGATATGCCTATATATATTTACATAACTTTCGGATTTTCATGTATTCTCCTTGAGTTTGTGAAGATGGACTCTTGAGCTCAAAATCAGAATAATAATTAGGCTTTATTAGTAACCAAATGCAATTTCATTCTGTACTGCGTTTTTAGCACTATTGCTGGATAATATTAAAAAACTATTGAGAATGAGACAATTGACCCAAAAGAGAGATGAGATGGTAAATTCTCAGATTGAAAACAATCCCACAATACACAAATGGCAAAAGGAGTTTTTTTTTATTATGGAACTTGTGCAACTGTCGGTATGTGATTTTTCTTGTTACTATGTTTCTACAATTTATATAACACATTCCATCTACTTCTCTTTGTGAAACTACTCTTTGCTATTAGGTTTGCAATAAAACACACACACACACATATATATATATATATATATATATATATATATATCTCTGAATTAATCCTCAAAAAATATTTATATTTATACAAGTTTGACATGGCTATTAAAATTTCAAATGAAAATTTTGTTTTATATCCACTTTGTGCCTGTCCTTGAAATTCGCTAATTTGCTAAGTTTTTTCTGTCTATCCTTGAAGTTTGTTGATTAGATGAATTTTTGAGAAAGGAAATGAATTCCTCATTGATGAAAAATTAGTAATGGAAATGAATGTAGCAAAAATTAATTTTGATATCCTTGAAAGTGGTTTTTGTTCTAAAATACAAACTTAATTTTGAATGTGCATTACAGAAATGCAATTTCTCAAAATTTATTCTGAATTCAAATTTACAAGCAATTGCAAATCAGAAATACCATGCCTAATGATTTTTTAATTTTATTTTTAATCTGTTTTTGCAAAAAACTTTTCATTACATTAAAAAAAATCATATTGGTATTTTTTTATTATTATGATGTCAAAAGTTTAATATTGAATGAAAATAAATTAATATATAGATTTTCCACATGAAATGTCAATTGGTTTTCAATGATACTACATACATTAACCGAAAGTGAAATAATCATACATATAATCAAGAACTGTTTAGCTTGCTAAATGGTCTCCTTTCTTGTGTGTGTGTGTATATATATATATACACAAACACACACATGGATATGTGTATGTGTATCATACTTAACTTTTAAAACAAATATTTTGAGCCTCAACCTTTAAAGTTTCACAAGAGAAGTATTGGTTTAGGATTAGATTCATTTTGATAATTACATATCCCTTCACAAATGCAGTTGAAAAAATTAGTTGAATATATAGCAGAGGATTTCGAATTAGTGGTAAATCAAACCTAAATATACATTCTACAACTCTCAGTTGCGTTTTTATTTTAGGAGTAATTTTTGTAATATTCATTCTTTTGAGTTTAAATATGGTTTAGTATTATCATCACTGAATACTTTTTTACTCTTTTATATTATTCATAAAAAAAACCATATTAACAATGATACAAAGTCATACTATTTATTTAATAAACTTGATATCTTTAATCATCTTTAAGTGGATATATAGATAGATAGATACATTACTTATTTTATCAGTGAATAATAAAAAAATTATTTACTTATATTTCTTCTTGGATTTGATTACAAAAAGGCACATAGCGTGTAGTTGTAAATTTATCTATCTATATCTATATCTGTACATACATACTCAATAAAAAAATATTAATGAAACAAAACTAACTTAATGTCATTAAAACCACTTAGCAAAAGGTGCTTTGACTTTAATTAATTTTTATGATTTAATTGGCACACCCATTAAACCTATACACACACCAGCCCTCTCATTGGCTGCTTTAGACCTAGACCCCCTCTTCCTTAACAACTCAAATCCTGATTGTGCCAAACCCTGTCAAAGCACTAATGAAGAATCTTGCTTACTAGATTAAACATGCTTCAACAATAACCTCATAGTTTCCCATGTAATAATATTATTCTTCTCCGTTACTCATACCTGCAGAAGAAGCCTGGTTTACCTCACATAGTTCTCAACCACAAAACCTCGGCATCCTGTGTCTTGTCTAGAGGTGGGATTTGTGGAGAGTATTGCAGAGCTGCAGGTGTTTGATGGAGAGATGGAGTGCGGAAGTTGTGCAGTGTCAGAGCAGGTGGGTGGGTCAGCTCAACCTCTCTTCCATGTTATAGTGAAGTCGGCTTGAGCATGAAGTAGTTGCGGCGAGACAGATAGACAGACAGACAGACAGACAGAAGCATCTTCACGGCTTGGTTAGAAAATGGAGCCTTGGAACTCTACATAATACGAGACTGCAGAGATGCCTTCGGAGACCGTCATGTTTCGAAGATGACGCCACGAAGACTCGGACTTGTTCCACTATTCCAATGGAGGATAGATGGCCCCATCCCTCTGATTCCGCCCTCTGAACGTCGACAACTGTACTTTTTGTTTTTTTGTTTGCATATTTCCACCTCGAAGTTCGCCCCTGACACCACCATCAGTGTCTGTGAGATTCGATACCCCGCCAGTTGATTTATTTTCGAGCCATTGAGCGCGACTTCGACGCGCTGAGCTGCTTGATCGACACCGCCTTTCGCTTTGTTAGAGTAGGGCTGTATCAGATTGTTGCGGTTTTCAAACGTCCTCAGTGGTACGTTCACCAGCACCGCTCACCCCACTGGTGCCGGGATGGGGGTTGCTTGAGCGTATGGAAACACTTGTATTCGAATCTTAGCCCTCGTGTGCGCTAGTTGAACTTGTAGACTAGTTTCCGATTAGATGCTAGTCGCCTTCAGGTCCAGTTGCACCAACAGTGACTGATCGTGTGTGTGGTTTCAGGCCCCAGAGATGTCGTGTGAACTGCTCGCTCGAGAATGATGCTATCGCCTCCGGGCTCATGTGCTCACAGTTCATCATCTGCATGTTTTCCAAAGGTGACGGTGAAGTACTTCAGACGAGCTCAGAACTAGATAGGCACTTCACTCACAGCCTTGCAGCTAAACGAGTGAGCTGCAGTTGTTGTAACGCAACATCTTCTTCCACAATTCATCAGGAATGCTGCCAAGCGCGAGTTGGCAAACTCGATGAAGGGCATGGCATCAAAGTAAAGCAAAGCAAACACAGCTGCAGCTTTGCTTGAACAATCCTATTGTTTCAATACTCATGTACTTGATGAGTTGTTTAGTTTTTAGTTTAAGAAAAATGAGGGTATTAGAGTAGAGGTCTTCTCATACACACACACACACACACATATATATATATATATATATATATAGAAGAGTGTCTCAATTAATTGTCATAGTCCAGTGAGGACTTCTTTCATGTGTCAGACTTGTGATATGATATGGAGATTGGACACCTCGTCGTTATCATTCTACCTCACTGGATCCTAACTTGAATTCAATGATTGTGAAATTATATTAAACAAAATTTTGCCAAAGTGTGGTGAGTGTAGAATGAGTGAGACATAACAATTGCTAAGGTTTGCTGGTATTGTTAACAAGGGTTGTAGAGATTAAGTGATAAACATTCTACAATTTTTAAAATTCTATAATTATTGCATATCTTATTTTTCAACAATTGAAAATTGGTATGTATGTATGTATGTATATATATATATATATATATATGTGTGTGTGTGTGTGTGTATGTTGCATAACACATGTATAAAATTTAGAAAATTTAAATTTCTGACATCAAGAGGAAAGAAGAAAAGAAAAGAAAGGATAAGTTAAGAATATATTTTGCATCAGATACTATGATGCATATGTGGAATAAGTTCATTAAAATAAGACGAAAAATACTTTTGAAGTATCTCATGTATGATAAGTGCTAAGGTAAAGCAATAATACATTTCAATTATTAGCTTAAAACATTCTACATAATTCAAATAATTACACCAATAAAGTTCAGTATTGCATATTAAAAAGAATAATTACTCATATATTTATCAATATTTTATTCAAGTCTCAAATAATTTTTTTGTTATATTTTAAGGTTATTTAAATGTTTTTCTACTGAGAAATATATATATATATATATATATATATATATATATCTTAGAGACATCATTTGTTATTTATTATTTGTCATTATTATGATGATTTTCATACTATAAAGTCATTCAGTTCATAATTTAAAAACAGTACAACTTGATTGGTTTTATATCACAAACAAGACTTTAAATATTTTATTCAAAAGTAATATGAAAAAAACATATGTATTATTTTTATGATAGTTATATGTTAAATACTAGTAACAGAATCTGACAAAATTTATCAATTCTATTAAAGAAACCAACATTCAAATCATTATATTTCTTAATATTAATAATAAAATCATTATTTTTCGATGCATGAACAAATAACATAATATAATTATTGAAAATAATAGATTATATGAATTTTTTGATTTTTTAAAATCGATTGTGGAGATAAATGTATGTATATATATATATATATATATAAATTATTATTATATATATATATAAATTATTATATATATATAAATTATTATTATATATATAAATTATTATTATATATATATAAATTATTATTATATATATATATAAATTATTATTATATATATATATATATACATATATAAATTATTATTATTATAGAGCTGTCAAACAAAATTCATTATTTTAAAAATTAAACAACCAAGATAATCCAATTTTAATAACTGGGATTCTCATGAACTTGAATTGCAACAGGAAAGTTAAATGATTTTGTAATTGTGATATAATTAAATATAAGATTCATTTTCAGATGAATTACAATATTGGTATTATAATCTCAATCATCTAGAACAAACATCAATTTGAAGTATTTTAAAATAATGTCTTCATAATGTGATGAATTTTTTCCAAGAATAGAAGAGAAAATAAAAATAAAAAATAAAATAATGATTTCTTTGCAATAGGAATCATGTGTATCACTCGAAATCTTATACAAAATCACAAACAAATTGTTATCCAAAGATTTGAGTGGTTTAATATACATATTGTTATTTATTATTTATTATTCGTTTAAACTTTAAGCCAATTTTTATTTTTCAAACTTTAAAAAAAAGCTTCCTAGGAAAGCTAAATAACAAGATTTGCTGCCTAATCAAACAGAAGATCTTAGGATTTCTTCTAATATCCCAAATTTTATCAGAAAGATTTAGTAAAAATGAGCAAGGTATTGAATGCACCTGCAATATTTTAAAAAAATGTTCTGAAAACTTGCGTTCATGACACTAAAAACTTGAACACAATTCATTTCTAAGTTTCCAGATTCCAAACTAGCTGACAACATCCAACAAGAAGCCGAAATGCATAAAAACAAAGCAGAAAAAACAAAACTTTGCAAGTTACACAACAAATGGTAAAAGGAAGGACTTGCCCTTCAATGAAACTCAGCACAAGAAGTCCAGCCGGCCACGGCAAAACCTCAGGAATGACAATCTAGGGAAAACATACATCCAATGCATACTAACAGGGAGTTCATTCTATCAAAACAAAGGTCAGAAAATAATGCAAGTTTGGAGGAGAATCCTCCAAACTTGCACAAAAGGTGGGCCCAGAAAGACATAACCTTGGCCAGCAACACCCAAAAGCCTTCACACTCTCAACTCACACTATAACGTTGGAATACCTTTAACCGTCAACTTAAGGTTTTTCAGCTATCTCGGGGGATTTGTTTTTGGATTTGTTTTTGGATTTTTTTTTTTGTTTTGGGTGGAGAAGTAAGGTTCTGATGTGCTCCAGAAGAAGAAAAATAAATCAATAAATAAATAAATAAATAAATGAATGAATCGCCGCAGTGGTCGAATTGATAAAAAAACATTCAAAGCAGTTTTTGCATTTTATCCCTGAACCGAGTCGTAGACTTGAGCAAAACCATGCACTTCCATCACACTAAACCGCACCCTTCATCCTTGTAAAGTTTGCCGATCAATGGTCGATTTGAAATGTAATTGGAATCTTTCTACAGGAAGAACGGGCGGTTTTGGGTTTGTGAAACGGCGGTTTAGGTAAGGTCTATGGGTTGGTTCAGGGTTATGACACGATTTTATCTATTTCGACGTTCTCCTGCTTCGTCTTGTTTTTCTACTTTTTCTACTTCTACTTCCTCCGGAGCCAGCACATGCTTTTCCTCCAGAAAATTTCCAAGTGACAACTCCTCTTTCATGCTTTGCAGTCCCTTTATGAATCCATCAAAGCGTGGGCAGGAGGCGGCACTTCAGCCAACTTCGATGCAGCTGGCAGCATCTGATCTCACAACAGCAGCAGGTGAGTTTCCGCAGTAGAAAGATCAGAGATCTGCAGGATGGATGGATGGCCGGCTGTGTGCCAATACGACCCTGCACTGTCAGATTCTGCACTCTGGGTTGCGGTGGGGTATTTCGCAATTGGTTGGGCTGTGAATCTTCATGGCTTGCAGAAACAAGTCTGAGCCGAAGCAACATACTGGTGGTCGAAGCTTCTTGTTCCTGCGCCGCGCTTGTGCTTGTGTTTGTGTTTGTGTTTCTAATGCATGACTTGGACATACGAGTTCTGGAAGAATAACTAGACCACTGATCGACCTGCGTTCATCGACAGACTCGGTGGAGCGTTACAGTTGCTGAAACACAAACACCGTTGCAATCTGGACTTGATTCTGGAAACTCTTGGTTGGTGCGGTGGGTTTCCAGGGAAATATATGAAATGCAAGTGTAACTTCTTATACTATTACAACGGTAAGAATAACAACAGGAAGCTTAGTTAATTCGATTCTTGACTTGTAGCAAAACTGTTTTGTACTGGAGCGTGATGTGTAGGATGAGTGATATGTGATACTTGTGAGCATGCCACCCAATCATGTAGAGTTAAACTTAAGTTTTTGTTTTGTTTTGTTTTGATTTACTGTTATTAAGCAAAGGATGTTTGTGATGTTCAGACGTGGTTTACTGGAAGTGCCTCCATACTGAACTTGGTTCTCATCGTTTGTTTGCAACGTAGATACTTGTCTTGTTAAGCTATGTGATGATTTAGCAAGGTGGTAGATTTCTCCATTGCTTACTTCCCAATTGAATGGCTCTAAATCATGGTGTTAACAATGTAACATTAACCATTCATACTAAGTTTCATGTATGGATTTGAAAATTTTATTTTACAAATATAACATGATATGATTTTAAAATCTTCATCTTCCAGTTCAACACATTTACAAAATTTGTAGTAATCCTAGGAAAGACAATCTTTGGAAGGATTGTTTTCTTTATTACAATTGCTTCTCATGTATAATTCAATTTTATTGTGTATATATACAATATAAAACAACAAACTTTATTAATAATCATTTTTTTTCTTGATTCCTGTAAATAAAATTAAAATTATATATATATATATATATATAAATATTTTCTGTGGTTTTTACTTCTAACAAAACTTATCAAAACCACTGTGCAAACAAGTCATTTGCCTTCAAATTTCTTATAAAGTAACTACTATATCAACACAAATATTATCCTACTTTTTTTTTTTTTTTTTTTTTTTTTATCACTTTTATGAGTATCTATTTATTAATAAAACCATCATAAACAAAGATTCTGTAGAGTTCATTTGTAAATACTCACATTTTTTTTCTGATTGATACATATATATATATATATATATATATATATATATATATAAACAAATAATAAAATTCACATCTTTCAGTATGAATGTCAATCTAAAGTTTAGAACATTTTGATACCTTATTTGGTCACATAAATAAGTAAAACAATTGTAGATAGTTTTCCTGTGATCAAAATTCAATAAATCACAAAAGTGCATATGTTGGAAATGAGTACAGAAGTGCTTCATAACCTTTTATGAACGAGTTAAAGCATTCTACAACATTACACCAAGTAGATTTATTTATTAATATATTTATATTATGAACCAACATCCTCTCAACTTCCTTGTGTTTAAAAATTTAAAATTCTTTAAAATTTACACAATAGAATATAGAATGAAAAGATACACGAATAAAATCAATGACAAACCCATAATACAAATCATTTACCATGCATGCAAATAGAGAATCCTACTCAAAATTAAGTTGTTTTGTTTTGGTTTGTGTTTGTGTTTGTGTTTTTTTTTTTCATGCATTCTGTGTAATTTTTTTATATAAGAAAATTAATAATAACACGAAGTTCAAAAACCACATGTATCTTCACGCACACATACACATATACACAAATGAATTTTTTCTAAAAATTACAAAATAAAAACTTTGAAACACTTACTTACATGTTGAGCATATGAAGGCATATCATCACATCTAGAGAAAACTTCTTTGTAACACCAAGCACGCATTTAGAATGACCTTAAATTAGAGATGATGGCACATTGAATAGTTGGCTGTCTGGTTCGCAGCAGTGTCATTCCCATCTGTGAAATCTAGTATTCTAGAACTGCAATGTGACCTCCTCTTCCATCATCTAGAGAAAGCAAAAAAACAAAACCAACCAAAAACTAAACAAAACAAAACAAAACAAAGCAAGGAACTCATCCCCAGTAAGAAAGGGCGATGGTGAGCCGCACCCATGAATCCAAGTCGGCGACCCAGCCACAAAACAAAAACGGCAAAACACCAGTACCACAAAGTGTCATGGCAAAAAACCTGTCAGGGCAGCACAGCAACCAACTTAACCGCTCCACAACTTCAGCAGAAGTTGGTATATATGAATAAATGACGCCAGGAAATGAAGCAACAGAAGCAACATAAGCAGCATTACAAGCTGGAAATGGGTCTGCAACAGCGCGCCACACAGCGAGGTGCATCACTTAGACAGCCTGGTCCTCTGAACTTGGCGGCGTCTCCGCTCGCTCGCTCTCTCTCTCTCTGCCTCCCCGGCCTCGGACGCGGCGATGGCCATCTCGACCTCATACTCTTCCCCTGTCGATCCATGCCCGGAATATGTTGCTCTCTGTCTGCTTCATTGCCGCATGTGGTACCCTGCCTCTTTTTGTTTGTTTGTTTGTTTGTTTGTTTGTTTTTTTTTTTTCTTTCATAAAAGCTGCCCCGCTGTTCGATATTCTTCACCGATTGGCTCCGCAGAGAAACAGTGTGCGTCTGAGTTTTTTCGAAGTCAATCTGGCTGAGGTGCTGCGTTGTTGCGCCAGGTGGGTCTCGACCCGATCGATAGACCTGTTTGTATCGTGCCTGCAGGGTGGATCTTATTCTAGTTTGAAGCGCATTCTGAGCTGATGGGCTTCAGGTAACGAGGTATTGTGCTTGCTGCAAAGAGTTAGGACTAAATCAGGTTGATCAGTTGTTGAGAAGATGTGGGTGGAGTTTCGCGTGCCGAAGATGAGCTGTCGAATTCACATGGTTGAGATAGTAGTTTGTGAATCAGTGGTGTCGTGAGATACTGCCAAGTTGAATAGTAACGTAGTTGGCAGGTCCACAGTTCGAGGGTTATAATCGACGTCATAAGCTTTTGTAGGGAATGATGGCAACTGCACGTTTCTTCTCGTTCGATCTCCTTGCATTCAAGGCAAGGCTGACCAGTAATCAAAGCTTGAAGGAATCGGAGAGGAGGGATGTCGACAGATATTTTGATAAGCGCCGCGAGTTTGCGAAGAAAATTTTGTCCATACAGGAATCAGCGCATCCTGGAAGACCGGCAGTTTTACCCGTGGCCCCAGCGAAGACAACCTTCCGGATTCGAGTATCCAAGGCACGTGCCCATTGTCACCGGCACTTTCTGAGTGGATTCGATAAGCTGGAACTGACAGAAGCTCAAATCGCCGAGAGACGCCACGCTCTAGCGCAAGATCTTATTGCTAGAGTTTTAAAGGAATCTGATCCAAGACCACGCCGGCGATTGATTCCATTAAGCTCTCGGAACATAATTCTCCCGAACTCATCGACCAGTTCGTGCATTCAATGGTTGCAACAGCCGTTCGAACTATTGGCTCGAGTTGCTTCTGTTGCTGCCTCAAAACTGGAGATCAGCCAGGCTGCCGTCAGAGTTCGCAAGCATTCCGCCAGGGTAACGAACTTTCCTTTGGACGACAGCTTGCCCCTTCTCTCCGTCTGCGAGGCCTTTTAACATCACGTTAACAGTATTTTTGTGCATAAAACGGAGCGATTAGATTTGAATAATGTGCCAGTGACTGTAATCAATAAGTTATTGCCATCGCCAGACCTAGGCTCTACATTGTGATTCTTGGAAACTCACCTGGCATGCATGTTTCCGGACACTCGCGAACTTAATCTTGCAATCACGTGGGGATCAAAGTCTGTGCGTCGTAGGTTGATGCGATTGTGACATGAATAGGATGTCTGAATTCTTTGCATATCGATTTCTCCTCGCAGTTGTACAAAATGCTAACTGACACTTTGGATCAACTCACATGCAAACAATTCAGTAGATCTCCTAACTCAAGGGTCATTTCGGCAACCTTTCAAACTTTTGGTATGATATATTTCGCCGTGGAATGTGCGTCTAATACTCGAGGACCACTTGGGAAGAAGCTTCAGAAGGGCTATGGTTGGTACACCCGGAAGAAATTCTGCAAGTGCGGGTTCAATTTCACGCTGCCACGACACAATGACGGACCCTAAACCTCATCCTGTTCGACGTGAATGCCAGATTCTGCCTCGAGAGGCAAATGAGGAGTCTGACACGAACTCAGTGGCGTGCGATTGGACACTGTTGTTCAACGTTCCCTGATTCGTTCAATCCGACACGCTTGAGGTCACACGAGACAAAGATGCAGGCAAGTGAGCCACGATTGTGGAGGCAATTCAGCTCCGCCCACGAAATGTCTTTCCCAACATGAAGCAGTTGCACGCCACAAAGAGCTATGAAATTGTTTAGCAGCATCTCTCTGCGCTCTCAACGCAGTATAAGCTGCAATGAAACCAGGACTTCTGTCGGTGTTTGTCACGTCGATGTGCGCTGCATATTCTCGCTCACCTTGCTTGAGCTCGTATTCAGTTGTGTGTCGTGTTTTGTTATCATTGCATGAGGTTGTGATTTGAAGCTACCATTGTTGCAAATATGTACAGCGAACTGCATTTTTCATTAGGTGACAAGGACCATATATACAATTAGGATTACTGTCCGCAGCAACAAGGTTTATAGATCACCACTATATGTTACTATAGTGGTGATCCAGTTCAATGTGTTTAGTTCTCTAATGCATAACAAGGTTTTGAATTAGCCGAATGCTACTCATGTTGTCTTACAATAATGGTGTGGGGCCTTTGTCATCCAAGTGCATGTACTTGAGCAGTTTGTGGAAGTAGGTGATATAGCAGGCAATTTCAGAGAGGACATAGTACTCGGTCTCCACAGAAGACATCACAATTGATGGTTGAAGTTTACTTGACCATGCTATTTGGAAGATACTCTAACTACATGTGCAAAGGTTTTGAAGAAGTCAATGTCCTCTCTTCTTGTTTGTATCTTCAAGCAACAATTCTAGCTTTTAATTTTTTGATGTTTCCACTAGGTCCTGATTTGAAGATCCATTTTGTTAATATCAAAGCTTTTACTTTTGGTAAGTCTACTAAGTCTACTATGTGTTATTATTTTGTATAGATTCCACTTCTTGTTTGATTGCTTCTTGCCATCCACTATATTGAAATGTCTCATCATAATTTATGGACTTTATATTTAATTCTACCACAAGCATATAGCTATCCTTATATTTAGTGTTTGGTTTCTTGTTTTTAATAGAATATATTTGTTGTTCAAATGGATCTGGTAGTATTGTTTGGATGATAAATAATAAGAGACATTGATTCACTTATTAGTATTGACAACGAAATATCAAGACTATTATCTCATCTACAATCAAAGTAGTAAAGATTTGAAGTTTGATTATTTAACAATTAGCCAATGATATCAAAAAATTTCTTACTTAGAATCAAGATAATACAAGATCAAACATTTAGAGATATTGTACCAATATTCAAACCATTGCTTTATTAAAAATTATGTGAAGATTATAATGCATTGTTTATGGCCAACCTCTCTAAAACAGCCTCTAAGACTTGTAATTAGGCTTTAAAAAAATCTATTTATATAAGTACAAAATATACCTCAAAATGGCCAAAAATAGATTAAAATATGTATCAAGAAGTTGTCAAGGACAAGAACTCGATGAAAAAATAATTCAGACAAGTGAACCTTCATTCAAAGAGAGGTAATAAAATATATATAAATAAGTATATATATTGAAAGAGAAACTGGAATGGCTATTGCCAAAAGACAAGAAAACTAGAGACCCTTGAAACTAGACTAGAAGCAAGAAAGGAGTTGACAAGAGTGAAGAAGCCTTCACTCTTGTCTCTATATATACTCTCTAACTAAGGGCTACGTGGTGACGTTCTATAGGACCTCCAATATGTGTTGACTTTGTAGGACACATGCCTTGACTTACAAGGCAAGTTTTTCTACGTGTTGGCCTCATAGTTAGCTTGATCTTCAAGCTAACAACATGTGTGGCACATGGCCAACTTGTTGACCACGTTTCTAATCCAAAAAGTCAATTAAAGACACCTATGAAGTCAAAGTAGCATCTAGGAAGTTTCTAAGAAGCTTCCATATTAAATATTATAGAATTAACTTACTTTTACCTACTTTTACTTACCTCTACCTATTTCTATATGTAATTATTAGCTTACATGATTATGGCCGTGACATTACCCCTCCTTCTAGGGACGAGTTCCACGAAGAGCAGTCATCATATGTTGAGGAAATCTATGATGCGTCGAATTGTATTCGCCACATACTCTCATCTCTGTTCTCTTCGAAGATGATTGATAGGGCCTCTCAACCATCGGTAGTGTCCCATACCAGGGCAGGAAGACCACCCAATTATTTGATTATTGTTGAGGCCTTCGTAACTTCCTTCGAATAGAATATTTGGAACACCATCAGGAATTGCTCCTACCTCTAGCAAAATCACCAAACATCGGGAGTCCCTTCCCAAATCGTGATACCAAACGCATTGTATCTCACCATCTATTCGAGGAAGAACATGTCATTCTTGAAGATCTTCATCTCGATTGCATCGTCTTGAAGGTTGTGACAATCATAATGTCTCGTCCGACAGGTCAGCAAATGAAGGCTCTTGAGTTGAATCCACTGGTTGTTGGTTCTCCATCTCCTGAGTGCCACTACTACAACGAAGCTACGAATAAGAATTGAAAGTAGAATGTTATCTTGCCTAGATGTTGTTTCTTTTATAAAGAAGGTTTTCATCTTGATTTTGATGGATATCGTCGATGAAAAGCCTCCACCGCCTTTGCTGCATTTGTAAGATTCTTTATTGGGTCCCATGTATGTTCACTAATACCATATCCGTGCCAATGGACAAGATATTTTAATTTATTTTGGCGTCGCCTTGAATCTAAGACTTCTTCTACTTCAAATTCTTCATTATTGTCCACTTCTATAAGAGGAAATGGAGCTTATCGTCTTCTTGGTATGTCCACTGTCTTGTATGGTTCAAGAAGAGATACGTGGAATACTGGATGGATTTTCATTGAGTACGGTAGATATAAACGATATGCAATTGGATTGATTTATGTAGAAATAGAAAATGGTTCCAGCCTTCGATAGTCCAACTTGTTACAAGGACGAGTGGTCTTGATATTGCGACGAAGTAGCCATACCTTATCACCTAAGACGAATGATGGTTGTTCCTTTTGATAGACATCCTTATTGGCCTTTTGTTGTTCTTGAGCCTCTTTTAACTGCGCCTTCATCGTTGCATGTAGCTCTGATAAATGAATTGCCAAATCTTTCGCAGCAGGATTATCAACTTTTGAAAAGTCAAAAGTATCAAGTCGTGGATGATAACCATAATTAGTAAAGAAAGGTGTTTGTTTTGTAGAAAAGTGTACCGTGTTATTGTAAGCAAACTCTGCCAATGGCAAAAGAGTTGTCCAATCATCTTGTTGATAATTAATGGTACATCTTAAATATTGCTCCAAAACTTGATTAACACGCTCCGTTTGTCCATCAGTTTGAGGATGGAATGCCGAAGATAGTTTTATATCCACTTTAAGAATCTTGAAAAGAGTCCGCCAAAATCTTGATACAAATTGAGTTCCCCTATCTGATATAATATCCTTGGATAATCCATGATAGCGATAGATATTGTCAAGAAAGAGTTTAGCTGTTTTTTCACCTGTGATAGATTTTGTACATGGTACAAAATGTGCCATCTTGATAAAACAATCTACTATCACGAATATAGAGTCATAAGAACCTGAGATTGGAAGATCCGTGATGAAGTCCATAGAAACAGAAGACCATGGTTGTTCTGGAATGGATAATGGCTAAAGAAGTCCAAAAGGTTGATGACGAGGAGTTTTTGATCTTGAGCAAACATCACATGATTGTACAAAATCTTTAACTGCCTTCTATATTTGAGGCCACCAAAAATCCCTAGATATCAGCTCCAAAGTCTTATTATATCCAAAATGTCCTGCTATTGGGAAGTCGTGACGAGCTTGAAGAACACGTAAACGTGCTTCTCCTTCTGGAACATATAGGCGTCCTTCGAAATAGAGTAGGTTGTTCTTGAATTCAAATTTAGATGGATCATGAGATTTAGAAGAATTGTTCTTGATATCATGAACAAGAGGGTCTGAAGACATACTTAACTGGACTTACTTAAGGAAAGTTAAATCAACAATCAATGTTGATTTTATTGCTCGAAGATGAAATTGTTCCGCCTTCAAGAGAACCGTTCTTTGTTGCTCAAAAGCTGCATCTCCTTCTTTTGGTGCAAGATAAGAACGTCTAGACAAGGCATCGGATAAACCTTGTTGTTTTCCTGGCCAATAAGTGATGATGAACTCGAATCTTGATAAAGACATGCTCCAACGAGCTTGGCAACGATTTAATACACGTGCTGACATAAAATATTTGAGGTTCTTGTGATCCGTATACATGGTGACTGGACTAGAAGTGCCTTTTAGATAATGATGCCATTCTTGAAAGGAATCCACAATTGCAAGAAGTTCTTTGTTGTGGATCTCCTAATTGATTTCTGCTGCTAAGAATTTTCTTGAATGAAAGGCTACTGGATGAAGTTTGTCATCTGTTCGCATTTGTGATAAAACCGCACCCAAAGCAAAGTCCGATGCATCTGTTTTCATAAAGAATGCTTTGAAAAAATCAACACGATACAAGATTGGTACAGAAACAAACGTTGTCTTCAAAGATTCAAAAGTAACTTCTACTTCTTGATTCCATTGGAGTTTGTCTTTGCAAGTCAAACATGTAAGTGGAGCTGCAACTCGAGAGAAGTCTTTGATGAAGATCCGATAGTAG